TTGAATGTCTTTAAGTTGCTTGGTTTATTCTCCTTTCTACTTTCCCGTCTCTGGCAGGCTCCGCTCATTTAACAAGATGGCTTCAGTGATGCCAGGAACTCTTTCACAGATGGTAATATCTAGGAAAGAAGAACTGTTTCTTCCCATATGTGTATTTTCATCAAAGACAAAAACTGTCCCTGAAGTCCCCTCATAGACTTCCCCTCAGGTCCCATTGGTCAGCTTGAATAATTTTAATAGCATTCCATTACATTCAGATTTTGTCATAGGATTTAAGTATTTTTTTTGCAAGACTTACTCTTAACAAACAAGTTTTAAACAGAAAAGGAAAACCCTGGTGTCTCACATTGACAATGAAAGCCACTCATTATTTTAGATCTGGGCAGAAATCATAAGTAATTTAGGTAATTTTCACCAAAATTATCTCAGTAAAGTTCATGTACTTCAAGTGTTTAAGAATCAACTTTCATTCAGATCAGTGCCCTATTTTCTGACAATTTAATGTATTTTTCACAGATTTGGAACTCTAACCTTGACGAGAGGTATAAATGCTATGATTATCTTAATGTCAATATTATGTTTAAAAATAACCTTGCCTGAGGTAAAAGGATCTTATACATAAAAGTCATGCATTTATGACTAGGGTCATTTACATTTTTCTTGCATTAACTCTATTTTGACATGCTTACTCTTGAGCACGGGAAAGCACAAGCATATGGTTATTATAGCCAACTTCCTTCCAGTTCCAACCTCATTTTCTCCTGCAAACATCTAGGGAAACTAGGAGGTTCTCCAAGTCATTCACTAAATATGTAAGAGGACTGAGGGCCAAATGTATTAATTTACTAATGAGATTTGCATGTGTAAGTACAGAATATAGATTCTGACAGTTTATAAGAAAAAATGTCCCATGTATTCTGAATCCAGATGTATGTCTACCTACAAAAAGTAAACATTCTAAGGTAATCCTGGTTATACTATCAAAGAATGGATATTTTTTAATAAAGGTTATTTTTGATAAACTGCTATATTGGATTTAAACCATGAAACTTTTCCCTTGACATGGTTTCAGTTGTGTTTGCAACTGGCAGCATTGACTCAGTCCAGCCACCTGGAGACCAGCAACCCTCAGGGACGTGCTCATTGCTGGAGAATAGCAAACACTTTTCATAACGCCAGTCAGAGCGGAAGGGGCAAATCTTAGAATGGTTTATTTTTTGCAGTTGCAAGAGCAAATGTACTACTTTAATAATTCTTTTTTAAAGTTTTACTTAGTCATAAAATTGCATATATGCAATAAAACTCCAAACAGTGGAGAATGGTATGCAATTAAAAATGAAAATTTCACATTTCCCAGAAACCCTAAATTTCACTCCCCAGAAACATGCATTGTACACAGTTTCTTTTGTAACCTCTCAAAAATAGTGTATGCATAAAAAATCATATAAATAAATGTTCTTTTTCTTTTAGCAAAAATTAGGTTTATTTAAATAATTACCTAGCTTTTAAATTTCAATAGATCTTAAAAAATATTCCAAATCAGTACATACAGGTCTATAATCCATTTATTCATTCATTCAATAGATACTTATTAAATCCTAGGGATTGTATTAAGTACTAGAATAAAAAGTTAAACAAAACAGACAAGATCTTTCCTCTCACAAAAATGTATAGTTCAGTGAGGGCAGCAAAAGTACATACATTTAAAAACAAACAAAATAATTAAAGATCATGAAGGAAATAAAAAGGGAGGTGATTTGTAGTGGGCCCATGTTAGATAGGTGAGGCAAGTGTGGCCTCACTGAAGAACTGGCATCAAAACTGAGATCAAAAAAGGCAAGAAGTCAGCCATTCAAAAATCTGGAATAAGAGTATTTCAGGCAAGAACAAAGGTCTTAATATGTAAAGATTATTTGACATGTTTTAAAAACTAAGAGTAGGCCAAGGTGACTACTGTGTAGCAAGAGCAGAGAAGGAAGAGATGAGATAAACCATGTGAAGGTGTGAATCTTTTGTTTTTAAAATACTTTTAAAAAAATATTTTATTTATTTATTTTTAGAGAAAGGGGAAGGGAGGGAGAAAGAGAGGGAGAGAAACACTGATGTGGAAAAAAACATAGACTGGTTGCCTCTCACACGCAGGACCAGGGATCAAACCTACAACCCAGGCATGTGTCCTCATGGGGAATCAAACTGGTGACCTTTTGCTTTGCAGAACAATGCCCAACCAACTGAGCCACACCAATAAGGGCAAAATTATTTTTTATTTTATTTTTATTGTGGTAAAGTGTACATAACAAAATTTACCATCTTAAGAAAATACTTCAGTGGCATTAAGTACATTCACAATCCATTCACAAACCATCACCACTATCTATTTCCAGAACTTTTCATCATCCCAGAGACTCTATACCCATTAAATAATAACTCCCTATCTACTCTTCACCCCAGCCCCTGGTAACCACTCTTCTACTTTCTACCTTTATGACGTTGCCTCCTATAACTGGAATTATATTTGTCTATTTACATCTGGCTTATTTCACTTACCATAATGTCTTCAAGGTTCATTTATAATGTAGCATATATCAAACTTTCCTTCCTTTTTAAGGCTAAATATCAGTCTATTGTTTGTATATACCAAATTTTGTTTATCCAGTCATCCATCCATAGACATTTGATTTGTTTCTACATTTTCACTATCGTGACTAATGCTGTTATGAACACTAATGTACAGATGTTTGTTTGATTCTCTGCTCTCAATTCTTTGGGATACATACCCTGAAATGGAATCACTGGATCATAGGGTAATTCTGTATTTAACTTTTTAAGGAACCACTATACTGTTTTCTCCAGTGTCTGTACCATTTTACATTCTTATTAGCAATAAGTGCAGGGTTCCATTTCTCCTAGCCTTGCAAACACCTGTTATTTTGTTGTTGATTTTTTGATAATAGTTGTCCTAATGGATGTGAAGTGGTATCTCATCGTAGTTTTGATTTACATTTCCCTAATGGCTAGTTATATTGAACACTTTTTCATATGCTTATTGGCCATTTGTAGATCTTCTTTGGAGAAATGTCTTCATGAACTTTCTTCAGTTTTGAACTATACTGTTTTTCAATTGTTGAGTTGTAGTTCTTCATCTATTCTGGATATTAATCCCTTATCAGATACATGCTTTTCAAATATTTTCTCCCATTCCATGGATTGTCTATTCATTCTCTTGACAGTGTCTTTTGATATTCAAAAGTTTTTAATTTTGGTGAAGTCCAATATATTTATTTTTTTCTTTTATTGCCTGTGCTCTTGGTGTCATAGTCAGTAAATCCTTGCCATGTCCAACGTGATGAAGATATTCCCCTATGTTTTCTTCTAAGAGTTTTATAGTTTTAGGTCTTTGATCTATTTTGAGTTAACTTTTGTATGTAATGTAAGGTAAGAGACCAACTTTATTCTTTTGCATGTGGATAGCCAGTTTTCCCAACACTATTTGTTAAAAAAATTGTCCTTTCCCCATTGAATGGTCTTGGCTTCCTTGTCAAAAGTCAACCATATATGCAAATGAATATATTTTAAGTATAATGGGAAGTTACTGACTTTTTAAATAAAGGTTATCAGGCAACACTGAGTTTCTATGTTGACTTTCTTAAGTCCCTTTAAAGGTGATAATCCTGAAGGTAAAGGGAATTCTAAATTCCAAAAAGACCTTTACTAATAAGAGCAAAGCCCAAAAGAATAAACATTAAATTTTATATTGAAAGAGCAATCTCAAGAAATGACCTCAAGTAAGTTCTCATTAGAGAGGAAGAAGAAACACAAAGCCTTCAACAGAAAAGAGAGAGAGAAAAGAAGAAAATGAAAGGTCAAAAATCAGGTCTATGTTTATTACCTGTCCCCACCTTCAGCAATGAAGATGGTGAAATAGGAAAACTGAGTGTTGAGTTTGGAGGTGAGTTGTAAATTTGAGTAACATCAATATGTGCTTTCCTCAAAAGAAGTAGGAATGGATACTAAACAGCCAAAACTTAACAAGTTTACCGTACAAAGAAATTGGAAACTGGTTATATGCTGCTGGAATTGCTAAAAGAGATTGATGAGCCAAAAAAGAGAGGATACCTGAAGGGACAACTCTTTGAGCAGGAGATAAGGTGAAGGGAGATTGCCGGAAGAAGGAGCTTCTCTTTACACTTGGGGTTTTCTCCTCTCACCAGGCTCCAGCAGTTCCCTGTGGCCAGCCTCACATAGCAACCCAGAGGGCAGCTTACTTCATCATTCAGTGAGTAACAAAGTCTGGAGGAGCCACTACCAAATCTGTTCCTTACTAGCCCTGCCTCAGCCTGGAGGGAGTGGTGGCTCCCTGTATCTGAGTCTTCCATATTTTATTATTTACAATTTTATTTCTCTTAATAAACTGTTGTTATGATTAATAATTATTGATATTAAAGTTTTCCTGCTTAAATTACCGAGTGATTTCTGTCTCTTAAGGAATCCCGACTGATATATTATTAGCTAAGGATGAGGGGAAAGGGAAAGGAGGTTTGAGGAGAGAGAGATGGGCTGAAACAGTTCGGAAGAGGGGGATAAATATATTTACCAGACGGGAGTAGGATTTCCAACCCACTGTAGGGAGGTATTATAATTAATTTTACAAATCTCTGGACATTTAGGTTGTTTAAAACACACACACTGTGGATGTACACACTCTGCTAATCTGTCCACCTATTTCCTACGCTTTTGAAGACACTTACCTTTCCTCTCTCCCTTCCTTCCTTCTTTTCTCCCTCTCCCCTGCCTTAGAAGACTCTTTGGGAGCTCCCAAAGTACTCTCAATAAACCCTGAGGTGTGCGCGGCTCGCCCCCTAACGCCAGGAAAAGGCTGACTGTCCAGGTCTTACCCTACACGCCACCACGCGCTTAGCGCCGGGGCGGGGCCAAGTCCGGAAGGGGCGGGGCCACAGCAGTACTTAAGGGCCTGCGCCGGCTAACGACTTCCTTTTCCGCGTGGCCGGGGACGGAGTTGTGGTGGAGATGAGTGTCGTGTGGGCCAGGCGGCAGCGCTCGCGGACTCGTCTCCAGGCTATTCGAGGTGGGAGTCCCCGCGGTATCAGCTTTTCCTCTCTTCCTGCTGGGAACGTGACTCCTTGCGGAAACCCATGCCCGCCTTGGGGCCTTCGCCCTTTGAATCCCGCGCTTGGGGCCTCCATTTGTGAGGTCTCTGTCCCTTGGGCCATGTGCCTCCGCAGCCCTCAAGCTGCGTCAAGCCCAGTTAACGCGGCCACGAGCTTTCCTCCACGCCTTCTGTTCAGCGTTTTGTAACTACCTGTGAGTGTTGACCCCTCTGTTAAGTCAACGCCTTGTTCGACTGAGCTCAGATACTAATGACCCATTTGATCTAGTTGGATCCGCAGCGGCGGGAAGGTGCGGCTGGTGGCTTTGTGCTCTGGCCTTCTCCGGAGCCTTTTTGTGTATATCCCTAGTAAAGCTTTGTGAGCGTCTTAGATGGTGGCCTAGACGGTGTCAGAGTCCTTTAAACGGGCGACACATAACGGTCTCGACACAGTGGAGCTACTTGTCGGGATTTGTTATGGATCTTTTTTATTTTTTTCCTTTTTAAGTTTTAGATAGGCAAACGGAGGGAGGTAGGGAAACACCGAAAGGATGGGTTGCTTCTCCCACGCCCCCAACTGGGAACTTGGCCCCTCAATCCAGGCGTGGGCCTTGGCTGGGAATCGACCTAGTGACCTTTCGGGTTATAGGCCGGCTCTCAGTCCCCTGAGCCACATCAGTCAGGGCTGGATCTTTTCTAAGTAGACTCTAAAAATTGGCCCTGAGGTTATAGAATAATATGTACTGTACAGAAGTCCCTTAGGCCATAAATGCCTGCTATACTTTTAGAGGCTTGATTTACGTACAGGTGTCTGTTTCTGCTCATACTGGAGAAGAAATTGGCCAACAGCTGGAAGATTATGTTGCTTGTTCAAAAACAAGTTGTAAATGAATGTCGTGTGGTTTATTTTTTCCTCTTCTCCCAGGGTTGCTTCATTCAGAACACTGACAGGGCAAATGTGATGTCTTAAAGTACTTTGTATTTGCTCTTATCCCTGTTGAGACATAAGTGGCTTGAATCCTATTTTCATGGCAAAGTATTGGGAGTTTTTAAAAAGTTTTACAAACTAAATGTTTAATGGAAATACTGAGAATGTACTTAAATTCTGCAGCGTAATAAATACATGAGACAGCCCATCAAGCCATTTAATAAGAACTTGCATATTACTAATACTATAGTATCTATTTGCTTTCCTATCCCATTTCCCGTCTCCCATCCTCTGTATTTTGTGTCAAGTCTCTTGGTGTTTTGAGGGGGAGTGGGATGGGTAGCAGTTTTATACATAAATCTGTAACCCTAAACATTTTTCTTGTTTTAGGCTTTACACAAATGGGACTGTGCATGTAGTTGTCAGTGGTTCCTATGAAATATTGAACTGAAATTTTCCAAGTTGTAATTACTCGTAACTGATAGCCTGTGTTCCTGATATGGATTGTGTGAAATACTTGAGCATTTCAAGACTTGAAAATGATAAATTATTTTGCAGGGGCCAACATCTGATGTGCTTTCATAAATCATTTCCAATAGTTGTCTAGTTCAAGGATTTGTCCTCCCTTAGGATAACATCTGTGACCCTGGCCATGCCCTTTGCAGTACCTACTTGAGACTTAATTCTACAGGACTATGTCTACTAATGGTGTGCTTATCTCTGCTCTAAAACTATTAGATTTGCCATTGTGATGCTTTTAGTTGGAGGTTTGCATGCCTAACTTTATATATCTAACCTTTAACCTGCCTTATGTCTCATCCTTGTCAGGCTCTGAGATAGAAAAGCAGTGGCTGGGTACTCATTAGGACCACTGTGTTCTATAATCTGTATTGCCACAGTAAAGAACATAAATATATCCACCATTTTTTTTCCCTGTCCATGCTAATGAACCACTTCTTGCTTGGAAAGATTGTTTATGGAATTATTAGGGCCTAATTAGTCGAAAGGACTAATATACTCTCAAGTCATTGTACAATAGAAATTAAAATTTTAGGCTTACCAGTTTTAACTACCAAAAAGGTAGAATTAAGCAGCAAGTATGTTCTTGTGTGGTCTATTAAAGCTGTGTTAAACAGCAAATGGAAAATTTCCCCCATGGTCTCAATGTTAGTTTTTGAAAAATGGTCAGTCAGGAATATTTCAAGTATGGTTATAGTGTACAGTTTTTGATAAGGAAAAAAACCATTCCTGCATGGCAAACGGGTGCAAATACAAATAAAAATTTACAATGAAACATTAATTTACAGGTGCAACACGGTCTGTGAGTTGAAGATGAATGAAGGTTGTCATAATGAATGTTTTCCAAAAACTTAATCGTAGAGGATGACTAAACCCCTGGGAGTACCACTGCATGTAACAAGGTACCAAAGGTTAATGTTAAATTATGTGCTTTTTTTCTTTTTACGTATTTGTGGTATTGTTCCTGAAAAATACATTTTTGACAGAAAGGTTTAATAACTGGCACAATGATGACTTAAAATTACTTTTTGCCGTTTACCCAGCTGAGGGTTTCTTTGAAGAAATAATTTAAGACTGAGATGCCAGTAATCTATATTGAGGCTTGAATTCAACTATAATGCAATCTTTTTTTACTAAAATCAGTGAAATGTTCTTTTCAGCATATAGGTAGCAGCAAATGAATGAATGAATGTTCAAGTTTTTGGCTGTGGTATACAAAAATTCTTCATTGCCTCAGGTAAGTAATTATAATTTATTAAGCTTCTACGGATAATGTAAAAGGGCTGGGACCATTTCATGTTAGTTGCCTTTGTGTTTGAGTACAGAATGATTTTCACTGTTGGTTTCTGATCCCCCCCCCCCCCGCCCCCCAGGTGTGGCATGTGACATTTCGGAGGGAGAAACAGAATTTGTCAAGAAGACATGAATTGAAGCAAGTCATGAAAATAAATATTTTATTTAACACTGATCACCTTACAATAAATTATGTAGAAAATACATGTTTGAATCCTTTTAATTGCTGGGTAATCTGTTTTCTTTTAAACAGCTCCATTGTCACAATCACTAGTCAGACTTGTTTTTAACTTTAGGGATAGTATGTTTCGGATAGTTACTTTCCTTGAGGTGGTCAGCAGCTGGGAAGATATTTCTAGGACCTCTTACCTAGTTCTTAAACTCTTTCTTGGCTTAGGTGATTTCTGGATAGGTCCTAACTACTGCATACTAGATAACTATGTGGGCCTCCCTTCAGAACCTAGTGACTGAAATGTAGTGCAGTAGTCCTCATTTATTCATGGTTTCATTTAATCACAGTCCAAAAATAAATTGAAAAAATCCAGAAGTAATTCCTAAGTTTTAAGTTGCACATGGTTCTCAGTAATGTGATCATTCTTTTATCCATTGTATCCACATTTTACATTACCAGCCTGTTAGTTACTTAGTACCTGTCTTACGCCATCAGTGTTTGTCGAGAAACCCTTATAACTTATTACAGTATAATTTTATTGAATCTCTTACTGTGCCTAATTTGTAAATTAAGCTTTAGCAAACATATGTATGTATAGGAAAAAACTACTATTCATGCTTTCAGGTATCCACTTGGGAGTCTTGGAATATGGCCCATGGGTAAGGGGGATAACTAGGTTTCAGCTGTGACCTACAAATTTTGTTAATTTCCTTTTGCCCTTCTGAGCAAAAAAGTAATCATAATCCTAGTATAAGTAATTACTATATTAAAGAAAATAATGACTGGGTAGGTCAGTCTGTCCAGGACTTGAGAATTTACAAAAGTTCTAAAATTGAACTGAATTCCTACCTGGGTAAAGATTTAACTAAATCTTACTTTACTTCTGTTGAGTCCCGTAGTAATTTGTTTTTCATTGGGGTTATAACTTCAATATGGAAAGGCAAAATATAAAATGTGTACTGCAACATCTATAATCACTTCATTAGAGGTAACATTTGAAAACTATTTCCCTTCCAGTTTTAATAAAGTCTTGAATATAATATTTTACTGGGTACTTTTCAAAATGACTACCTTCTGAAAACTGGCACCAGTGGATATTGAATATTGTCAAATGACTAGGAAATAGTGAACGATTTGTCAAAAGTCCTTTACAGTGAGAACTGTCCCACCTTATGGTTAAGCTCCTAAAGAACTCGTGGTAGTTTCTTGGTTAATAAGATGGCAAACTTGTGATGACTTTAATTTAGTGAGTAAAATTTAAGTTGAAAAAAGGATTTGGGGGTTTTACAAGAAGTATATTTTCTCATGGTCCCCCTACCTTTTCAGAGTAGGTATCTGAGGTTTAAAGAGCCAATTAAAATAATTTGTGAATACTTTCATTTGAAGTTGCTGCCATCTTGTGACAAAAGGAGAGAACTACATAAAAATTTTTTTATTTTAATACATTGCTTAACTTACAATGTCAAAATAGTGAATGGCTTGCGTTTTTAATCTGTCGCCCACTGGTATACTTTGCTGGCCAGCGGTTTTTTTTGTTTGTTTGTTTTTTGAAATAGAATTCAAAGTTTTAAATTTCTGTTACTGGTTTTGAGATTTGAATTAGTGTTAGCAATTAATTTGAAGAAACTTGTATTTTTAAGGAAGCATTCTAATGTACTCCTATATACAGTATTAGCTGAAGCATTACTTCAAAGTCACACTTTTTTTTCCATGGCTGAAGTAGAAATGAAGGAAATTTTTCCCAGACTGTCTATTCATCACTAGCGAAAAGAGCTGTCCCAGGTCCATATGTGGCAATAAACTGTAGGAGCTGTTGTTGGCATTGAGTAAGATAGATGTCCCTTTTTTCTAAATATTCTTCATTATATAGTTCAAATGGAAATACTGCATTTGGAGCAACACAAAATACAGTGGCCCCTAAGTGGAGAAGGGGAAAAAAATGTAAAAAACTACTCCTTAAAATGCTAAATAAGTCACATTTTCAACAAAATAGTGAAATTTTTAAAATTAAGTTCTGACCTATTTAATAGTTTTATAATCATGATTTAAATCTGACCTTTTGAGACCCAATAAATAGCTTCAGTGAATGTACACACTGGTACCAGGGCCAATAGAAGACATGTTTATATTTTAAAGTTTGGAACTAGAAATTTGCCTTACACTGAAATAGTCTTTACAGTTTTGAAGCTGACTAGTAACGTAAGGCGGTGGGTATTGGAAGGTAGGGAAACATTAATAATTATTTGATAAAGGTTAAGAGTTGATGGGGGATAAAGACATTGTTATGCATTTCTTAATTAAAAACCATTAACAAAGACAGACATACAAACCTATGTAATAGAATAGGATCCTGGAAATAATCTCAAATATATAGTTAAATGGTTTTCAGCAAGTGTTCCAAAACCATTAGGGAAAGGACAGGCAGTCCAACAAATGATGCTGGGTAAATGATATCTATGTGCAAAAGAATTAAGTTGGTCCCTTCACTTACATTGTATACAAAAATTAATAGATCCAAAACCTCAATGTAAGAACTAAAACTAAAATCCTTAGGGAAAAAAACATTGGGGGAATGTTTCATTATATCTGACTCAGCAATGATTTTTAGGACAACACCAAAAGCATAGGTAACAAAAAAGATAAATTAGACCACATCAAAATAAAAATTCATATGCATCAAAAGATACAATCAACCAATAGAGTGAAAAAGCAACACTTAAGACATTTTTCCACAGAAGGTACACAAATAGCTAATAAGCCATGAAAAGAGGCTCAACGCTAATCAGAAAAAATGTAAATCAAGCCACGATGAGATAACCACTTCACCCATAAGGATGACTACTATCAGAAAAAAAATTACAGCCCTTGTACACTGTTGGGAATGTAAAATGTGCAACCCTTATGGAAAACAGTATGGCAGTTGGTCAAAAAAAACTAACCACAATTACCGTATGCTGCAGCAATTTCCTTTCTGCATATATACCCAAAATAATTGAAAGGAAGGTCTCAGATACTTGTGTACTAAAGTTCACAGCAACATTATTCACAATAGCCAAATGTGGCATATATATGTTAATATGAATATTACAGAGTCAGGAAGAAAGTTCTAATGTATGCCACAACATGGGTGAACCTTGAAGACAGTGAAAACGCTAAGCAAAATAGACATGTAATTCCACTTATATTAGGTACCTAGAGAAGCCAAATTCATAGAGATAGGGGCTGGAAGAAGGGGAGAATGGGGAGTTATTTAACAGGAACAAGATTTCAGTGAGAAAATGAAAAGGTTATGGAGGTGGGCAATGGCAACAATGAATGTACATAATATCACTGAACTGTACATTTAAAAATGCTTAAGATGACAAATTTTATATATGAGGGCCCCCCGAAGAAAATGGAAATAATCTTCCGGAGGGCGGGTTTTCCCTGCCCCACCCCGCCCACTAGGTGAGTGTTCTAGGAACCCACCTGTGTCAGTGTACCCGCTGGCATTGTGAGAGGCTCTGTTCAGCTTCAGTGAATTTTTTTTTGAAGACTCCACACATTTGCCCATTTCATGACAAGTGATACGCATGTGCACCTGCCCACACTATGCTGGGTGTTAAAGCAGTTTTTGACCAAAAATGGCATGACCTCTGTACCCTGCCCTCCCTATTCACCCGATCTTGCCCTGAGTGACTTTTTGTTTCCCCAGATGAAAAAAGTCTTCAAAGGGAAACATTTTGCCGATGTGGAAGAGGTGAAACAAAAAGACTGATAGAAGCACTAAACGGCATCAGAAAGAGTGCAGAAACTTTTTCAGCAGTGGGAAAAGTCTCAATAAGTGTATTGCATCAAATAAAAAGTACTTTGAAGGTGACTGAAGTTTAAACATGTAAGAATAAATACACAATTTTTTATAAGTAATTTGGGGGTGTACCCCTTTGTAATGTGTATTTCATCACAATTAAAAACACTACTTTTGACTATTACTGTAGGAATTAAGCTCTTAAATTCTGTTTCATTGATTGATTCATTGAAAGAGTATCTGAATGTGCCTGGCCCAGGGTACAGGGCTAGCCAAGCTGACAGTGCCTGCCTTCCTAGAGCCACCTGTCAGCGGTAAACTCTTAGAGCCTCAGACTTTGGAGACTGCTCCCTTTACTGCTTTACCTTACCTGAAACCTGCTATCCTGGGGAGCACTTTCCTTGGTGGCTTTCTAGAGATGAAGCTGCTTTTCCCCAAATACCCAACATTTCTCAGTATCATGACAGGAGCGGTGCCTAACTTGCTGCCCCTTTGCTGCTTCCAGACCATTCTTGCTCCTGCTCTCGATACAAATCTTTATATAATTCGCAGTGCCATCTGGGCTTTATCATCCCTTCCCCTTCCACAGTCAACAGCCAGCCCTCAGCCCTTGGCTCACAATCTTCCCTCTTCCCCAATATCTGTCATTCAGTGATTTCCATGTGAATGACCCATTTAACTCCTATCCTCCCAGTGTCCTAACCTTTTCCCTTCTACCTCCACCACACATTCTCAAGCTGACAGGAAACTGATATTACCAGGAACTTACTTTAAAGCCATGAGTTAAATGTCCTGCTCCCCTATGCTACCTCCCAGGCTTCTAGCTCAGAGACTGCCAGTCTGCTTCAATTCATCTCCCTCTTTTAACCAGTTTGAGTCCCCGCTTTGCCAGGGCCCCCACTCCCTTACCCTCTGCAATACTCTGCCACCCTTACCTATCAAAACCTCAGCTCTTCATGAACCAAACCATTTACTTTGTGCCTGCACTCAGGTTGCTAGGCAGAAAATAATATTGCAATTGTAAGTTATAATTTAATATACAATAAAATTGTGTATTGTAAGTTAAAATGTAATTGGCATTTCTGGGTTCACTTTAAGTTAATCAGAAACCTGAAATGGGTCACTGTGCTGCCTGACAACCCTGCTAAACTTCTCGAGCACACCTGCTCTTCTGTCCCCCACAATGACTGTAATAGTCCATTCTTCTCATACTTTTTGTTTTTAGTTGATGACCTTGTGTAGAGTATATTACAAAATCTACAGACGTACCTAATTCTGCACCCATTGTCTTCCCTGCTATAAAATTAAATGACTCTTCTGTCACAGGCCAATACCTCACATGTGCTCTCAGTTCCATCCCCTCTCACCTTTTTGAGAACATCACTCTTTCGAGATTCCCCTCTTTCTGTAGAATCATTAGTTTACTCTCTATTGAACGTCATAATATCTATTATGTTAAAAATAAAAACAACCCTAGACCACACATTCTTCTCCAGCAAATACCCTATTTCCTTACTCATCTTTATAGTCAAACGTCTCATAGTTGTCTGTGTGAGCTATCTTCATACCTTCATTTCCTACCCTACCCAAGTCCCGAGTCCATTGAATTAGCCTGATCATGGCCACCTACAACCTCTAGACTGCCAAATTTAATCATACTTAATTTCAGCACATGATACAGTTTGCTACACTGCTTCTTGAAACTCTTCTTTCTTTGTTAGTACCACACTAGATTTTCTTTCTACATTATAGTTGCTGCTCAGTCTCTTTGAGTTCCCTCTCCTCAAGCCCATATCTAAATACTGGAAACTTTAAGGGGAGTCATGAGTTCTCTGGCCTCTAGGTGATTTCATCTGTTCCATGGCTTTGAGTACCATCTCTGTGCTGATGATTCCTAAATTACAGGTTGAAACTCTTTGAAATTCCATCATCTTAGTCTATTAATACCTTTGTACAATATCACAAACATATCTATAATATGATTTTTCCCCCCAAATCATCTCTCTTCTTGATTTTGGTAAATGACACCATAATCCTCTTAGTTTCTCAAGGCAGAAACCTGGGAGTTTTCCTAATTTCTACCTCCCTGCTGCCCCAACTCCTAAATCTAGTTCATGAGCACAACCTATTGGTTTTTGCATACAAGAAAAATATCCTAGTATAGATGATTTTCCTGCTGTGTTTAAAGTAACATTTAAGGAGCTCTTAACATTGTTTTGCTTAAGACAAAAAAAACAATATACCTAACTCAAATTTATTAAGAAAACAAAAAGTAATTAAAGGAAAAAAATGTTCACATAGTTTTCTCTCAACAAACGTTTTATGTGCTTTTAAAAAGTTTTGACAAAGTAGTTACCAAGTGAAAATAGCCATATACTACTACAGGAGTACTTAAAAAAATACTATACACTTTAAGTTCAAAGACACATTTTTGTCATCTTACTGGAATCTAGTGGTGTCTTAAATGGCTTTGATAGCATGTCTTAGTAAAATTGGCAGCATTTTTTCTTTATGGCACATAAAATAATGTCTTAGATTTTAACAATTATGTTTTAAATATATTTTAAGAGAAGGATAAAGAGATAAAGCAAATTAAAAATATATATTCTTCCCCTTGTTTAGTACTGGTTGGGAATCAGGTTTTTAATCTTTTGGTAAATAAAATTAACTCAGGATGATAATTTACCTTTTCTAGGGATCATGATTTATCTCCCTAAGCAAAAAACAAATACATATACAAATTTACATATAATTTAGAGATTTGCAAGCCTCTAGTACTCTCTAAGTATCCATGGATCTTAGGCTAGAAATGCTTGATTTAGATAATAGAACAAAGTTCTAATGTTCTAAAGGATATTTGCAAAAAGTTATGACTATAAATTGAATGTAAAACAAATTTAAGCACTAAACATGAACAATCAGAAAAGTCAGTGTTAAAACATCCTTTTAAGTACCAGGATTGGAACTAAAGTTTGATTTGAAGCAAGGTTTATCTCATCAAAATTAATGTCTCATATAATTCAACAAAATGAATTTCCTTTACTCTTACATTAAGTGTCCTTTTAGGTTTTAGCAAAACCATATAAGCTCCATTCATTTCAAATAATTAAATGCTATAGTCATAGTGTTACAACTAGCCATTCATAGGAGGTTGGTGATGCAAGATGATCACATTTCCTTTGGCTCTGTGCCTGATTCCACAGTTGGGGACTGACTGCATGACTATTAAATGTCGCATGTTATTTTAAAAGGGAGATACATTTAAAATTATTTGATGTATAAAGTACTTTTCTACAATTATTTAAACAGTGCAAAAATTCAGGTATAGAAAAAAATCATGCACAATAAGGAACCTAATATAATGATACTGCCTATAAGCGAGTAGTAAATGTTTAAATTAAAACTTGCCTTACCTGAGATTTATTATTCTTTAAAATAATATTTAGAATATACAATATATAACATTTTAACTTAACAGTAAAAATATTTGTTTAAATATAATTATTTGTAGTCATTATTAATAACTTAAAAGATTACCATATTTCAATGTGAGAGAGGTTTCAAATAATAAGGCTGCAATTAGTACATCTTCTTTAAACACTTTATTCCTTAAGTTCAGTCGAGCATGGGCTTCAGATAGGGAAACTCTAAAAAAGAAAATTGATACCGATCAAAATATGTTGATAGTATAAAGATAATATATATTTTGGCAGTAACAAATCAAGACATATGTGACCATAAGCCACATCTTAAGGATCTGCATATTCTTTCTTTTGAAAGAATACTTAATTTTCAAAGCATATATTTTTCTTATGAAGTTGAACAGACTCTTCCAGAATAAGCAAGTATCCTGACATTATCAAAGAGTTGGTTTCCACCCTGGCTTAACTTTATTATTTTATACCCTATTTCCCTAAATTCTGCTCAGATAAATACAGAGTTGGGAAAATTAACCTAACTAAATATCTTATAGACACATCCTTGATATTTTCTTCCAGTTCATCTATTTGAAGTCCTCGTAGAATCTTGAAAATTCAGTGTTGGAAGACACCTTTGAGATTGAAGTTCAAACTCCCATCAGAAAACTGAATTTTCTCTGCAACATCCCAGACTAATTTATGTCTACTCTCTTTTGAACTTTTCCTAGGATTCACTAGGAATTATGAGGCAATCCATTCCTTTATTTTTAAACTACTTTAGATTACTGGAAAAAATCTCCCTTAAACTCTCATTAGGCATTTATAATATACTTGAATGATTGCTGGACTTAGGAATTAGAAAAACTGGGCTAAGTCTCCAGAATTTACTAGCTGTGTGATATTGTATAAATCATTTAATTTCTGATATTATTTTGAAATTCAGCTGTAAAATGGGGATAATAATTCAAAGGGGTTGTGTGATTTCAAGTAAGGCAGTTGAAAATCCTGGGACTCACCCACAAAGATTGTATAAATGTAAGCTGAAATTGGTTTCACTGTACTTTCCATCCACTGGTTGCTGGTTCTGTCTCCTGGGATTACAGAACAAGCCTACTACTTCCTAAATATGACAGCTCTTCACATACTCAGCACAACTTTTCTAGTTGCTTCATGTTTTCTTTTCTCAAGATAAATATCTCTAGTCCTTTTAAGATGTCATAGGACATAACATTCAGGACCCTCATCACTCTGGTTAATAAGCAGATGTTGTTAATATTCCTTTTCAGTATAGTATTATTAAAGGTGTGATTTGACCAGCAGAATGAAAGAGAAACAGAAGTAACATTTTCATATTCATGATACTATATTAATGCAACCCCAAATCACAGTATTATTAACAGCCATGTTATATTGTTTACTCATTAACCATCAAAAGGATGAAATCGTGTGTTTTTCATATTAAGGCATATCAACCTTTCCCATCCATTCATACTTGTACTAGGGAGGTTGAGATCTAATTGAGGACATTACATTTATCTTATTAATTTTCTTCTTGTTAGACTAATATCATCATTCAAACTTGTGAAGTTCTCTCCAGAGTTATTTCTTTACAGATTTGATTGTCATGTTCCTGATGTCTTACCCAAACTCCTGGTAGTTGCCGGAGGGGTAGGGGTAGTTTAGGGGGTGAAAGGATTGAGCAAAAAGAACAAAGGACTCATGGACATAGACTGCTGTGTGGTGATTGCTGGGGGAGGGGTGTATAAGGGGACTAAATGGTAATGGGAAAAAAAAAATACAATAAAGACTAAGACACAAATACTAAAAAATAAAATAAAAAATGACCAGCACAGAGTAGGTATACAGCCTTTTAGGAAAAAAAAAGAGAGTGTTGTTCAGCTCTACTTCTTTAGAAAAGCAAGGATGGCATATTAGGTATCTAAGCAGGAGAAAAATTCAAATTTTATGATTCTTTTGACTAGTGGTTTATTGACTTTGCCACTTCCTAACTCTCATCTCTGCCTCTAGGGTTTATTTCTACAGTGAGAAAAAGTACAGTTATATTAAAATTAACTCTGCTTTATTTTTGGATCAATATAGTCAAATGCAAACAGAGGCTATGTGAGTTTAAATGAAAAAATGTCTTTTTTACTACAGAGAAAAATTATGAGAAAATAGGATTTTCAGCCCTGGCTGGTGTGGCTCAGTGGATTGAGTGCTGGCCTGTGAACCAAAGGGTCACCAGTTCGATTCCCAGTCAGTGCACATGCCTGGGTTGTAGGCCAGGTCCCCAGTAGGGGGTGCATGAGAGGCAACCACACATTAAAGCTTCTTTCCCTCTCTTTCTCCTCCCTTCCCCTCTGTCTAAAACTAAATAAAATAAAATTGAAAAAAATAGAATTTTCAAAGCTTTTAATCTTGGAGTATAAAGTATTGTTTTGAGTATTTTATATATTCAGAAAATGGAAAGCATTATATAATTCTGTTTATCATTTTAAAGCATCACAGTTGATTTCTACCTTGTCTTTAGCATTTTTTTTCATCTCTGTGAAAATAAATATACTGGGGAAAAATTAACTAAACATATTTATCTCTTCTAGGCCCATACTTGATATATTCTGCTGGTCCCTCACTTGTCTTATTTTATATTTCAGTTATAACAAGATATTTATTTATTAAATTGATTACTTTACTCCTGGTCCTGTTTTATAATTTTTAGAGATTATACATTAATCTATATCAAATGAAGTAATGGTCAATCAGTAGGGGACTATTTAAATTATGGTACAGCCACATCACTACAGTTTAATGTGGCTATTAAAACAAAATGACATAATTCTTGATGTGCTGATAGTGTGAGAGTATAATATATATGAGGTCTGTCCAGCAGAAGTCCAGCCATTGTTAATACAATAAGAACGGTTTGTGCAACATCAATGTAACCTTGCAGTCAAGGAGAGTGGACTGGAGTGCGCATGCATGAGCAATGGTGACCTCACTGTACTAGTCAGTGGGGGCAGTAGATGCCATTGAGTGAGCATGTGTACTGTGTGGCCATGACATTCAAAATGACTGAGCAAGTAAAGCAATGAATCTGCATCAAATATTGTGCTCTGTGGAAACTATTTGGATAATTCAGAAGGCTGCAGCTTTGGGCATCTGGTGATTGGCAGTTTCATCACAACAATGTGCCCACTCATACATCACATCTCATGCAGTTTTTTGACTAAACAGCAAACAGCCAGGCGACTCAGCCCCCCTAACAGCCCACATTTGGTGCCCTGCAACTTCTGGCTTTCCCCCAAATTAAAATCACCTTTAAAAGGGAAGAGATTTCAGGACATATATGAGATACAAGAAAATGTGATGGGGCAGCTGATGGCGTTTGGGAGAACTATGTGAGGTGTCAAGGTGTCTACTTTGAAGGGGACTGAGGTGTCATTGTCCTATATACAATGTTTCTTGTATCTTGTATCTTCTTCAATAAATATCTCTATTTTTCATATTACATGACTGGATATCTTTTGGTCAGACCTCCCATATACCATGCAAGATTCTATTTGGGCAAAAAGAATATCCATATTTGTATACTTACATATTGTAATATATAGGGATATATTTATATATTGTAATATGTATGTATGTGTAATATTTAAGATATTCATCTAAAACATTCAAATAAATATGTATAATACATCATATATGTAAATTACATATTTGTACATGCTAGTATTTAAATGATAATTTCTGGAAGAATACACAAAAACTGTTATCCGTGACTAAAGAATTCAAATTTGGGGACTTGCCCATAATGAGTTATTACTGGAGATAACTTTTTACAGTCTCTGTAGGACAGAGCAAATACCTAATTACTGAACATCTGCTCCAGCTGCTGTCCTGTGAGTGACCTTCCTCCCCTCTGAAGCCCCAAGGCACTTTACCTTATCCTTATCTTAGAATGTCACATATACTCATTTTAACTTTCTATCCCTGAACGTCTCATGTATGTGGGTTTCCCATATATATTATGTAATTAAAGTTGGTTAATTATCTCTTGTTAAATCTGTTTTATGTTGATTTAATTACTAGACCAGCCAGAAAAACCAAGAAAGGTAAAGGAAAATTTCTAACTCCCTACAAATGTAAACAGTCACATTTTAAAAAACAATCATTTTCATTTGAAATCAGTATACTTCTCTCAGAAACATAGAGTCCAATAAAAAATTAATTTAGTCAAAACAGCTCATTGGAGGTTCAGATGATACAATATTGTATATAACAAAAGGAACTGGAGTCACCTTAAATTCTTTTGGAACAAAGTAAATTATAAACTAACCAACAACCAAACAAAACCAATGAAACAGACAAATAAGTTAATTAAATATATCATTTAAAAGTCAATACTGGCTTTAAAATTTTATATTGAATACCTACAAATATTTCAATGCAGATGCTGACAGTTTTGATCCACATACAGAATCAGTTCTGATTCTGCGACTTGCTAAATAATAGCCATGAATCATTCTTTCTGCCTCCAAGCTGAATTCTACATTCAAATTCTTTGCAAGAGCCAGCAGCTAAATAAAAAATGTGAAAAATTTAAGAAACTCGGACTTCATTATAGAATCAATATTGCAAAAGTGCAAGGTATATTGTCATTTTATTTTTAAATGTTTGAATATTTTATTTACATTAAAATTGATTAAATGTCTAGGGCCATCTCAAAATAATTGAGCATTTTAATTATACCCTTATACTTGTAAGAATGTTTAGGTTTACCCTAAATAATCTCTTCCTCCCTCTTAGGGCAGAAATGTTCTGTGCAATGTATTGGAATGGATTTCAAGTCTTTGCTTCCAGTGGAATAAGGGCTCACTCAGATCCTTTCAATGGGAGAGAGACTTCCTTCAGAAACTCATATCTCTTTGAATAGCTTTAATTCTTTGACAGTTTATTTCCTTGTAACTTTTCCCTCATTGGTACCCTTCTTAATTCATTTCTTCCCTTCATAGAACACAACTGAACATTAGCAATGTGGGAGAAATTGTGTTAACTACTATGAATGTGGGCCTTGAAGATTTAGTAAGATTCTGAGTAGGGAATAAGTTTTCAACATAATTATTATCAATATTTTCTCTGAGTTTTGTGGTTTTTCCTTCTGAGTGATTTCCAGTTTCTTAAGTCCTCATTCAATAACATAATTTCCGGGCTTTTCAACAATCCTAGTTGTTTCCTGCTTTTAAAACTCATAGAAAAATTAACATAGAAATGTTGCTGATGTCCTGGCTGGTGTGACTCAGTGGACTGAGCTGGCCTGTGAACTGAAGAGTAGGTGATTCAATTTCCAATCAGGGCACATTCCTGGGTCCCAGACCAGGTCCCCAGTAGGGGGCGTGTGAGAGGCAACCACACATTGATGTTTCGCTCCCTTTTTCTCCTTCCCTTCCCCTCTCTCTAAAAATAAATAAATAAAATCTTTAAAAATAATGTTGCTGTTAACTATAATATTTATACTTTTTCAAACAACTTTTCTAAAGGGTCTGTATATGTCCTGGGTTGGATATGTCCGGTCTTCTTTTTTCTTATACTCCACAGTTCCCTCCAGGCCTTCAGAGCTGGATGATAATAAGGACATCAGCAGCCCTCTCTAGGTTTTATGCTATGGAGGTCCAGTCATGAGCCACCTATATCCCCCTTTCAGAAAAGGACTGTTGCCCCAGCTTCCGGGAGTGCTGTCAGTATATGACCTCCAGCTGTCAACTTCTTCAGGGGTTGCCTCAGTACAGCCCATATTAAATGAGTGAGTGAGGCGGAAGTGGGGAGGTTATTATAAAGCCCCTTTATTTATGTAAAGCCCCTCCATTTATATAAAGGAGGGCAACTCTGATGGGTCTCTTTAGCTACAGAGGTCACTGTGGGGCCAACAAAGGCTATCTTTGGACCTGTACCACAGCTTGGCTCCTTCCTCTGTCTAATCCTGCATTCTTTTCCCTTCTGATGGGGGGGGGTGGGGAACTGAAAAGCTAAAAAAGTTTAGCTTTAGTTACGTAGTCAATAGGTATGGTGATTAATGCATGTAGAAAGCTATCGTTCCAGGAACTGGAATGTATGACTGGACCTACTCTGAATCCACAGCAGGACTGCAAAAGATCAAGATAGTATCTGAGCCACTGTGCTCCAGGGAGGAAATGTCTGCCAACCAGGATGCAGATGAAGACTCGTGGGTCAGCAAATGCAAGAGTACTAGGAAAATCACTGGAGTGCACCTTTTATCTGATTAACCTTTTTCCTTGAATTCCAATCCCCTTACCTACTTTTTTCTTGGATTCCAAACTCCTTACCTACCTTCTTCTCCTTATAAAAAAGGTGAGCTCAAGATGGAGACATAAGACAGACTTTTACGGTACATACCCTACCATCTCAGATTGCTGGCCATCTGAATAAAGTGCCCAGAAAGAGTCAAATTTTGTCCCTACTTACTAGTTCTGGTAGTGTGACAGGCAGCACGAATGCTAACTTTTCTAGTTTCACTCCTACAGATGTTGGTAGAAGCTCTCCATAATAATCAGTGGCACACTAAGCTCCATCTCAGTCTACCCCCTGGAGAGCTAAGGCTACAACATATTCCATTCAGTCTGTTTTGTGTGATAGACAGATTTGTCTTTTGGGGAAATCATTTTCATTATTTCACTAGCCTAGTAAAGTCTATAATTGTTCTCTCCAGTCGGACAAATCAACTATAAACTCTTTTTGCCTGAGCTTTTCAAGGCCTATTTGCCAAATCTGAATCCCAGTGACTCCATAATACAATTTTTGTTCTAGTCAGGCAAGTCTTCTCGTGGTTTTCCATGTATACTCATTTCTACTTTTATGTCTTTGCTCTTATTCTTATTTCTGTTTACATGCCCATCTTTCCTGTCATCTAAATCTTACCTTTCCTTAAGGCCCAAATAAAGAGTGACCTTACTTATGAAATATTACCAACTCTTCTATTCTACTTGATATCCTCCTTTCTAAAGTCTTAAAAGTACCTATAGTCAGCGCTACCCTGTTTAGCACTTAAGATGTCCCTCAGTTGTTTCATGTATCTTATTTTTATCTCAACTAAGTGATAAACTATTTAAAGAAAATTTATATTTCCATGAGAATATAAAAAAACAGAAATGGGTTCATATATATAAAGTATTCAGTAAATACCTAGTTAATAAATCCATAAACTTTTTTGTTTCTGTTTTCCAGGGAAAAACTGGGTATAAGTTTCTCCAGGTCATTAGTGTGTCTACATATTTAGTATCTTAATTCCTAGAGACAAACTACTTTTTCTAATATGCAAAAATAAACAAAAACACCTTTATTGTACTGTATTTTCTATTCTAATGTATGTGAATAAACAATGCTCATAATTTACTTTTAAGTATACCACACCTTTGAACTTTTTCATACCCATGCAGTATGTCTACAAGGAGGGCAAGTGTGAAAACAAATTTTAATGACCCATGGATTTCCACTTCCCAATATTACCTGCCTTTTATCTCTCCTATTCAAATACTTGACTGTGGACAGATTTCTGAATAGTCAATATTAAAAGGGTTTCACTTGTAAATACTTGAGTACCTTTAATTACTATGAAAATCATTACTAAATTTTTATCATCTACTCTCAGGTTCTCTAAATAGGTCATACATGTTTTTATGTTAGGACATTAAAATGATTGAGTGAGTCCTGATAGATATTCCCTAAAGTCAGAATGCTGAAGGTATTCATATAAAGGAAATCCCTTTGAATAGCCTGTAAAATGTAAAAAACTATTTATACAGCCTCTCATCATAATTTTCCATACAAATGATCTATTTTGATTTCTTTCATTAAGATTCTTTATGCTATAGTGATTTGGATAGTGGTACAAAGAATAAACTCAACTATAGTTTTTTGTTGAATTATAATCCTAAATATTTTCTATATAATGTTCTCAAAATGTTTAAAAGCTAGAAGCAAGTTGGAATAAAAGAACCCTAAATACAGAAAACTGAATGTTCAAAGTTGTGTTTACATTGAGAACCATTACCACAAGTATTCTTTGTAATCATTTTTTTCTACCTTTACCTTTTCAAAATCTTCTGTTGTGAACTGTTCAGAAGCTAAATAAAGCAGCCCTTCAGGATCAATGGCTTTTTTTAAAGTATGTTGCACAGTAGGAAGAAATGGGTGGCAAGGAGATGATTCATTACAGTTAATCAACAATCCAAATGCCTCTACAAGATTAGCTGGAATTAAACTGCAATCCTACATCAAACAAAAATGTAAAAGGCAAACATTAAACTCAGGTATTTTCACAAAGACTTTGGAAATATTTATAAAATTATTGAAATAGTCATATAATTATATTTGCTTATACTAAATTATATACTAATAACTAATAATTATGATTTGTTATTACTAATTATTATTTAAAATGATTCCTGAATATCATAGGAACTTTGTGGTGACTAATTTTTTAAAAATATTCTTCATTAAGTATTTTCTTATGTATTACTCTTTACAGCCTCTCCCAAATTCAAATAACAATTTCTAGTGAACAGATACCTGCTTGGAATCACTTAAAAAACAGTAAAATTTTCAAACTGTGTCATTATTTAGTTTTAGTACCCAAGTAAGTATAGAAATGGGTAACAACAAAACACTAAGAACAGCAAAAGCACTAAGATTAAAATCTGTGGCTAAATTTCCTGAATAATATTCTAACAATAAAATATACAAATGCCTTACCATCTGACCAATTAGAGTGTTGGTTTTCTGCGTGCTTTTCCTTGAAGATGATTCCATATCAACGAAAGACCAAAAACTGCACTGAATTGGAAAAGTCATTTGTTGATCGATATCATCCCCAAACTTCTTTCCAGGGATGTATACTGTGATGCTTCTGCTTTCCATAACTAAGTCAAAGACATTATGCATTTATTACTTAAATTCATTTTGGTCTGTATATCTAAAAATCAGTAATATTATTATGGAGAATCTTACTGTCTAAATTTTAGATAGTATAGACACAAGTAAATTTCTTCTGCAAGATATGTGTCTAAATTCAAAAATATGCCAAAAAAAAAACAAGGCAAGAAAATATTTGAATGTCTATATGTCCTGTGACTTGATGAGAACCAGCTGTCCAAAGCATGAAGCTAGAATTGTGGTCAGTTTCTGGGTGGAATGGGCAGAAGGTTAGGAGATTGGTCATTCAGTGCAGGCTTACAAGGGAGGCTGAAATAGGGCCATGTTCTTTTATGTGGAAAAACAATGATAGAAAGTGGGCTATTTTTGTGTGAGTGAAAAAGGAAAAGATTGAAAGAGAATATGAACTACAAGGACTAGGGGGACATATATCTCAAATTCAGCATATTCAAAACCAAATCATTTCTTCTCAAATGGCTCTGTGTGCATTATTCATGAGTGGGGCATCACTATCCATCCACTTAAAACCCAAACAAAAAACGTGTGAAAATATTCTATTCTTTTTTCTATCTGTCCCTCATCTCTTATAGCCATTTAACCTATGAATTCAATCCTATTTCTAGGATTCTATCTCCCAAGCATTTCTCAAATTAGTCTTCTCTCCACTTGTGATAAGTCTTTTTTATATGTTTTTCTTTTTCTTGGGTCATAAGGTAAAAATATATATATATATATATATATATTTCTGTATATATTTCTTCCTTCTATAGATATATATTTAACTCTATAGAAACTGCCATAGCAGTTTGTAAGATGGTGTGCTACTTTATATTCTCATCAATAATATATGAGAATTCCAGCTTCTCCACAGCCTTAGCAACTTTGGTTGTTGTCAGCCTTTTTTAATTTTTGTCATTCTAGCAACCAGGGTCCCAGCTACATAATTTTTGGGGCTTAGTGTAAAATGAAAATCTGGGCCTGTTACTCAAAACAGTGGAAAGCTGCTAAAAGTACTAATATTCAATATATAAAGCTTTTTCCTTTAAAAATGTTATTACTTATAAAATGTAATGGGGTAAAATGAAGAAATTAGAACACTCAAACATTATTGTTGCGAGTATAAGGGTATGACTACTGTAGAAAATTTGGTTGTTCCTTATAAAGTTAAAAATAGAATTATCCTATAATCCAGCAATTCCAATTCCAGGTATAATACTCAAAAGAGTTAAAAGCAAGGACTCAAACAGATACTTGTATAAAAATGTTCCTTAGCAGCATTATTCACAATAGCCAAAAGGCAGAAACAGCCCAAGTGTCCATCAGAAGATGAATACATTTTTTTAAAAATGGCATATATATTGTGAAATGTTATTCACCCATAAAAGGGAATGAGGTTCTATGAATAAGCAAATTCATAGAGAAAGTAGAATAGAGGTTACGAAGGGCTGGAGGTAGCAGGGAATAGGAAGTTACTGTTTAATTGGTACAGAGTTTCTGTTTGGGATAATGAAAAAAGTTATGGAAATGGATAATGATGGTTGCACAACATTATAAATGTACTTAATGCTACTGAATTATAAATGGTAAATTTTATGCTATATGTATTTTATCATAACTTTTTAAAAAAAGGAATGTAGTACTGACACATGCTACAACATGGATGAACCTCAAAAACATGTTAAGGTAAAGAAACCAGTCACAAAAGACTACATTATTGTATAATTCCATTTACAAGAAATGTCCAGAACAGGCTAATCTATAGAAACAGAAAGCAAATTAGGTTGCCAGGGACTGTGGGGAGATGAGGTTTGGAGGAATGATTGCTAATGAGTATGGGGTTTCCTTTTTTGGATTCTGAAAATGTTCTGGAAGTAGACAGTGATGATGGTTGTATAACTCTGTAAATATTCTAAAAACCAGTAAACTACATTTTAAGTGGTGAATTGTATGGTATGCAAAAAATATCTCAATAAAGCTGTTACCAAAAAAATGTAATAGAGATAGTTGCCACTCTAAAACTAATTTTTTAAAAAAAATTACTGATTTTAGAGAAAAAAGAAAGGAAGGGGAGAGAGGGAGGGAGGGGGAGAAAGAGAGAGAGCACTCAATTTGTTGTTCCACTTATTTATGCATTCATTGACTAATTCTTGTATGTGCCCTGACCAAGTATAGAGCCTGCAACCTTGTTGAATCAGGATGATACTCTAACCAACTAAGCTACCCAGCCAGGGCCTAAAACTAAAATTTTTAATTATTGGCATGAATTTTGCCATTTATCTTTATATTGTGCAATACCAATCTTAAATACAAATAAATGATTTTTTAACTCATGTGAAATCACTAATATAGGTAGTTTATTTTGTAGCTAGTGTGTATGTATTTACTACCTACAATATATATATACTGTTCTTACCAGAACTTATACTATATATGTATATGTATATACACACATAGCAGAACATATACTATATATATGTATATGTATATACACACATACACACAGACACACACACTATATATATATTTCTTCCCAGAACAGTGGAAATGCTGCATAAAATTGTTTATTTTGCTTCTTGATATGCATCAGTAATACATGATGAATTAGCTCACTGATGAATAAGGAAGGACTAAAAGGAAAAGAAATGAAGCCTTGCCCTATCTTTCTCTTTCCCCCTATATTATCATTTTCAGTGAAAGTAGCTGGCAAATGCAGGAAAGTAACCAAGTAAGAAAAGATGTGATGGGGGTTCCTTGGTCATTTGTGTTTCTTAGATTGCCACTGCCTGCCTTCTATATAAAAAGCAAGTCTGGTTGGAAGGGAAAGTGTCCTCTTGGGAGCTATTAACTCCCTCACTTACTCAATTGCAAATGTTTTGATATGTAACATAAGCACTGCTTTGTAGTGTACTTGCAATACGTGGAAGTCCAGAGAAAACAAAACTGATTACAAATTGTGTAGCTGCATAGTGGTTGCAAATGCTATGTGTAATAAGGGCAACAAGGCATGGGAAACACATGTGTGAATGTATCTCCACTGCTCGCATACAAGCTCCTCTGTCTTAGTGGACCTCCTTTCAAAAACATGTTTAAAGGTAAAAATCATTAAAAATTTGAAGATGGTGACACTGGAGTTTTAATCAAGTGCCAGCCAGTTCTAGGAGGAGGATGGCCTTTGTGAAACTATATTTGTTACATGTCCATGAAGCAGGACCTCCTAGTATGTGAGTGTTGGTATCTAATTGCAGTTTTTATTTTCATTTTCCTGGTATCCAATAAATGATAATAAGCACTCTTTCATGTGCTTATAGTCATTTTGTATATCTTTCTTTGTGAAATCACTGTTCAAGTCTTTTTCGCATTTTAGGCTGCGCTCTTTGTTTTTTAAATTATTGACATGTAGAAATTGTTTCTATGTTCTAACTATATGTCCGATGTCAAATATATGTATTGCCATTATTTTCTCTTTATTCACTTGTCTACTCACTTGTTAAGTGGAGCCTTTTGGTGTGTTTAACCTTTTAGTTTTGATGAAGTCTACTTTATCAATTATTTTCTGTTTATTGCTTTCTAAGTCCTAAGAAATATTTGCCTACCTTAAGATCATGAAAATACTCTCCTATGTCTTCTTTCTTCCAGAGCCTTATAGTATTAATTTTTACATTTAAGTTTATGATCCATCTTTAATTAATTATTGTTTATAGTTGAGGTGATCCAATACTAATTTTTTTTCCATATACATAACCAAATGGTCCACCATCATTTGTTGAAAAAAATTTTCCTTTCTCCATTCACTTACTTTGGTGCCATAGTCAAAAATCAATTCACCTTATTAGTGTGGGTCTCCTGCATTCTCTCGTAGGGAGAGACAATATGCTATGTGCTCTGAATATTGGGGTACATTCTTGTTGTTATTCCAAGAATACAAGGCCCTGACTGCTTTTTGCCCAGTCCATATCTGTCCATATCCTTGTTAATTATAAATCTGCCCCAAATTGTAATACACTAATACCAAAACTAGGCAAAAACATAGTAAGAAAACTACAGACCAATATTTCTTGTGAACATAGATTTAAAAATCCTCAACAAAATATTAGCAAATTGAGTCCAACAATGTATAAAAAGGATTATATACTACAGCCAGGTGGGCTTTATTCTAGGTACGCAAAACTGGTTCAACATTTGAAAATCAATTAATATAATCCATAATATCAACAGGCTATAGAAGAAAAATCACATTATTAGATCAGAAAAATATGCAGAAAAACCATTTGATAAAATCCAACACCCACTTATTTAAAAAAAATAGATTAGGAATAGAGGTGTACTCCTTCAACTTGAAAGAGGAAACACAAAGCTTTCCTGCTAAGATCAGGAACAAGACAAAGATGTCCCTTCTCACTACTGCTTTTTAATATCATATTGGAAGTCCTACTTATTGCAATAAGACAAGAAAAGGAAATAAATCTGGTTTAATACGAGCTCACATGTTAGCATAACTGAGAACAAAGGCTAAAACAATACATTTGCACATTAAAGTCCTCTTTTTATTTATAAAGATAAAATGAGAAATGTTATTTGGTATAATGTCTCAATTTATAAAACAAGTACATTACAATCTTAACTGTTAAATAACTCCTTGACACTGATGAAACTATAAGTTAAACAGGTGAAAATTAATTTGATACCCTGGCCAGGTAGCTCAGTTGGTTAGAGCATCATCAGGATATGCCAATGTTGTAGGTTTGATTTCCAGGCAGGGCACATACAAGAAGAAACCAATGATTGCATCAGTAAGAGGAACAACAAATCAATGTTTCTCACTCTCTAAAAATCAATAAATAAAAAGTATTTAAAAAAAAGAAAGTTAATTTGAAAAATACATTGTTTACCTGATTGAAGCTGTTCAAGTTTATCTTTTTTGTGTGAAGCCAAGTCTCCTATAAAGCAAACACCACCTTTAGCTAGCAAAGAACTGCCAGCTTGAATGCTAACTGCTCCAGTTCCATAATTATTCCTGGATAGTGTAGGAAAAATTTCACCAGAGACTGGGTGACGTATACCACGGGGCACAAGGTTTATACTAAAATTCAAAAGCCTAGGGAAAAAATAAATTCCTCATTACTATTAATTAATATTTGGCTCTCAGAAATCATAATGTGTAACAGCTACACAATCAAATTTAGTTTGATTCAATGTTTATTAACCTAGGGATAAAAACATATATAAGGCTTGGTCCTTAACTTGGAAAGCTCACAGCCGAGAAAGAGACATAAATAAAAAACTAAAATACAAAGTGATAAATACTGAAATAATGGGTGGTATGAGAACATTCATAAGAGGGTATTATTTCTTTCTGGAAGAAGTCAGAGAAAGGCATAGAGAGATGACATTTGAACTGGGCCTTTCTCATTTTATGGATTGTTTTCTTTTGTTTACTCAAAACTTTTGCATTTAGGCTTGCCAATATCCCATCATGACTATTCCGACTGCCTATCCTCTATGTCGTGGTGACTCTTGATAAAATCTTTTGCTTTCTAATCTCTTTGCCAACTGCTTCAGCCTCTTTATTTATCAAGTTTAAATTTTAAGAAAAGAATATGATTATCTTAGCTTAGCTTTCAAATCCTTGCCACAGCAATCATAACTTGCTGGTGAAATCAACTATGATGACTAGGGGTGGGGGTGGGATGGGTGGAGGTGGGTAAAGGGGGAAAAATTGAGACAATTGTAATAGAATAAACATAATTTATAAATTAAAAAAAAGACTATGATGACTAAACATAGGCATGCAGACCAAATATGGATGAAGTAGTATCCCTTAAATATGAATAAATAGATGTTATGAAATATCTACTGTATGTGCCATTCCAAGGAATTTGGATGTTAGTCTGAAGATTATAAAATGGGGAACTGAAATTTAGAAAGACACTTGCAAGCCTTTAGAGCAGTGGTTCTCAAACCTAACTCACATTAAAATCACCAGTGGAGTTTTAAAAAATTTTAATGCCAGGCTCCACCCCAAAGCAGGGAAATTAAAACTGTGGGCCTGGGCCACACTCATACATACCTTCTCCTAGGTGATTCTAATGTGCAGTCAGGCTGAGAACCTACTTATTTAGAACAATGAGCCTCAAACTTGGCTATACATTGGAATCGGGTACGGAATTTAAAAAAAAAAAAGAACTGACACAAGGTCACAGAACACAAGCCAAAATTAAAAAATCAACTGTATTTCTATATATTCACAGAAACTATTTGAAAAATAAAAACAATAAAACACTATCTTTTTAAAAAAACCCTCACCCAAGGATATGTTTACTGATTCAAGAGAGAGAAAGGGGGTGGGGAAGAAAAACATCAATATAAGAGAAAAACATCCATCCATCCATCGGCCACCTACCCCATGCACCCCTAGAGGCGATCAAACCTGAAACCTTTCAGGGCATAGCATAATGCTCCAACCAACTAAGCCACCCAGCCAGGGGAAACACTACCATTTTTAATAGCATCAAAAATGTCAAATACTTAGAAATCAACTTAAAAGATGTTCATTGCCTTTATAAAACATTGCTGAGTGAAATTAAGAAAAGATTTAAATAAATGGAGATGTACACCATATACATAGATTGAAAGATTCAACATTGTTAAAAGATGAATTCTCCCCAAAATTGACTTATAAGTTAAATGCAGTTCCAGTGAAAATCCTTAAAGGCTTTTTTGAGGGGGAGTAGTGGGTGAGGTTGGTATTAACATACGAATTCCAAACTTTATAAGAAAATGCAAAGGACCTAAAAAAGTGAAAAAAAAAAAATGAAAAATGAAGAATAAAGTCTCACCACCTGATTCAAAACTTAACAGAGCTACAACAATGAAGAATGTGTGGTATTGGCATAATTACAGACATATGGGTCAAAGTAACAGAAAAGAGAGTTGAAATGATTTATACCCAGTTCGATTTTATAACTAGTTTACATCCAGTTCAATTGCTTTTCAGCAATGGAACCAATACAATTCAATGGGGAAAGGAAAGTCTTCAACAAAAGGTATACAAAAATTAGATAAATGCATAGCAAAAACATAAACCTTGACTTCTATCTCAAACCATATGCAAAAGTTAGCTTGTGACAGATAAGAGACCTAGTATAAAAGTGAAAACTATAATGCTTCTAGAAGATAACACAAAATAATATATTTATGACCTTGGGGTTGGCATAGATTTCTTAAGCAGAATGCATAAAACTCTAAACATAAGAAAATAAATTGGGTTTAATCAAAACTAAAAAGTCTGCTCATCAAATATATCTAAGTGTTAGACTGGGAGAAAAATTTCATGATACACACAGATGATAAAGGATGCACATCCAGAGCAACCCCATTTAAAAGTGAGCAAAGGACTTGAATAGAAACTTCATAAAAGATATATGAGTAGCCAATAAGCACATGAAAAAGAGCTCAAATCAGTAGTCATCAGGGAAATGCAAATAAGAATCATAATGAGATATCATTTCATACATACTAGAATAGCAAAATTGAGAAAGACTGACATCAAATGTTGGTGAGGATAGAAACAACTGGGAGCATACATTGTTAGTAGGGATGGAAAATGATACAACCACTTTAGAAAAATGGCAGTTTCTTACAAAATTAAATATACACCTACATTATGACACAACATTTCCACTCTTTAGTATTTATCCAAGATAATGAAAACACATGTCCACAGAAAGATTTACAGAATCTTTACAGAAGCTTTATTTGTAATAGTCAAAACATGCAAAACCTAAATCTTCATCACTGGAAGAGTGTATGAACAAATTCTGCTATATTCGTATAATGGAATGCTACTCATTAATAAAAACAATAAAATTCTGATACACACAGTTGGGTCAATCTAAAAAACAAGTTGACTGAAAGAGACTAGACCCAAGAGTATGCACTATATGCTCTTGCTGGGTGGCACAGTTGGTCAGAGCGTCATCCTGATATGCCAAGGTGTGGGTTTCAACCCTGGTCAGTGCACATACAAGAAGGAACCGATGAATGCATAAATAAGAGGAACAACTAATTTCTCTCTCTCTTCCCCACCCCCCTAAAATCAATTACAAAAAGAGTATGCACTCTATGATTCTACTTATATAAAGTTCAAGAACAGGAAATTAATCTATGGTGACAGAAATCACCAGTGGAGATAGGAACAGTATAGAAGAGGGAATGAAAGAACTTCCTGAGGTAATGGAAATGTTCTATATTGTGGTCATGGCTATAGGAGTGTGTGCATAGGTGAGCGAGACAGACCAAGTAACCCAGGATTCCAGTGTGGGGAAACAATGCTTCAAAACCTCTGGCTGTAAAAACTTGTGGGGGTTGTGGCAGAGGGAGAAACTCCCAGTCTCACAGGAGAGTCCATTGGAGGGACCCACAGGGTCCTAGAACGTACACAAACCAACCCACCTGGGAATCAGCACCAGAAGGGCCCAATTCATTTGCAGGTAGTGGGGGAAGTGACTGAGAGCCAAGTAAGCGCCATTGTTCCCTCTCTGACCCCTTTCACACATACAGCAGCACACGCAGCAAGGTAGGTTGCCTCCCCCTGGCAAATACATAACACTCTGCTGCTCACAATGTGACAGGTGCCGAGACAAAGAAATATGGACCAAATGAAAAAACATCACAATTCCAGAAAAACAACTAAGTGATGAGATAGCTATCTTATCAGATGCAGAGATCAAAATGCTGGTAATCAGGATGTTCACAGAAATGACCGAGTATGGTTTCAAAATAAAGGAAGAAGTGAAGGGTATGCAAAGTGAAATAAAGAAAAATATACAGGGAACCAACAGTGAAGGGAAGGAAACGGACTCAAATCAACGATTTGGAACCGAAGAAAGAAATAAACATTCAGCCAGAACAGAATGAAGAAATAAGAACTGAAAAAAATGAAGACAGGTTTAGGAACCTCTGGGACAACTTTAAACATTCCAACATCTGAATCAAAGAGGCACCAGAAGGAGAAGAAGGAGGGTGAGAAATTGAAAACTTATTTGAAAAAATAATGAAGGAAAACTTCCCCAGTCTGACAAAGGAAATAGACTTCCAGGAAGTCCAGGAAGCTCAGAGAGTCCCAAAGAAGTTGGACCCAAGGAGGAACATACCAAGACACATTGTAACTAAATTACCCAAGATTAAAGATAAAGAGAGAATCTTAAAAGCAGCAAGAGAAAAGGAGACAGTTACCTACAAAGGAGTGCCCATAAGACTATCAGTTGATTTCTCAGAAGAAACCTTATAGGCAAGAAGGGGCTGGCAAGAAGTATTCAAAGTCATGAAAGACAAGGATCTACATCCAAGGTTACCCAGCAAAGCTATCATTCAGAATGGAAGGGCAGATAAAGTGCTTCCCTGATAAGGTCAAGTTAAAGGAGTTTATCATCACCAAGCCCTAATTATATGAAATGTTAAAGGGACTTATCTAAGAAAAAGAAGAAGATTAACAACTGTAAACAGTAAATGACGACAAACTCACAACTATAAACAACTGAACCTAAAAAACAAAAAACCTAAGCCAACAACTAGAACAGAAACAGAATCACAGCAATGGAGATCACATGGAGGGTTATCAGCAGGGAGCAGTGGTGGTGGGGAAATAGAGGAAAAGGTACAGGGAATAAGAAGCATAAATGGTAGGTACAAAATAGACAGGGGGAGGTTAAGAATAGTATAGGAAATGGGGAAGTCAAAGAACTTATATGTATGACCCATGGACATGAACTAAGGGGGCAGGGGGAATGCTGCAGGGAGGGTGGGTGCACGCAGAAGGGGATAAAGGGGAGGAAAAAATGGGACAACTATAATAGCATAATCAAAATATATTTTTAAAAAAACAATAGAAAAGTGAACAATGGTCAAGGAGTTTCATAGGAAAATAATGGAAGTGTTTAAAAAGCTGTAAATGATGCCAAAATTTATTTCAAATTAAGGAAATGTAGATTAAGATACAATTTTCCACCAGTCAGATGGAAAAATTTTAGTTTGATAAACTTTAAATATGTTGAATGTTGGTGAAGTTCTGTGGAAACAAATACTCTTATGCTCATATGGGAAATTTCAATTGGTGCAATCTGTAGCAGTTAGCACCATATTTACATTGCAATTTAATTTTAGCAAAAACATTTGAATTTTTAAGTTTTATTCATTAAATTTTAAGTTCATTCTATATATTTTTTAACAACTGCATATAAGATATTATTGTAAGAACCATATGCTTAACTTTTTTAATGCTTATGTAACTTTTTAAAAGGGGTCCTTGCTAGTGAGGAGCCCCAAAAGCTAAGTAAAGGCTTATTCCAATGTTATGGTGCTGTTCCCAAAACAGTAATTTGGGCATTTTAGACAGCATTATTTGGGTACAGTGAGTCAGTATTACTGAATGGAATCTTAAAGAAAAATTAAAAAAATGGCTTGTTGGTTCATAGTGGGGAGATTATTTAAAAATGAATACAAAGTACAAAAGCAAAATACTAAGGTAAGGGATGAAGGAAAAGGGAGCCTGAGAATGATGCATTTATTTGTAAAGGTCTGAGTGGGGAAATAGGTTGAAACTTTAAATGGCTCAATTCTCAAAATATTGAAAGCAAACATCCCATTTCACAATTCATGCTCTAAAAGTTTTGAATTTTATTGATAAAGTTTACTTAATTAAATTTGTGCCCAGATAAATCCTAAATATTTGTCTTGTAATAATGCTCATGGAAATGATTAAATTAAGTCTGTGAGCAATTTATAATTTAAAAAATTTCATGTCACATATTTTACCTGTCTACAAGTAGAGAATCACTTGTTACAATTAAAATATCCAGGCAGTCTTCCACTTCTTTGTTAAAGTCACTGGTCTGTACTAGACTCATCAGCAAACAGAGCTTCAGCAAATTGTAAGTCCCAGGAGGAACAATGTGTGATGCAAAGATATTGGTAAGTATTGCTGTAAATTTCCAGCATGAGCTGGCAGTCAAAGAGAGGAGACACCTGAAATTGTCACTAATTCCTGAAGGAACTGGAAGTAAATAACACATACATTAAAAGTAGTTTGAAAACAAAAAGAAAAATAACATTATAGATATCGAATTCTATTTATCTAAAATATTACCAAATTAGAGTTCTTTTAATGACCCATATTCAAATTCTTGTAATGATATTAAATTATGATTGGAAGTCACTCTGGCCTATGATCTGTATCTCAGGAAATGTGATAAAAGGAAGGAGTCACCCTGACTGCCCACATAGATTGACTCTTGAGTTGCAAGCAAATCCCTTATTCTTCTCCTTTTAAGATGTGTGAGCAAAGCCACATCATAGGGCTCCTATATTGTAGTGTTTGCTTTTTTATTTCTATGTTTGAAATAATACTACCTTCAGTGAGGACTAAAAAGCAGAGTGGGAAATATTTGACTATGGTTGTTAAAAGATTTATACTCTACTACTTTGAAAGCATTGTACTGTACTATATGGTAATAGTCTAGACCTCCACTCCCTCACTCTGTGCAACTCCTGAAAGGAATGAGTAATTTAATCAAATTGGTCAGTTTTGGAGGAATAGCTAGGCATGTATAAACCAGTCCTTTTCTCCCTCCTCTTGGGCTACCATCATAGAGCTTTGATTTCTTCTACTCACCCATGCCCACAGACGAAGGAAAACCTATCTTGGTGTAGCTCTTGCTACATCTGGGTGGTTAAATCTGCCTAATTTTGGAGTTCAGCATGAGAAGCAGTTTTCAACCTACATATAAGCCATGTTCTGCTACCAACTCAGTACATCTTGAAACACCTCACACCAGAAAATATTTAGAAGATCACTAAAATGTCTATTGTTCACTAATGCCTTTCTTCAACATTTTAATTGTTCACAAGCTTTCTTTTCAAGATAAGCAGAAGTATCTAGAACCACCTTTCATTTAAACTCAATTTGGGCCTCTATTATTGCAGATGGTCATCTAGGAATTCTTTTAAAAGACTAACTCTATTCAAGATTTAACTAGCCTTTCTTACATTTTGACATTAGTGTGCCAAGTTAAAAGAATATGCTTACTCTCCACTTTTGTTTACATAATGCTTAATTACATTAGAGTTGTCAAAGAAATGATAAATTGTCAGTAATAAAGTTGATATTTTGGTTCCCATTTGCCTTTCTATTTTGTCTTATATCTCAATTTGTTCCGAACTCAGATGAGGAGAAGGATGCTAATTTACTGGTCTCTCTTTCTCAGTTCACAAGGTAAGATCTAGCTAAGGCTAGAAAATAAAGGTTAGGGTAGAAAAACCTTTTGACTAATCTTTAACTCTTGGTACCCTGAAACATTTTTCTCATTAGTAATTATTAAAATAATAATAATAATAATAATAATAAGGCTTAGCAAAAAAAAAAAAAAGATTTCCTCTGGACAAGGTTCTACATTATCCCATTTTATTTTCTTCACAGAATTTATTATCTGAAATTGTCTTATTGATTAGCTTACTGATTATCATCTGATTTCAGAGTAGGAACTTTAACTGGCCTGATCAATGTATCCCTAGTGCTCAGAAGAGTGCCCAGCACAAGGCAGACAATACTTACTCCCTAAAAAATGGATTTAAATTTAAATGTTTGTTAGTATATATACTATATATTTTCCTTACCTTTTGGATTGCAAAAAGTGATGCTGTTTGCCTCTATACAAACAGAAGTTTGTAAAGTTTTTACACAGGTTGGAATTCCAATAATTTTATACTCATTTCCTATACTCATTTTGTTCACTGATTCATCTAAAATTATCAAACACAAAAAACAATATGTGTTCACTAATGAAACTTGTACATGATCTTATGGTTCAAAAATCTAGAACAAGTAACAATTCAGTAGTTGGATTAAAATATGTATTTTTGTTTAGTGTAATACCCATACAGAATGGCATTAATGTAAATTGAGGCTATTTTATTGCTAATAAATTTTGATACTTATAGGCAATGTTGAATTAAATTCAAGAAGCATGTGACATAATTAGGTAGTCTCCTACATAGTCAAAACAAAAATAATGATCATTCTATTTAAGATGAAATAGTTTTGTATTAAATGACAAGAAATGTTAATAAACATGATCTTATAAGTAATATTTTATTTGGGAAGAAAATAATTTTAAAAGGTATTATTACTGTCTACAATATAGGCAAGGCACTTTGATATTCATTACCCAATTGTAAACTATAAAATAGATATTGTCATCCCTACTTTACATATGAAGAAACTGAGAGGGTAAGTGACTTGCACAAGGCTAAATAGTTAAGTACCAAAACTGAAATTCATATCTAGGTCTGCCTAGTTCCAAAGTCTACTGTCTTGCACTATACTAGGTTCCTCTCTCATACCTACATATTGGGTGAAATTTTTGCACAAGTTCAAATCTCATTTAAGAAGACCACACACCAGAAATCTTGATTTTCCATTACACAATTAGAAGTTGGGTCATTGTAAAGCTATGAAAAAATGTTTTACAAGGAGATTAACTTCTCTCTTTAAAGAAGATCAAACAGTGATCTCCGTTTTTAATTCTTTTCTCTTCTCTCTTGTACTTTTTTTTTTTAAGCTCCACAGAACATACACCAGTACCCTGTAGACTTGGAAGGGAAGAATCAGGCTCAAGAATTGAGAAAATAAAAACCTAAAACCAACCAACCCAACTAACAACAACAACAAAACCCACATCTAAATGATATAGAATGAATTACAAGGGGAAAATAAAAATGAGTAATTTTTCAACTGTGCCATGGAATCTTTGAGTTCGATGGATATGTCTTGGAAAGGTCAAGAGGAAAGCAAGAAGTCTGGGAAATCTGGTTATTTCTTCTGATCTGAACCCCAAAGGGCCTGCTTCTATTCATTTAACTTTTAAAAATTTATTTGGGTTCTATATAAGAGTTTATATGAAGAAAGGGTTTTCTAGTAAAATATAAGTTATGTAGCCACTTATATTTATATACTGTAATGTATGGTTTATATATAGTATATAATAGAATTAAGTAGTTAAAAACATCTATTTTAAACTAGAACGCTCAGGTTTGAATCACAGCTGTGCCAGGTACCAGTTGTATGACCTTTGACAAGTTACTTAACTTCTCTGTCTCTGTTTTCACACTGTAAAATGAAAATAACAATAGAAACTGTTGATAGGGTTGCTGTGACTAAATGAGTTAACATATGTAAGAGTGCCTGGTACACAGTAACTGCTATATAAAAATTACATATTATCATCTAGGCTTACATACCTGCCTCATCCTTGGCAGGCCATAGATGTACACCATATACATAGATTGAGAAAATAAAAACCTAAAACCAACCAACTGAAATTCATATCTAGGTCTGCCTAGTTCCAAAAAGAGCAATTTATTGTTTAAGTCTAAATCACTTTTACAATGTTATAAAACATTCACAGAACAAGAAGAATGTTAGAAAATTTGGTGCCTCCCAATGTTTGTAAGTTAAATGCATTTTTTCCTCTCCTCTCCCACCAATGTAACAGATAATCTTGTATTGCTGATGTACATATTTTTAGCGAAGAGTTCTTCTTTGAGTCTTTACTTTCCTAACTCTTAAATTTCCTATAGGTAGTTGACTTTCAAGATCCCTCTTTCTGAACCGTTTAATTCCTCCACCTTTAGCCCAAGAAAAGAGGCTGAGCCATATCCTCATTTTCACAGTTTTGGCTCCTCTTCTCTTCCCTGGGTGATTGATACTAATTTCCTCCTTCATGGCAGATTCTGTCTACGCACAGGTCTTTACCCATGCAGTTCTCAACAGTCAATGCATATTCAAATGTGCAGCATATGCACGTATGTCAATGCACATTCATTTATTTAACAAGTATTTATTGAGTTTTTACTATATGTAGTAAAAAATCTAAGTCCCTACCCTCATGATGTCTATATTCTAAAACAATTACTACAATACTTACATAACACACACATAGAATAATGGGAGGTCATTACCATAAATAGTCATGACTTTGGGACTTAGCACAGTGCTTGGGACATAGCAGATCCTAATATCTTTTAAAGTGAATGTTGTGTGACTAAGTGAGTAATTGCCACATAGCTAAATATGACTCTTTAAAATACTCAAGAATAAGATGACCTATCATTCTTAAGTTACAGCAGTCCCCCCTTATCTGTGGGGAGATATGTTGCAAGATCCCCACTGGATGCCCGAAAGTATAGATAGTACCAAACTCTCTATTTTTTTCTATATATACATACATATGATAAAATATAATTTATAGATTATTCACAGTAAGAGATTAACACTAATCACTAATAATAAAGTAGAACAATTATAACTATATCTTTGTGTGTGTGTGTGTGTGTGTGTGTGTGTATATAAAAGAAGTGAATGTGGCATTATTATGTTAAATAAAGGTTACCTACTTAAACACAAGCACTGCAATACCTTGATAGTCGATATGATAACCTAGATGGCTAGTAAGTGACAAACAGGCAGGGAGTGTCTACAACATGGAGATGCTGGACAAAAGGATTATTCACTTCCCAGGATACTTCATCACGCTACTCAGAATGGTGTATAATTTAAAACTTAGGAATTGTTTACTTCTGGAATTTTCCATTTAATATTTTCAGACCATGGTGGACCATGGGTAACTGAAACTATAGAAAATGAAACTATGGATAAAGGGGGATTACTGTATAGAAGTACCATTTATAATATAAAAGCATAAGTATGTCAATTACATATTTTATATATTTTATAGCTATTTGCTTTTAGTTCAAACAGAACTTACCTCTTAGGAAAATTGTAAGAGATTGAAACCTAAATGGCTGGTTGTTAGAGTATCCTTGAAAAGCATGAAGTGCCTTTGCAGTAATTATTTCAATTATCTGTTTATCTTAAGGCAAAGAGCAAAAAAGAATGTTATTAGAATATATATTCAATATAATTTCCATATTAAAATATCAGACACCACTTTTAAAATTGAAATGAAAATGTAAATGCATTTTTACCACCAAGTACTCTAAATTTCCTGTCTTCTTGAAGTGAAGATGAACACAGATTACACAAAAAGTCATTTCTTACTGTTGCAGATTCTGTAGCACCAGGCACATGCACTCTTACATACTGAAATCCTGAGGGGGGGGAAAAAAACTCCAGAAGTAAGCTAAATTTGCTTTTGGATTTAGCTATCCATTTTCAGTCCTTTAAAAATTAACCTAATTTAAAGTATAATTAATTCAATTTTGTGTGTGGGTTCAAAACAGTTCAATTAACATTTATTGCATGGCCATTTCTTGCCAAACACTGTGCTAAGGCACTGGTAATATGAATACTTAAACACACAATTTCAATAGGCAACAATAAGGAAACAGATAATTTCAGTATGCAGAATCTATTTAGAGTGGTTAGAGAGAAGAGAGGAGGAGCATCAAACCCAATGTGAGGTGGAGATGAATGGAGATGTCCTGGAGAAAGACTAAACTGAAGTTAAGCCAAAAGGCAGAGAGAGGATATTACATGGAATGAGAATAGCATGAACAAACTTTCGTGAAACAATGTAAGAAAAATATGTATATCAGCAATACAAGATTATCTGTTACATTGGTGGGAGAGGAGACGAAAAAATGCATTTAACTTACAAACATTGGGAGGCACCAAATTCTAACATTCTTCTTGTTCTGTGAATGTTTTATAACTAATTGTAAAAGTGATTTAGAATTAAACAATAAATTGCTTAATAGTTTGATTTTACATTTTAATATTTACCTTTTGAAAGAGGGCATGTTTCATCTGAACAAAGAAATCTTGCACCTTGTGTATACTTGGTTACAGTTGTCATTGCAATCACAATTCCTTGCATCATATAAAATCTTTGAGATGTATAATCAAGTGGGAACTCATAAACATTAAGACTATAACTTGGCAGAGGAGGTAAATGTGTTAGCTTCAGCACTATATTAATCTAATAAGAACATAAACATGGTATTAATAAAAACTGCAGATCCAATTGGCCTTGTATTACAATATATATTTGTAGGGTAAGTCAAATAAATGATTTGTTAGTGTTATTAGGAACCAAAATTTTAAGCAAAAAAGATATTTAATATAAAATTAAATATGCAAAACCCTTATAATCTTACATTTTAATTGAAAATATCATTATTTTCCTTAAAAATACACATTTCCTCAAAAGACATAAAACAATGACAACCCAATAGCAAGGAACACTTCTACTGCTCAGATTGTAATTGCTAACTATAATTTTCCAGTAAAAGGAAACAGGACTCCTTAAGGGAAATGGCTCTTTCCAGGTCTGGGGCAGAAAATATACCAGATGGACCTGGTACGTCTCCTTGTGCCAGAAACCAAGGGAGCTATAAAAAACTAATGGGATGGGTCCAAATGAGACAGGAGCAAAGTTTAAAGGGAACACCCAAGGTAGGATAATAAAAGGATCAAAAAGAATGAAAAATTCATTAAAACATATCAGATATATTTAAAAATTCATGAGTTCATAGTTTTTTTTTTAAAGAAAAACAAAAACAATATTAATTGGTCATAATTAAAAGCAAGATTTCAACTCATTACTCTGAAAATTTAGAAATGGAAATAATCAAACATTTATTTTGCTTTTCTTGTACAAATTGTATTTCAGGGTAACCATATATTTGATGAAAGAAACTTCTCTTATAGACTAATTTCAGCTAGTAAATTCTGAAAGGATGCTAAAGTTTTTAAAAAATCACAATTTTGTAATACTTAATGAAATAAAAAAGTATAGGTAGTGATCATCAATGGCTGCAAAAAGCATTAGGTGAAAGTTGATAGGAGACTGTATATTGGAAGGATTTGAAGATAACACCTGAACCCACTGATCCACTGTGGCATGGCTAAACTTTGGACAACAGATGGTATAGTTCTCATACTGTAGTGCAATATGAAATACATGAAACTATCATGTATTGTTGTTAAAATTAGTTGAATCTGAATCTAAGCAAGTCTTTAGAGCCAACTTCTATTTTCCAGAAATATAGGCTATAGAGGAATAAGTTAAATACAACAAGAACATAGACAAACCCAGATTGAGACATTTTACAGAACAAGTAATTAGTTTCTTAAAAAAACCCAACAGTATAAAAAGGGAGGGGGAGGGAAACGGCTCTGGATTAAAAGAGACTTAGTGAGACATAAGAACCAATTATAATGTGTAAACCTTGTTTTGATCCTATTTGAACAAATTCACCATGAGACATTCTTGAGGTCCCAATTGGGTAAATTTAAATATGGACTGGATATTATAATGATACCAAAGAATTATTATTATTTTTGTAAGGGGTAATAATGGCATTGTGATTATATAAGAAAAATGTCCACAATTTTTAGAGGTTGACACTAAAGTATGTAGGTAGGTGAAATAACAATATCTGGATTTGTTTTAAAATATTTCAGAAAAATATTGATAATGTAAGCATAGCAAAATAAAAATAAACTATTAACTCTGAGTGAAAGATAGATGGAGGTTTGTTATATTAGTCTATTTTAGCATATGTTTGAAATGGTTTATCAAAATGTTTAATGTTATAAGTGATAATACAGGAAACAAGCATATGTAAGATATTCCATTGAACTTTGAAAAATGAACTTTTTTAATAAAAAAATATAGAAATGTTTATTTACAAGTCATCTTAAAAGTATTGTACATTAGTTTTCTTTATTAAATTAAACAAAAACTTACTTGAGTTTCAGTCTGTAATTGTCCAATTAATGAAAGAGTCTTAACAGCAGTAAAACAGACCTGTGATTTCAAACAAATGAAAAAGTTACCAAAAATTTCATGGGTTATAAAATTATTTCTTTCTTTAACTTACTGATTGAAAAACTTGAGCAGCTTTTAAAGGCTGATGTAAAATGTGATTTCCAAGTTCACCATCTAATTCAACAACATCAGAGGGATTTATTAAAATATTGAATCGATAGACAGCATAACTTTGTTTTGAATCTGTAAAAATACACAAATATAAAATTGAGAATAATTATATGTAAGTATTTAAAATTTCTAAAATACAATCACCTTTGCTGAACATACCATTGTAGTACTTGCAGTCATCTATAAACTTTTGGAGCCCTCCACTTCTGTCAAGATAGATAAGGGCTGCTTCTTTCATTTTTAGATTTGACATCTTCTAGTTAATGACTCCTCTGTGTTATTAATTGATTAAACCACAGTAGTTGATAAAGACTACAGATGATGAAACTCACAGAAAAGATGAGAACACCTAGAAATAAAATAAAATGCGTGTTTGAAGATCTCTTGTAAAACTTTACAAGCTAGGAATAAAATGATTAAGATTGGATCCTGCTTTCAAGGAGTCGTCAATTATTGGTCGTTTACTATTTATTGCACACGGGGCATTGGGGATACAGATGAGTAAAATACGGTCCCTATTTGTTCAGAAAGAGTACAGTGAGAGAAGACAGCTATGTAAAAAATTATAATACTAGGGAACACAAAAGGAGCAACAAATAGTTCACAAAATTTGGGATATCTTTGCGTAGGGGGTCATAATATTTCCTACTGTATTAGGACATTTTGATTCAACACGGTGGGTTTATAGAGAAGCAGCACTGAATTCTATTTTTAAAGGTGACATTTGGTAGATGAGTCAGATTTTACTGACTGGAGAAGAGGTGAAGAGGGGAGAAAGTTTTCCAAAGACAGGGGGTAACCTCCCTCTCCCCGCGTTTTCAGATCCACACTATTGAATCCACACCCCTGCTACTCAGGCTACTAACTGAGACTGTCCTTTTTGCAATTATTCAGTGGGAAAACTTCAGAGTTCATTCCTCTGTGGCCATAAGTTTGTACAATAATCAAAGTGTATGCTGTGTTCAGGATATTACATCTGTGCTTCATTAGGAAATGAGATTTCCGGGCTGAATGAAGGGAGGCTATTGACAATGAACTGATTGGGTGAGGCTCAACCAGGCTATGAAAGTTTATAGGCAAAGAGAAAGTTTTTAACATTACTCCCATCAACGTTTTTAACAGGGGAGTAATACGGTCAGATTTTCATTTTGGAAACCAGTACCTGCCGTCAGTGTGGAAAATGGATGGGAATAGAGGAAGAGTAGACAATCAATTCCTATTGAAACAGCCCTGAGATGGATGGTCCAATCTAGGGCACTAAGAATGGAATGGAACGGAAGAGATGGATTCTAGATTTAAAGATTTCATTCATACTGGACCTGGTGACCAGCCTGTAAGTGAATTTTCAACATGGATGTGGGTGGATGCTGCTGCTCTAAATGGAAATCCTGAACCTAGGGAAAAGTAGGGAAATGCTGAGTAAGGTAAATTTCGTTTGAGATATTCTGACTTTGACGGGCTCTTGGGGCACCCAGATAAGCACTAGGGAGACGTGAACGAGGGCTACTGATTCAGTAGCTTTAAAAAAGAAAAAGAGAGAAAAAAAAAAAAGGCTAGAGATAAAGTTCTGCGTGTCGCCTGCTTAAAGCTCGGGTCCTAGGCATGGATGGGGAAAAGGGAGGAAGCCCGCGCAAAGCAATAAATAAGAGAACGTGCGTAAATTCTATCACTCTTCTCACAGCCTCAAGAACTCAAGTTTTGGTTCGCTTGGAACGGGAGCAGATCGTGTCTCCACTCCTTGCCGCGTCAGCAGGAAAACACCTCACAAAGTGGCCGAAGAGAATCCAGCCTCACACCCTGCGGACCAGGACCTCCCCCATCCGCAACGCCAACCTCCTGGACTGCGGACCCTAGCCCAGCAGTGCCTCACACCGGTCCTTGGACCCACCGAGCTACGTACACCACACGCGCGCCGCCGGGAGCCCGGGCCCCAGGGAGCCCTTAGAGCGCATGCGCACACCTTCCTTCTGACCGTTGGCGGCGGCGCGGGGACTGCCGGGCCGCGCCTTCCAGTCTGCAGGGCAACTAGGCCCAGCTGCGCTTCACGCACTTCAATCACCCCCGCTCCCTCCCTGCAAAGAAAAGCAGAGAAAAAAAAAAAAAGATAAAAAACCATTGGTTGTCACTGTTGTCACAGGCGAAAGGTGCCTGTGTTTTTTTAAAAAACTTAAGGCCCTGGCTGGGTTGCCCAATTGGTTGGAGCGCCCTAGCGACTCCAAAATGTTACGGCTCAATCTCCAGTCAGGCCGTTGTATGGGAAGAAACGGATCCCTGTTTCTCTATCACCCCGATGTCTTTCTCTCTCTCTCTCTAATCAGTAAACATAAACTCGGATGACTAAAAACTTTCCTGGTGGGAATGAAAATGCTGCAGGTAATTTGGAAAAATTTTGGGACTACCTTATATGACTAAACAGAATTACTGTATGATCCAACAAATCCAAGCCACGTATGAATTTGAAACACATGTCCACACAAAAATCTATACATGAATGTTCATCATGTTATTATCAGCCAAAAAGTGGATAAAATGTGGTATAGCATACACATTTTATTTGGCCATAAAAACGGATGAGGTGCTAATACAGGCTAAAACATGGATGAGCCTTGAAAACACTATGCAAAGCAAAAGCAGCCAGACACAAGCGGCCAAATATTGTATGATGCGTTAACAATAGGTAAACCTATACAGAGAGAAGATAGTTTTCCTCATCTAGATCTTACAATTTTTGTTAGGACTTGTAACTATTTACTGGGGGAGGGGCTAGTGTTAATGGTGGTTTTAATTTCAAATTTCACTGTACTGCTGGTATATGTTGTTTTTGTATATTAACTTTGTATCATGCAATCTTACTATAATCACTTACTAGTTCCACAACTTTTTAAAGTTCTATTAGATTTTCTACAGATACTCGTGTCACCTGTAAACAAGAACAATTTGATTTGGTATCTAATTGAAGCATGGTGCTAGGGGATATCTTAACTAAAGTAAATTTAGTGTAAGAGTTTAACATCAATGTATCGTTAACAAAGTAAACTGTTACTGTTGCAATATTACTATCATTGACACATAAGAAAAAAATTCAACACAGCGCAGATATTACCTACTATCCGGGAAGAACTAAAAAAGAAAATCTAACACAAGATAAATTTGACCATTTGAGTAGGTGTTTCCCTACTCAATGTAGTAGGGATATGGAAAATTCCAAATGGTCGCCTGCTACAAGCCTATCGGGAAGCCCTAAACGGGGGCAGTTTCTGCCCCACTAAGTGTTTTTGAGCTATGTCATCCATGTATCTTAGGAGCATCAGACATGCTGATTGCATTTTTTGCTTTAAAAACAAAAGGGGATGTGCCAATATTCACTACATATTATGCAGTATTTATGTCTTTTGTATGTAAAACTTCAGCTATTTGTCTTGTCATTCGTAAATAATTGGAGGAAAATTCATTATAGTTGATTTTACTAAATCTCAATTTAAAAGTCTCATTTTCCTGTAAGTCTAATTATTCAGTTATAATTTTATTTTTTAAGTAAGAAATTTTAAGTTGTTGTCTTGGTTCTGTGGGTCTCAAAGTAGAGAGTCTTCCAGGGGTTAGAGGTCATCTGTTCCGTGGCCTCAGTACTTACTTCCTTGTTTAGGTTGTGGTCCTTGATTGGGTACCTTGTTATTAGAGACTGAAAAAAAAGTCTAAGAGACTTTACAGACACGTGTTTTGCAATTGTGGTAGGCACTTTTTCAAATGACACATGCACACTAGTGTATAGCTTGAGGCTTCAAACAGGAGATGTGACTTAGAGGGTAATGCGTAAGATTTGGGGGTTCAGTGTTTTATTTAGAAGACTTAATCATATGGTTTACATTGTCTCAGTTATTTCAGAGGCTGTGTGGTACACATTTTCATAGAATATAGGCTTTTAGAAGTAATTATTTTTGTTATATATCTTACAGACTCAAAGATACTTGGCACATTAGGGTTTTTTTTTTGTTCCTGTAACAAGAACAAATGTAAATTGAAGAATTTTTATGTAAAAAAGTACACTTTACAAGCTGCTGTGGACTAACCCTTGGCTTGCCAAAGCTCTTGCCTTTTTTACTTTTCACGTCCACATAGGACAGTATCTAGGAATCTGTTACGAAACCATTTTTAAAACTATTAAGTAATGCTATTTCCTTAAAAGCCTAACACTATTCTTTATTTTTTTGTTATACAATATTGTAAAGCATGGTCTCAGACTTCTAAGTACACTTTGAATTTCTTTGAATTGTTAAAGTTATCTCATTTATAAACACTAAATTCCGTCACTTCCTGTCATTTTATCTTTTATTCTTTTAAATGTATTTTTCTTATGTGTATTATAAACACAAATTTCCATTTGAGGTTTCTCTCTCATAAGCCTCTGGATTCCGTGAGTTAATAAAACAAAAAAACTTAAATACTGACAACACATTGTAGACTTTCTCACAGAGATTAAATTAATATTGAAGTAGAAATGTGTTCCCTAATAAAGTGAAAATGATGAAGATGTATTAGAAAAAATGATGAATCTATTACATACATTCCTGCAAAAGAGAATTTACAGCAAAATCTCCCAGGTCATGTTTGCATGCAAGGTTTCTAAAATCACCGTGTCTGGTTCTTCTAGTAAGTAGGGTTACGTAGAGTGATGTTATTGTTTTACACTATTCTCTCAAGATTCATATGTGATCTATCATTTTCAGGACATTATGGAAAAATAACTTTTTGGTATATAAACCTTTGACTCACTACTGTTATAAATATCATGAACTTATACTTCTCTATTGGCTTTTTTCTTTTGCATAACATTGCTTTGAATTATTCTCCACTATCTTGACTTTGAATAACTAAAAAGTTACATTTTTGAGACAGCAGTATTTCTTTCTGACTTAATTACCTCTGTAAAAATGGGTATAATGTAAAGAAATAGTAAAATGAGAAATACTTGTGTAGGAAACTTTTCAATTACTAAAGAATATGTTTAAAGGATTATAAATGGGTGATTATATAATATTGTTAATATAACAAAAATGCTAAATAAATGATATAAATCTCCAACTGGCCCTGGCTGTGTGGCTCACTTGACTAGAGTTGCCCTGCACACCAAAAGGTTCCGGTCCAATCCCCAGTCGTGGTGTGTACTGGAGGCAACCATTTGAGGTTTCTCTCTCATATCGATGTTTCTCTCTCTCTCCCCCGCTTTCCTCTCTTTCTAAAATCAATACAACGTATCTTCAAGTGGGGATTAAAAAATATCTCTAATTGAAATGGTCTCAGGGAAGTTAATGCAAATTCTCTTAGTATTAGGTGAGTAAAGGAAAACAAAGTGGAAGTTAAGAAAGCCATTCTTTTTACAGCAGTGAATACTTTTGAGCATCTGAACAAAGCTATGTAACACACCCTGCCCTAAGTTGATTTCATTTACACACAAAACTTTGCATATCACTTCAAGGTACTCAAGTCACCTGAAACTCACCTATGTACACTTTAGGGTTTCATATAAATGAACAATCACCTTGGGATATGGAATAATCTAGTAATTTTTATATGTGTTCAAAAATTTAGTTAAAATTTTACTTGTATTCTTCACACACACACATATACATAAAATTCAGTTTTTAATGACTGCTATAATCATCACCAATTTTAATTTAAAATAATGACAGGAATTAGATGATCATTAATCTTTTTGCTATCTTTATTATACTATGTAAGATGTGTATTTTCTGAGATAAAAACATCAACATTCTATTTTAAATTTGTTCTTAAAAATATACAATATTGCACTTCAATTTTTGGCAGTTTAATTAAGGAGTGGCTGAGTAAAAAAATCATACAAGAAACTAGTTTTTATTTTGCTTTATAATAAGCAAAGAGCTTTGTGTGAAAGCAGAACTTACAGTAGTGCCAAATAAACTAAATATTTACAGTGTTGCTACTAAAGCTTCACCTCTACAGGAAGATTCAGTGTATTGAATGCAAACATTATTAATCAAAGAAAAGCACACCCGTTGCCCCATTCTGCTGAACATTTTTAAGCCAAAGTGTATTGGTGTAAAATGCTTTTTGATTTCTTAAGAGAATACATGGAAAGAATGCTTGTTCTTGAAGCATCTAAACTGGGTCACTAAACTCTTTCACAATGTTTCCTACATGACTTGAAAAATTTCTAAACTAAAAATCAGAATTCCAAGATAAGCATTCTTATTATTTTTAGTTTTTCTGTAGCTAGTCTCTTTTACAAGTGCACAAGTTAGTTGGTTTTTAGTATGATTTCAAGGTCAAATTTCTAGTACATTTTCTAATATTCATAAGACTGGCTAGGCATCTGTCTGAATTATTTTTAACTTCTGTTACACTGTAGTGAAATGGTATACATTTATATTGATCCAGAATTTGCTATTCTACTTTTTAATTCCCAATTAGGTAAATACTCTAGAAAGCCCAGTATTTTTCACTTATCAAGCAATTAGGGAGATGGTTTTGAAAAGCTACTTGCAAAATTAGATACCAAGCTTTAGATCTATTTAACAGTATGTTAAACATTCAAAAAGACCAAAAAAGAACATAAATAGAATGTATTTGTGATATCAATATATGACACAGAGACATTGATTTTGGCACCACCTTAGAAAAAAAACCCGCAGCAGTACTTTATTACCCTTTGGATCTTTGGGAATATTTAAAATGCCAACTATTAAACATTTACTTTTACTCCAGAGGAAAAATAATTCACAAATTTAAATTGGTATTTCAAAAGCAAAGGATTTCCTTTTGCTACTTTGTAATATGATCTACAGAATGAACAGTTATTCAAACTGTTAATTAGCAGCCAGTGTGTTAACTTTGTTTTTACATTTTAATCCCACCAAGATCTGATTATGGTAAGCAGTGATATATTATAGACACTATGGTTTCTTCTTAAACAACCACGTACCAATTGCATAGCTCTGATCCGAGGATAAAGGTCAAAGTAGAGTTAGAAAGGCATTAGCATATATTAACTGAACTGAAATAGACTGTTGGAAATCTATCTTGGGTAGATGTTAGTGTAAACTGAGAGGGGAAAAAACAGTCATTAGCAAAAAAGTTTTCTTTAAAAATAGGTTAATGCTAAGAACAATAGCTTTTAAAATTTGTTTAAAAATAAGCTTAATAAACAAGAATACAAATTTTAATTCAAAACTTAGCTCTTTGAAATGCCCTATTCTCTTGCATACAGCAGAAAATACATTTTTCATAGTTGTTAATATTACATGTAAAAATGAGGCACTAGTAATACATATTTGAAGATATCCACACAAACAGGAGGTTCAGTCCCATCTGTACGTAGTCTTATATTTGCTCAATGGTTTTTGGATGGCAGAATATTCACGAAAACAAGTCTTCTGAAGGAGGTGCATAAGAGAAACCAACAAATGCATCATCGGCCTCCAGTACGCTGGCATTCACTATAGAATAGTCAGAAGACACACACACAGAATATGGAACTGTTTCTTCTGTAAATGCAGCATCAAAGTTCCGAATGTCATCTGGTCCTGCCTAAAACATTGAAAGAATACTATTATTCACCTTAGCTTTTTTCATTAACTTAGTTCTTAATTAGGAACCCTTTATGAATTTGTATATTTATTTCTGGCAAATTCCGATGTCTTGTTACTTCATCGTACCTTGAAACATTTTCTGCTTTTATTCACTTAGGTAAGGCCCTTGTAATAAGTAAGGTTCTTGTCATTGGCTGGGAGGAGGACAGGGAAAGGTGAGGAAGACTGGCGTAACAGAGTCCTCACCTACGTTAATTTGAATCTCAGTCCCTGCAACTTACCTCCTTTCTCTCTACCCATCACCTCTAAGTTTGGAAAAAGCGTTCAAGTAGATTTCCAGGATAGTATTTTGCATTTGAGCTTCCATTAAATGCCTTCTCAATTATGGGTAGGTGAAACTTTTTAATGAAGGAATGAAGGGGCGGTAAGTAAAGTTGTGAAAGGTGGACTTTGTGCCACAAAGGTCATTAAACATTCCACTGACACCATCTTTACCTCTAAAGGACGAAGGGGGCCAGGAAACTGGGAAATGAAGCATGGTGTCCACTTAGGCTCAAAGGCAGTGGTTCTTAATCTTTTACAAATCTGATAATCTTTTACAATGGCCTATGCCTTTCCAATGTATTTACAGATAAAAACTGGTTTACAAATTCAGGCGGCTTATGGTTAAATCCCGTCCCTGATGCTCTAGTTGGCTCTACTCTAAGAGAAAAGGGAGCTTTAAAATGTTCAAGTAACCAAGCCTAATAACCAAGGTGAACAGATAGGGATTCAGAGCAGATACTTTAAGCTAAGGATATAGTTAGCCTGGCAAGTCTCCAAATAGCAGAGTAGAGACCAGGGAAACCCAGAATGGCTCTATCTTTCTGTATGGCACATTCCCCTAGAAAGGAAAATGAATGCTAGAAATTATATATAAAATTTCATCAAATTCTTACATGTAAGTCTAGAAAGCATGGGCTCTGAAATAAGACTAAGGTTTGAATTCTGGCTGTTAATTTGCTAGCTATACTTTTTATATAAATTAACCTATCTTCCTGTTAGCTTATCTCCTCATCTGTAAAATAAGAATACTGTCACCTACCTGTTAAAGTTTTTGTGAGGAGTTGATGCATTAACACATAAAATTCCCAGAATCTGACATGTAGAAGGTGCTCAAAAAAGGATGACAATGTTCTTTTAACTGACTTTATAAATATTTTGAGAATGCCCTTATGGCTATTACTGATAGGGATAATACTATATTTCTTAAGTTAAGAGTGATGGAAGGCTCTGTCTTCCAATTGCTCAAACTCTAGTTCTGCAACTTTAAACTGTGGGCAAGTTGCTTAATCTTTTCTGTGCCTAAGTTCACTCATCAGTATGATGTGTAAAAGAACAGTAGTACTATTTCACAGGGTTAAGTAAAAGGATAAAAGTATTGAGAACACTGAGTGAGAATATCTACTTTATCCTACTATTGCTCACCTTTTGATCTTTGTTAATATATTAGGTGAAAAATAGTAACTTGTTAGGGTTTTATTTTGTATTTCTTCAATTGTCAGTCAGTTTGAACATCCTTTCATATATTTAAAAGCCACCTGTATTTATTTTTCTGTAATTTTGTGTCTTTTGTCCATGTTTTTACTGGTTATTGGTCTTTTTTTTTTTCATTAACTTATAAAAATGCTTTATGTACTAAGGAAATTTTCCCCAATTTGTTCTTTGCAGTTTTTTTTTTCCATGAAGACATTTCTAAATTTTTATGGTCAAATTTACCAATTTTTTTCTCTTATGACTTCTCAGCCGTGGATCTTTCTTTAAAAAGTTTAATGAATTAGTCACAGAAGGGCAGGGATCCAAGCCCGAAGGTATCTAACTCTGAAGTCAATATTGCTTCCATTTCCAGGGATGCTTAGGAGGAGTCTCTAACTCTTTAATGTGCCTGATGACATATTTATTTGAGAATAACTAAACTCAGTAGGAAGTCCTCAATATAAAGAAAAAATGATTGAAATTGTACCTAATACAGTCACATCTGAAAATAGTCACTCCTGGATGAGCTACATGAAATTAGTCAACCTATGAATACTGTTAAGTTTACAGGAATACAATATCATAACTATTAATAACAGCGATGAGCTATATACCCTGAAGCTGACCTTAAATAAAATATAAGTAGACTAAATAATACTATCCTGAAGTGATACAAAATATGAGTAGGCTAAATAATACCTTCTTGCTCTAATTTACTAAAAAAAAGTATTTCAAGAGTTTCACAGCAACACCAAAAAACTTTAAATAAAAGTAAAGCAAATTCACCTACGATCTTGCAACCACAAATTGATCTTGGTTTATATTCTCTTCCAGTCCTTATATGTTATTTTTACTGCTGTAATTATAAGTCACAAAAATTATAATTACCATGTTTTCATTTAACATTATAGGGATTTTCCAAGAACCTACTTATTTTTATATTTATTATCATTTATTTAACATGAAATGGCAATAGACCATACAAAAGCATGGAAAGAATAACAATTTTGGAATCAGGAACAGATTTGAATCCTTGCTCTGCTACTTTTTATTCCAGCTATGTGACATCTTTGAATTTCCAATTATAAAACAAGTATGTATAATAAGAATAGTAATAGCAGTAACTTGGTAGCTTATTTGAGGAATAAGTTACATATTGTAATGCATAAAAAGCACATATACTTATATATATATATGAAGCTATAAATAGTAACATCATTATTGACCTAATGGTTAATAACAATTTCTCCATTGTTATATATTTATTTCCCAAAATTTTCAATATTGTTAATATTTTAAACAAGTCTTTGATACAGCTTTTCTGCCTTACAATAAAAATTATTTTTAGGAAAAATGTTTCTATCAGTAGATTTAACAAGTCAAGCTAATATAAACATTTTTATAATACTGTCTTACTGTTTTCTAAAAATGATATAACAATGTACATTACCATTAATAATGTTTGCCTGTACCTGGTTTTATAGCAATCTAGAAAAAAACTGCATTGATATTATTTAAAATATTTGTTGATTTATAGGTATGAAAATAATACCTCATAGTTACTTTAATTTTCATCTTTTTTTAAACCTACTGAGCTCATCTTTTTCTTATTCATGCTGAAAGAAACACTTCACAATTATTGTACTGGAAGGTATTTTTATCAGTATAATATAACTATAATCTTTCTGGTCATCTTGAATTTACCAGTTATACTAGACAACCCTGAGTGATGGACTTGGATATATACTTACCACATTGGGATTAAATGGTGGTGGAATCTTCTTTTGTACAAGGTCAGTCCAACTGAGTGATTCAAAAAAGGGATGATTCTGAATTTCAAGCTAGATTAAAGAAATGTATATATTTTTAAACTAAGGCTGAATACTACATTAAGAACTCACTGAAGAATTTTATGAAGCCAAACCATTAACACTTGGTCCCTCAATAATTCTTTTCAGATACATGTTTATGTTATTCATGTGGCAAAACAGTATAGCAGAAACACTACATGAGCAGGCATGAAAGACTTATATCCTCTTCATTATCACAGTTTCTTCAGAAGTAAAATGGAGTTGACATTTCTTCCCTAGAGACTTAATGAGGTGTTCTAAGGATAAATTGAGGATATAAAAATAAGAGTGGTATAAAAAGATGAAAGTACTACGTAGATATAAAGAATTACTATTATTATCTGAATGGCAAGGGCAAAAAAGAAGTTAGGCAAGAGAGGTTTATACAGTAGCGCAGAGATAAAGCCCAGATGATGAGCCCTGCTCCCCAGGAGTATTCCACTCTGAGTGCTACCATCAAAAGTCGGCACAGAACTGATTCTAGCTTTTTATCCCCTGAAAGATGCCATGAAAATGTATACGTAGGATCCAACCTAGTTCGGTGGCTTTAAAAAGCCTTCTTAGAGAAAGTGATGTCTGACCAGAATTCTGAAATACGAATAAGGATTAGCTAGACAAAAGAATGTGGTTTGTGGGATATAAAGCAAAAAGAAACAAACAAACATACAAACAAAACAAACCCACAGACACAGAAAACAGAAGGGTGTTACTGGAGGGGAAAGAGGTGAGGGAGAATGACGAGGATAAAGGGGTTAAATATAAGGTGATAAAGGGAGACTAGAATTTGGGTGGCAAACACATAATGCAATATACAAATATTGTACTATAGAACGGTACACTTGAAACTTATATAATCTCATTAACCAATGTCACCCCAATAAATTTTAAAAAAAGAATGAGGGGAGAAAATTCTAGGCAGAAAATAAAGGCCCTTAAGTGGCAAAGAGCTTAGTTTCGTCAAGAAAATGAGAGTCCAGTATGGTTATAATACAGGGGAAAATGGGGGCTGTCACACAATATAAGCTCTAGAGGTAAATGGGCCATATCATGTGGGCCTAACATTAGAATTTTAAAATTTTATTCTAGTGTTATGGGAAGCCATCAAAGAGTTTTAGTTAGGGGAATGTCTAAAATATGAGGGGTTTTTTAGTTTGTTTTTTTAAGACCACTCTGACTATAAGGGGGTAATGCACTAAAGCGTCATAACCAGGTTTATTAAAAAAAAAAAAAAAAAAAAAGCTACAGTCGCGGCCAAACAAAAGATGAGAACATTAGGAAAAGAATGGTAGCAGGGGGTGTAGAGGCAAGTGCCTGGATATGGGAAAAATTTAGGGAGGCAAATACATCAGGATCTGGCTCTCTGTTGAATATGAAAGTAAGGAAGAGAGAAGAGCCAAGAACGACTCACAGCATGGTAAAAGTGAAATAAGTTAGGTGGAAAAGGATAAGAACAATATGATTTCACTAATATGTAGGAAATAAAAAGGAAGGCAACGAACAAGCAAACAAAACAAACAAAAAAACAAAAACCTCAGAAACACAGAAAACAAGTCTAGTATCATTATCAGAGAGCAAGATGGGTGTGAGGAGGTTGAAGAAGGTAAAGGGGTCAAACATATGGAGACGAAAGGAGACTGAATTTTGAGTGGTAAGCACACAATATAATATACAAATGATGTATTATATAACTGTATGACACTTGAATCTTATATAATCTTATTAACCAATGTCGCCCTAATAAATTTAATAAAAATATTTTAAAGCAGTGTTAGGAAAGAATTATTTAATGTATTCAATTTATAGTCATATAAGAGAATATTAATATAGCAAGATGGATCTCCAGGAAGAATGATAAAAGCAGGTATAGCAAAGAGTATATTGTACTCTCATTTGTGTAAAAAAAAACCCCAAAAAACGCAACAAAACTGGTCAGGAGGGGATGGGAATTTGCTGGAAGGATAAAAAATAGAAAAAATATTGATAGTGATGACTTCTGGAGAATGAGATAGGGACCTGGGATAGGAGGTTAAATTTTTCATGTGAATTTGAATTTTTACATGTATTTTCTTAACAAAAATACCAATAAACACATAACTGTAAAACAAACAAACAAACAAAAAAGAATGACTCTCAGATTTCTGACCTGGGGATCACAGAATAAAGATAACACAAGTTCAATTTTTGAATATATTATGTTTGAGGTATTCTCAAGAAATCCAAGGGGTGGCGATGAACAGGCAGATATAATATGAATCTAGAGTTCAGAAGAGAGGTCTGGACTGAAGGTAAAAATGTGTGAGAGAAAGACAAGTAACCAAAGCCACAGGGAACACTGAGATTGTTCAGGAAGACAGCATAGTAGAAGAAAAGAGGGTTTTAGGGCAACCACAAGGAACTGTAACATTTAATAGTCAGGTTGAAGAGGAGGAGCTCACACTGGAGATTACAGAGGAAAGCCTAGAAATATAGAAAGGAGAGCACAAGATGAGTGTGTGCTCTTGCAGAAGCCTAGGCAACAAAAGAGCACTGGAAGTTTAAATGCTGCTGAGAATGCAAGGTAAGGAATAAAAGTATTCAGTAATTCTAGTAGCTATTTTGTGGTAAATTGAGAAATGAAACAAGACTGGGAAAGGAAGGATGCATATAGAAACTTCCAACAAATTTGGCTATGAAGGGAAAAAAAAGTATTACCCTGCAGTATCAACTCTACTGAATCGAGGATTTTTGGTTTGTTTTAAGAAGCAGGAGACTTGATAATGTTTAATTATTGATTGGAAGGAGCTAGAACAAAAGGGAGCAGTTATCTATGCCGAAAAAAGCTTACATAGAATTCCCTACAAAGGGTTGGGGTCCAGCATGGGCAGTAACTGACCTTGTCCACTGTAACAGGAAGAAGGAAATGACCAGAGCAAGGTGCCTATAGGTCTGCAAATTTGATAGCAAGAAGCTGAGTTAGTTCTGCTCTGCTGATTCTATTTTCCCTATAAAATGAAAGGCAAACCCATCTGCTAAAAGTGAAGAAGAAAAGGAATCTGGAAATCTGGAGAGAAGGACTGAAAGAATTAATACATAGAGTAAGACAGTAATAAGCTGGAGAGAGAAAGACAGGAGCACCACTAGGCAGTGGTGAAGCCCAGAGAGATTAATGACTGACTTCACAGTGCTTCTGCCATGCCTATGTGCTATTGTGATTTATAGTGTGAAATATATATATATTTGATCTTAATCCATTTCTGGCACAGACCTCCCAAACACCCTGGAATCTCTTAAGTGATGAAAGTAACAATGGTGTCTCTTGTGAAGTTAATCAAGTGCCTTTTGGATCCCACTCAAAGATAGGGGCTGGTGGCCAAGAGAACCAACCATGTGATTAGAAAGTTAAAACTTGAAGTCCCAACCCACTCCTCCAAACCTTTGGGGAGAGGAAAGAGGCTTAAAGTTGAATCAATTGCCAAAGGCCAATAACTTAGTCAATTATGACTATGTAGTGAGGCCTCCATAAAAACCCAAAAGGACATTTCTGTAGTCCTTAATTGGAGAGTTTCCATGTAGGTGAACAACAAAGCTTCAACGTGCCACTTTGCCAGGCCCCAAGCTCCATAAGGACAGAAGCTCCTTTGGTTGCGACCTTGCCTTATGCATCTCGTCACCTGACTGTTGATTTGTATCATTTGTAATAAATCGGTAATCTAGTGAGTAAGTGGGTTTTCTTGAATTCTGTGAGCCATTCAAGCACATTAATCGAACCCAAGGAGGGGGTTGTGGGAACCTCTGATTTATAGCCTGTCTGTCAGAAGCACAGGTAACAGCCTGGGCTCGTGACTGATATGTGAAATGAAGAGCAGTCTTATGGGGCTGAGCCGTTTACTTGTGGAATCTGACACCATCTCTGAGTGGTGTCAGAATTAACACTATCAATTCTGCTTTCTGAGAATTGCTTATGGGTGTGGGGAAGCCTCTGCATATATACACATTGAAACTGGTACCAGAACCTCGTTAGTATTAACACTGGGTTTCAGTAGCAAATGCTTTGGAGTGAATAACACTTAACTAAGGTACATTTACCAAGTTTGCCACCATTGTATTTAGTTTTAATTTGTGTGACAAGTTTCACTTTACAAAGTGTTTCCTCTTGACTCTTTTTAAATACTGCAATCTGTTTATACATTCATTTCTGCCAGAATCATAGACATTTCCTCCTCCGTGTCTCCTCCCCAAAGTACCAAAAAGGCCTCTTGAGTGGCTATAAACATCTCACTATAAACATTTAACTAAAAACTATCACCTTAATGGTGTGTCCGAAGATTGCTTGTTAGTGCAGACACACAGACATACACACACATTGGACCCGGGTCCAGGAGCCCCGTTTAGCCCAGTTGTGGAACTTCTTCAGCAATGTACAGCAGCCCAGAGGTGACAATGTGACTCATCCATGACTGATTTCTGATTCAATAAAAGGACTAGGGGGCAAGGAACTGTGAACTATTAGCAAGATTGACTGAAACAAAGAGCTGTGGAATCCACGCTAGATAGAGAACTGCTGACAGAGCCACCTGCTGAACTGCAGTGTGGGAGAAGAAAAGCAGTAGCAGACAAGTTTTTTATTCACAGCTCAAGTTCCAGATTGATAAATAGCCCCCAAGAATTTTTGAGAAATTTAAATGAACTTAAAAGTGCATGTTCCTCAATAGTTAATGAATACTGACACGCTAACACTGGTAATTACGCTAGCAACTTAATTACCCTTTCTAAAAAAAACAAACTCACAGATTCCATAATTACCTCAAGGAGGTTATCACCAAATTCTCAGAAAAAATGTGATTTAATGTTCAAGGCAAAATGCATTGCTTCATGCAGTCAGGTGGCACTTAAATTCATATTAAACCACGTGACCTAAAAGTTCAAGTAATCAAAAAATGTATGCCACAATTTTTTTTAAAATAAGGGAGAAAAAATTCTCATCAATAAAAATCAAGGAAATAATAGAGTGTGAAAGTTGGATTTGAGAGATGAAGAGGAGAGGATCAAATTGTTATGGAGATCAAATGAGAGGATGCATGTGCAATTGCTTAAATTCTGTACAGTTCTATATATATATATAGATATATATATAGAGAGAGAGAACACTGGTGAAAATTGCTGGACCAAGCTATGCATTCTCATGGTGCTCTTCCTTAAGAACTATATTCATCCAATTAAATAATGTATAAAACAAGGCTTTATCTTCAAATTATAAATAAGCTTGAATAAAGTGGGAAAGATATACATACAAAGTCTTCTTTGGCACCAAGTCGATTTTGCCTGTCTTTTTCTAGGAGTTCTTCCAGAATGGACCAGGCTGTGAGGCTCACACCTGGCCTCAGATTTAGGGGCTTGTGAAGAATGTTGTCATACATTTCAGCAACATCTCGGCAATAAAAAGGAGGCTAAAGGAAAAAAAAAACCCACCCAAAATTAGGTTGGTGTTCACTGAAGGATGCCAAAATGTATGGGTTAAAATAGTTGGATTTGGCCTTGATCTACAGGGAGAAAACTGGGTCTGGACAATTGCAGAAATGCACAGCCCTCTCTGGGTGTGCACATCTGCAGTGTGGCCTCCCAATGGGAAGGGATTCTGAAGCCCCGCAGACTGTAGAGCTTATGCATTAATTAAATCATTGAGCGATTTAGGGTCAGTCAGTTCAATAACACCTTGTAGATAGGTATCAATTATATAAAACTTGCAATAGTATCTGTTTTAAAGAAAACAACCGCCAGTCGCATCATAGGCTTGAATGACAGAATTACTGGAAATAGAGATCCGACATTAAATAATTTAAGTCTTGGGAATAAACTAATTAAAACAGAGATTTCCAGTAAAGATGGAGTCCTGAAGTAGGTGCTCCTTCCTAAGTACTGTGCCAGTGATAGCATTATGGGTGTCCTCTGTGGAAAGAAATATTTTAATTTTTACTTTTTAGAAGCTAGCTTGATTTTAATATAGTGAATATAAGTCTCATTAATGAAGCCTATGTTTCAAATGTTCCTTTTTGAATCGACTGTATCTTATACACAAAAACATTTTATACTTTCAAAGTTGTCTAAAGAAATTCAAAGGATTCAGAAATATCAGGATGGCAAATACCCAGCACTTAAATGAAAGTTAAGTTAAAAGTGGTTATCAGGTGTTCTAAGTCACCGGCATAACCAGAAAACTAGATCTATTAACAAGTGGATCTTGGTTGATGGCAAAGAAGAGAAACTGTTGGAGGTCAGGAGACTCTGTCAGGCAAATGCTCCTAAATGTGTTGAATTTCACTGAGAGCTCCCCAGTTTTCAGGGAGAAAACCCTTCCCCCAAAACAGAACAAAATAAAAAGCCCCAGCTCAAGTCTCAGTTGATGGTGGTATTTAGTTTAATGGGGGCAGCACGGCAGGGTGGGAGGGAGCAGGAGGAGGGAACGGTTGGGGGTGATTGGATGGTTCCCAGCCTGAGCCTGCTGGCATGCACGGGACCACAAAGGGAGCCTAGACAAGATTCTAAATATTTTTAAAAAGTCTAAATAAAAGCATACATTATTCCTATAAGGATATGTAAGCTAACTAAAATGCCTAAATTGTTTGCTTTTGGTTGGAGTATTAATTCAATATAGTAAAACAAATGTACTCATGTTAACCAGAAGCTTTGGCTGGCCTTATGTGTCTTTAATTAATAAAAGCCGGGGAAACATTATACAGTAAACATCACTTTTTTAAAATGAAATCTTAGACATGGTATACTATGATGAATGGAAGAGAGAGTTGGTTCCCAGTAATGGAAAAAAATTGGAGTACAAGCGTATTAATAAAATCCGATAAAAACAAAATACAAGGCAAAACCCCAAAGGCATAATCTTCTAATAAACATAAAAATCTTTTTTCTATCCAACTTTTTGAAATCAGGCAAAGTGATGATTGGGATAAACTGAGTGAAAGTAAGTAATTTTAATGTCACAACTATGTGCCTATTTCTGAAGGAAATGGAAGAGGGATGAGAATAGCGGAAGTAGTAATTAGTATGACAGAGAAAAATTATATTTAAAAATTAGAGCAAAATGAAAAGTTTTTCTTTTTGTGCAAACCTGGTTTGGGGTTCTTTTTTTTTTGTTTACCAGGTTACTACTGCTCTATTAGTGTTAATCTATGTGCCCACAAGAATATTAAAAGAGAAAAAGAAAAGAGAAAATGCAAGTCAATTATAAATATATTGGAAAAATAATGAAAGAGTAGAAATACATACCAGTCCGTACAGCATTTCATACAGAACAGCACCAAGGCACCACCAATCTACTGTATTGTCATAAGGCTGTTTTCTGATTACTTCAGGTGCAAGGTACTATAGAAAAAATTAAATATTGGAACAACTCAATAACCAAGACAAAATTTAGAAATAATTGAGAAATTTAACAAATTTTAGGTGTTACTATCACACTAAAAACATATCTATATTTTCAACTGGTTGGGTATTTTCATTTTATGTGAACTGTTCTTCAAAATCCATTGGGATATTCTTCAAAATACACCTAATCAAATATTTCCCCCAGAAACTGTGATGCAGTTAAGACAGAAGAGGGCAGCAAATGTAGAATCTGTAATATGAAGTTGTAAAAGTAGGTATTATATTTTGTGTGGGGAAAGTCTTTTACAAGATTAGTTTATCTTAGAAATTCCTTTAGTAATTACTGATACTTGTTTCTCCTGAAGAAAGAATTCCTAATGTGGCAATTATAATTCATTTTTTCTTTTCAATGAAAGACAAAAAGAATGAACTTCAGTCTTCTTAGGAAATTACAATTGCCATTCTCTAACATATTATTTAGAAATGTGAAGTTATTAGATAGCTATTTACATTTTAACTTGTAAAATACTTAAACTAATCACTACTTCACATATTAAGATGGTAAATTTGAATTATAGACTCCAAAAAATACATTTTTCTCTTCCCATATAAAGTAAGGAAATAATTCCTTTCTTAAGCCTTGTTATGTGCTCCAAAAAAAAAAAAAAAAAAAAGGCAAAATAAATTAAAAGGGTTTAGTAATTTCTGATCACATTTAGACTTAGATGACAAAAAAGAAAACAACTTTGTTCCCTTTCTAAACACTATAAGACTTAAAGATTTTGTTAACTATGAAATGAATACAGTCACAAAAAGTATTTCTTCAGACATAAACCAAAGTAGAATGGTTACAAACATACACAAGAACTAGGATTAGAAATTAAAAAAAAAATACATTTTTAAAGTAAATATTGTTACTTATAGGTACAATATGGGTTACTTATAGGTTAAGTAAGTTTATTATCTTCACTACAAGTCTTACGTGAGCCATTTTATCACAAATTTTCAACAATATTTGCCATTACTCTACAATAATGATGAAATACTACCTGGTACCTAAGATCACTATAGCTACACTAAAATTAGGACAGTTTTAAATAAACTAAATGTGTGTGTGTGTATATGTGTGTGTGTGAGAGAGAGAGAGAGAGAAAGAGGATAAAAAAGGGTTTAACATAAATTGTAAGGATTATTATAATTGTCTCCTACAGAAAGGTGATATACATTTCTGCTAGTTAACATGATTAGTGAATGGGATGTTTGGGTTAATAAATTCTGATCTGGAAGTTCCCCCCACCTCCACTGTCATATTTTCTCCTATCAAATAAACAATTTTATTATGAAATATTTAACCATACAGAAAAATAGTAAAATGTAATAGAAACCAATAAAGCTGCCTCCTAAATATAGGCAATGTCAATCTTTTGCCGTATTTGCTTAAACTTATTTTTTTAAAAGAGATTTGTTAAGATAGTCACAGACCATGCAATTCATCACATTTAAAGTATACAATTCAATGGCTTTTAATATATTCAGAGTTGTGCAACCATTACCACAATTTTAGGACATTTTTATCACTAATTTGTGATTTTTTTTAAGCATCAGAAATATAATCAAATGCTTAAAGAAATCTCAGGTAAACTTTTAACATTAAAAACAAGTATAATTTATATCTTTGTTGGGTTATCTGGTGGTATCTCACAATTATAGTTAAAAATACCAACTATCAATATACTTTAAATGTTCAGAATGATGATTATCAGATATTTCCAGCTGGCAGAAGCTGTAATGATAATTTTTATTCTACTTTTCTGATTCCAAATTTTGTATAAGTGATTTGTGATTCATTTCTTCATTTTATACGTGACTATGGGAATGACAAATGAGACATGCTTCTTACCTCTGGTGTCCCACAAAATGTTGTTGTGGTGTCAGAGATAGCGATTCCTTCTTTACAAAGCCCAAAATCTGTTAAGACAACATGTCCCTGAGAAATACAGGGGCAGTAAGATAAAACAATGCATGAACATAAATTGACAATTTTAAAAACTGCTTTGTTTTGAAATAATTCTAGACCCAAAGGCAAACTGCAAAAAGAGTAAACTAAGTTCCATGTACCCCTCACACCCTGCTTCCCCCAATGCTGACATCTTATGTAACTGTAATGCAACATCAAAATTGGGAAACTGACATCAGTACAATATTGTTAACCAGACTGCCAACCTCATTCAGTTCTGTTTTGTACATACCTGCATTTGTGTCTTTAAGTATGTGTAGTTCTATGCAACGGAGATGTGCAGATTCAGGAACCTACTACCACAGTCAAGACGGAACTATCTGTCATCCCAAAGGAGCAAACCCTGGTGGTGCCCCTTTATCTGTGCACTCCCCTATTCCCCCAGTCCCTGTGCCCTTGTGACCACTAATCTGATCTCCATTTCTATAGTTTTGTCATTTCGAGAAAGTTATATAAAATGGAATCACACAGTGTGGAGCCTTTGAGGTTGACCTTTTTCCACTAAGCATAACAACAATAAAAATTGAGAACTAGATTTTTAAAAGGTAATACTTACTACTGAATCCAAAAGAATATTTTCTGGTTTCAAGTCTCTACCAAATTAAAAAAAAAGAAAAAGAGAAGCAAACTTGAATATTAGCTGAAATAAAATAATAAATGACATCTTTACAAGTAATATTTTAAAAACTTACCTATATACTATTTTGATGGAGTGCAAGTAACCCAATGCACTGGCTATTTCAGCAGCATAAAACCTTGCTCTGTGTTCAGGAAAGGACCGTTCTCTTTGTAAGTGAAAAAACAGCTATAAAAAAAAAGAATATTAATATTCTCTTCAACCACACATCTTTCTTTGCCCTTGCTAACTTATTCATCTCCCATTCATCCCTCAGTCCTCAGTGTGGCAGTGTCCTCACCACTCCAGGCAACCACTCTGGAAAAGATCATCAATGCAGACCAATGATCTTGACATTGCCATGTAGTTACAATATCTTACAATATCTTATCTTGATGTTCTTTCCTTTGGAAAAAACATCAAACACCATTCAGAGTTGAAAACCATTGGCTGGCAGGCCAAATATTACCCATGGATACAATTTGTCTGAGTCAAATACCGTTTTTAGAAAAATTTAAATTAACTGGTAACATAGAAAAACTAGAAAAAGTTTTTGGTAAAAATTCATAGCTTGGTTTCTTCTGAAGAAAAAGTGGGGGGCAGTAAGCTCTGTACCATGGAGGCTAAATTCCAATCTGGTAGCAAATGGCTAGAGCTAAGTGGCAGAGGGACTTTCCAGTTCATTTCTTATACTTCCTAATTCTGAATTTCTCATAACCTGTCCACCCTTTATTCATTAGGTTACCTGCCTGGGTGAAGTTTGCTCAACCTACTTAAGTTCCTTGGCTTCAAAGACAATGCTCTCTCCCTAGATCTCCTTCTACCATGGGAGTTCCATTTCCTCCCTTTTCTGGTTCCTTACACTGCAGTGATTCACAAGGTTTCTATACCGGGTTTCTCCACTGTTATTCTTTCTACGCAGACCCTGTCCAGATAACCTAACTCATTCCAAAGACTTGAACCACCATCTCTATGTTGATGTCTTTTATCTTTCCCCCGTCTTTATTCTCCTCCACTTATTGTCCCATTCACCTGCTCCTCCATTCACCCCAACATTTTATTTCACTCCCCTCCCTTATCTCAGCCAAGCGTATCTTTTATAAGACAAGCCCACATCTTTCCTCCTTTGCCACTCAGTTTATGAGCAGGTCACTGTGTAAAAAGAACTCAGAAGCAAAGTCTCAAAACAGCCCTAAAAAATCACAGACAAAGAAGGAAACCTGAGATGCCTTAGATGACAGTTCAAAGACAAAGGGTGGTACTTATGTCTCGGTTAAATCCAGGGCCTAACACGTACTAGAACATTGCGTCATTGACAAAGTGAGAGCCTCTCTGAGCCTTAATTTCCTTACCTATAATATGGGTATAAGAGTGTTATCTCAAAGAGTTGTGATGATCAATTGAAATAATGCATGCAAAATAATTACAAAGTACCAGGCCCTCAATAAATTCTCATTATATGCCAACACTGACACACACACAAAATCAAAGCTTTCTAGATGGGAATAAAGTGCAGTCATCTCTGTCTCTGAATCAGGGTGCCTGGGGATTCATTATCTTGCTTCTACACTGAGTAGTTACAAGGCATTTTTGTCATAGATGCAGGGGGTTGAATAATAATTCTTTTTATGATCTTTCCCCAAATGATCTAGGTGTGTCTCATTACCTTCCCGCTTTGCAGAATAGAAACTGGTCTTCTTTCTAGTTTCTCTATTCTACAGTTAGGTGTACTATAGTAAGATTGAAAAATTCTTTTCCTCTCTCTCTGTTTTGGGACTAGGGGAGGGAAAATCCCTTTGTAAAGATATGAAAATATCTGTCAGTTAAAACAATTTTTAGAGACATTCACAGGCCAGAGATGAACAATGAGAATGATGTGAGAATTGAGAAGCACAGGGATAATAAGGAGGTGGTCCGCTGCCTATGTCATGGAAAGGGATGGCTTGAGTTCAATTCCTTGCTCCAAAAGTTACTAACCATATGACTTGAGCACGTTATCTAACTTCTCTAAGTTTCTTTGTTTTATATAATAAAATTGTTATATAAAATTGCAAAGATAAAATGATTCATATAAATAGCCAGAGTGCTGGGCCTGTAAGTATGTTTGATACATGTTAACTATAACTGTAATCCTATTACCATAATAGGATTTCCCTGATGTATTTCAAGATCTTTTGGATTCAGAGTTTTGGGGAACATTATTAACAGATTTGGTTCAAACAAAAAAAGAGGACTATGCAGTAAAAAAATTTTTTTAAAGAAATCCTGGCTTTCTTTAAGGCCAAACTGCTCAGTCTTTAACATGCTGAGACATATTGTGAATCATCAAGAAACACATCATTAATTACTAATGGGAGAGAACATAAAACACTTTCCAAACTGACTTCACCACAAAACCCTTATTAAAAAATCACCTCATCTGACTAATAGTTTGCACATTTTAGAAAATTATGAAACAGTAATTATCTAAATTACAAATCACATTTTATTGTAATGTTTTAGTAAATTATTCGTGCTATGTAGCACACTGACAAAACTACCCATGATGTCTGTAGCTTCATACTGAAGTTCTCTATGGACCTTCCCACCTATACCATAGCAGATTTAAGATGAGCTTTGTGTTACACATTTCACACCTTGCATTGTGCTTATTAGCTAGCACCTTAAACAGTGCTCCTACTCAACAAATAGCTGTTCATGCTGAACCTGGACTACCCTTCCAAAAATGTATAAGGAAAGAAAAACTTTGACCATATTCAATTTTTTCTAAATAATATCAGTATTAGAAAGCTAATTATAAAACTCACCTCCCCTCCATTAACAAAATCCAGAACAAAATAAAGCTTTTCAGTTGTTTGGAAAGAATAATGTAATCCAACCAAAAATGGATGTTTCACATTTTTCAAGAGCACATTACGTTCAGCCATTATATGTTTTTGCTGTAAAAAAAGGGTAAAGGGTCAGCTTGTATTATACACCACAAAACAATTCTGTTAATTGAGAAAAGGAGCTTAGGAGAAACAAAGCTCTTTTATTTCACCTCTCTTCTGTTGAGAACTATTTTTTTCTGTAACACTTTGACAGCATAAAATTTTCCATCCAGTTTCCGTTTGGCAAGAAGAACCTGTTGTAATTAAAGATTGTGCATAGTATTAGAAATTTCAGTATTTTCATAGGAATAATTCACTTGTCAATAAGTTTTTTAAAAAGAAGGTCCTCAAGAGATCTAGATAATATAATGTGGTTTTGTTTTGAATATTGAAAACTACTAAATTTATTTCTATAAATCCACTTTCTCTTAAGTATTTTAATAAAGCAAAAAGGATGTTGATCATTTGAAGAGCCAGGCACCATTTCTTCATGTGATGTTTGAGATTTTTATTAAACTTAAGTACCAAAATCTACACTGTTTGAGATCTTTGTGCCTGTTTGTGTGCGTGCACATGCCAGTCATGAGTCCTGAAGAGTGTCCTTAGGAAATGTTGAGGCTATAAACTTCATGACAACATAAAAAAAGGAGAAGAAACTGGTTTCTAGGTGATCAAAACAAGTTTTTGCTTTAACTTTTAACTCTTATAGGTTTTAAATTCAGGAGAGTTTAGAGAAAGAAGTATCATGGATAGTTGACTTTTTAAAATAGGCTGGGTTGCACTTTCAAGAAGCTGAAGAAACTTGAGAGGATTTTGCCTTGGAAAAGAGGCAGACATATACTCAAGGTTTTTTTTTTTTCCCCCTTCCCATTAGACTGGTTGATTTGGGGAACAGATAGATGGTTAAAAAACAAATGTTCAAATAGAAAGTGAAACCAAGGCTATTCACTGGAGACAAGTTTAGAATAAATGTTAGATTGCGATCACCTACTTTAATTTATCACATATATTTTTCTATTCTTCAAACACATTGTGAATTTGCACTTGTCTGCTTTTCCTTCTTTTTGTGTATTTTGTTTTTCTTTGTTTTGCTGCAGTTTATTGATTTGTAATCATTTTGCAAGATTTTAAATTTTTACTAAACATGACCTATATGTAAAATAGGTCATAACACATTACAGTTCAGTAAATCCTTACAAAAAGAATACATTATGTAACTGCTGTCCAGATCAAAAGATAAAACATTTTGGGTAGCCTGAAGCCCCTATTCTGCCCCATTCCAGAAACTACTCATCCCTGTCTTCCTCAAAAGTAACCACTATCTCAACTTGCAATAACGTAGGTAATTTTTATCATTTTTTAAATTGTATGTAATTAGAATCATATAGATAAAGTTGTCTCTGCTTGACTTCTTTCACTCTAAATAATCTAATATGCACCCAAGCTCTGGCATGTTGTATCATTTTAGTATTTGTATTGCTGTGTAGACTACTGTATTACACAATTTAATCCACTCTTTGGTTAACAGACACTTAGATTGTTTATGAATAACAATGCCAGGAATATTCTGGCCGATGCCTTTCCTAATACATATGTGCATGCATTTCTGTTGGATATATAGCTAGGAGTAGAACCAATGTGTCACAAGTAATATATGCCTTGAACTTCAATAAATAACAACTGTTTCCAACAGCATAAAAAAATGAAACAGGAATAAATCTAATTAAAGATGTATAAAAATTCTATACAGAACATCATCACAAAACAGTACTGAGAAAAATTAAAAATGAACTAAATTAACAAATAGATATACCACAGTCATGGATTGGAAGACTCAAAAATGTAAAGATCACAGTTCCCTCCATATTGATCTACAGATTGAGTGCAATCCCAATCAAATTCCAACAGAATCTTGTGGGAATTGACATGCTAATTCTAACATTTATACAGATATGCAAAGGGCTTAGAATAACCTCATGAAGAAAAACAAGGAGGAAGGACCCATCCTGCTGGATATCAAGCTACATTTGTCAAGGCAATGTGATCTTGGTGCAAGGACAGACTGCTGGAACACAATATAAAATCTACAAACCAATATAAAACACAAAATCTAGAAGTAGATCCATGCATGTGGGCACTGGATATATAGTAAAGGTTACTCTGCATTCAGTGGGGAAAGAATAGTCTTTGCAATAAATTATGTAGGATCAGTTGGATATACACAGGGAAGAAAATGAACTGTGACCCTACACCTCATATTATATGCAAGAACCAAATCCTGGTAGACTCTAGATCTAAACATGAAGTTTCTAAAAGATAACACTTTTTGTTATTAATAAGAGATTATCTCTAACATCCCAGGGGACTGTAAGCATTTTGAAAGCAGACCTATTTCTATCTTTCTATTGCCCAGCATGTAGCAGGTGGTCAATATACATTTGCTGAGTGTAAAAATACACATGGGTTTAACTGCATGGTCATGGTTTCTGGTATCTAGGGAACTTAGAAAACAAGCCAGAGATACAGGAAGCTATGAATACAGCAAGCTATAATTAAATATATACATATTTATTTTTATACAGATTGAAGTATAATGCATAAAAGCAATTAAATAGAACCGCAGGCATGGAAACATGTAACAGGCTGAAAGTGACCACAGAGAAGCGGCGAGGGGAATAATAGTGGAAAGAAGGGGAAGGGACTGGTCAAAGAAGATGTATGAATGACGCACAAACACGGACAAGAGTGTGGGAATTGACTGTGGGAGTTGGGGGTAGGATGGGTAGAGGAGGGCAAAGGGGGAAAAATTGGGACAACTGTAATATAATAACAATAAAAATGATATAATAGAAAAGCATTTCAATATATTTGATGATTCAGATAACACCATCTATGACACTTGTGGCCTGAAGTGATTCTCCTTCCCTGGTATGGCCACACTGTCAAGTGAAGTGATTCAACTGACACTCACTTTTGAGGAGAAAGTTCTTCACAGAGCTTTCTTCCCTCAACTATTATTTACACAGCTACTCATTTCTGTCTTTCAGCCTCAGTTTAAGTAGCACCTCTTCAAAGTAGTGATTACTGACTGGTCACTCATCTAAGTAGGGATTCCCGCCTCCCCCCCCACCAATGCCTACAGTTTTCTATCATTTCATACTATTCTTCAATTCCTTCACAGCCCATTATTACTTATAATTATTTATTTGACTGCCTATTTTAATTGACTATATCCCCCATTAGTTTGTAAGCATCACAAAGGCAGTAACCACGTCAGTTTTGTTCAGTGTTATCTAAATAGTGCCCAGAACTATGCTCAGCATAGAAGTTGGTGCTCAGCAAATACTTTTTGAATAAATGAATTTTATGTTAGAATTTAATTAGGGAGAATTTAATTATCTCCCTAATTATTCTGTCAGTACTTTGAAAATAGAGAAAGGAACTTAACTCCATATACTGCATCTCAACAAGTTTTGTGGCCTTGCGCATAAAGTATGCATTCCATAAATACTTATTTACTGAATGAGAAAATAAAAATACTCTTACCTTGCCAAAGCTGCCTTTTCCAATAACTTTTAAGAAATCAAAGTCTGTTGGTTTAGCACTGAAAGAAATGAATGAAAAGAATTAGCCTCTTAAAAACTGGATGTTAAATTTTAAACATTTCTCAGCATAGTCTAATAAGTAAATGTTGGGTACAAAACACTTCAGCATGAGGGCTCCAGCTATTACACTAGTAGTAATTCATTTTTAATATAAAATAGGTAATAATAAATAGTAAAAACATCTACTTTCTCATTATATATTTTATAACTTTAAGCCTTATTTAGTTCTGCTTAAAAGAAATTTCAGTAATAGTCTCATTACAAGAAACTGATATATATATAGTTTTGAACTCAATATAGCTTCTATCTAAACCAATATTACTACTTTATAAACTTTTATAAATTTTATAATTTTTAAATTATAAATTATAATTTTATAAATTTTATAAACTTTATCAGTGTTGTTAATGAAGAAACTGAATAACTATATAAATCAGTAATACATTCCAAGGACTCTCTAGTTTGGTAATTTTCCTAGAAAGTTGATTACTCTCTCATCGAGAAGCTTTCTTCACCTGATTGTGTGACACTACAATCCTCCTTAATAGCAGAAACACCTAGTAAAGTCACTAAGAAAAATTTCTGATGGAGAAAAAAGTCATCACAGTGTTTTGCATATATATCATTTATTATACATTACAGATAAAGACCTCTCTGCTTATTCTCGTAGATGGTAATGTAGGAAAGCCAAGAGTAGAGAAGCCAGAGGGAATATTAAGATTGTCCTTTTACTTCTATTCTTCTGTCAGGTAAAACTCAGCATTGGCTGTATGTAGGCAAAAGTACAGGGTAGCAGAAAGTTGAGCGTAAGCAGCCACAAGAGCTATTTCTTTCAACACATTCTGAATTCCCAAGTTGTACTAGGGAGGGGGGAATTACTCCATTTAGATTCTAAATTTCCTCCAATTAATTATCAAAAGAAAGTCAATTCAAACATGACAGTAACATCAAGTCTAAGTTAAATAATAACAGGTGACGGTTAGGGAGATAAATCCTTAACTAAGCTTAGATGTTTTTCTTCTTCAGGAACTTGCTCTTTGAACTAGTTATTTTGTTCTTTAACAATATGCTTAGATACTGTAATAATTTTTTAAACAAATGTAATAGTGAAAAAATATGCAAATGCCTTATGGTAAACACTGAGGCCTCACTGTTAACTGCTGGTGATAAACCCTAACTGAAAGCAAATTTCTGTTTTTGTGCTGCCTGACCAACTTGCTGCTATGACAGAAAAAACACTCAAAACCAAATTTCCTCTTCCAGTTACCATCCAATTTCTTTGTTTTCCTTTGCTGCAGAACTCCTCATGTAAGGGTCTAAACTCGCTGTCTACACCTGCTGCACTCTAGTTCTCTCTTAACCCTTTCCTGTCAGGGAAACTGCCCGTAATGGTTACCAGTGACTTCTCAGAGCCAGTGGTCAGTTCTCAATCTTCATCTTAATTCTCTATTGGCAGCATTAACAGAGGTAATTACTCCCTCCTCAAGAAACTTTCTTCACCTGATTGTGTGACACTACACTCCTCGTTTTCCTCCTACCTCACCATTTACTCTTTTTTTAGTCTCCTTGGCTGGTTCCTCCCTGACCTTAGAATGCTGAAGTGTCCCATGACCCATTCCTTGGACCTTGTCTCTTATCTGTCTATACTCACTGTTTAAGTGGACCAAAAGGGTGAGGGAAGCGTAGTATCCTGGGATAAAAGATAGAATACTTTAGAATTAGTACAATATGCTGCAAAAGTAATTTTAAGTAAGAAGAGCAACAGGCAGACATCGCTACTGTCAGGGCACTCCTCACACTGGGTCAAGATGTGGCATTGGAATCCCTTTTACTCTGTAATCTAGGCTTTCACTGCCAATATCTAGAGTTGGCACTAAGATAAAGTCTGTATTTACCACTCCTGGTGTTCCTCAACATATTTCCCCTGTGGTCAATTAAACATGAGACTAAGGGAGAGAGTGCATAAAACCATTTAGAAGCCTTAATAAATAAGCTAATGTGCACCATGACTACTCTGGAACAAGTTGGCTAACAACTAGGGTTGTACCAATGACACTGAGCACCAGGAGGATGCCAATGAGTCCTGCAAGGAGGCTTCTGTCAGACTACCTCCCCAGTACCACCCAGGGCTTATGGTCCCTGGGAAATACAGTCTGATGAGAGCGCGTGCGCACGCGCACGCACGCACACACGCACGCACACACACACACAAAGTGACAAAAGCGAAACAGCAGAACTTGATCAATAATCTGTGGATTACAAATGTCTCAGAGCTCTACTAAAGCCATGCAAAGCTAGAGCAATAAATTAGGCAAGCAAAGGGACAGTATCACAGTCACTGTAAGTATGGTTATATTTCACAGGCTTCCAGTTAAACTGGTAAAATTCTGTCTGCGCTGTCACAAAAAAAAAAAAAAAAAAAAATTCCTCCTAAAATTGAAAGGATTATTTGGAACAAACCAAACTTACTGAGGATTTGCAGATGGTCCCAGGTTGATGTTCTGTGAGGTAGAGTGTAACTGTGGAAGTGGGGAAAAAAAATTAATGTTCATATTGGAGCTTCAATGGTCAATGTTTTTCAAATAAAATATACGTAACGGTAGCAGATATTCAAGGTAGTGCCATGTTAAAGAAACCTAAAGTCCTAATTCTTAATAAACATATGACTTATTTGGAAATACCCATAATAATTTTTATGATAAATTTCAAGAGCAGATGTAAGGAAAAGTGTAAGGTAGAAATCAAGCTCAAAGTGGCAAATGAATGAAGCAAACTGGGGAAATCTCCTTGGAAGAGGTGAGTATTGAAACCACAATTTAAGAGGGATTATTTTTACTTTAAACAACCTGGTTAAAAATGGCTTCTTTTGTTCAAAATTTCAATAAAGATGGCTACTTTTATTAGGGCCTTATATAGTTGTAGACATGAAAAGCTCTAGACATAAAATAAGCTGGTAAAAACTTCTATTTAAGTTAATTGGAGCAAGTTTATCAAAGCAATTTCTTATTAGAGACAAATATCATTTATATTTCCATTTAAATTCATTTGAAACTTATGGACACTCTCCAGAATACAAGCTACTTTTAAAAATAAAGGACAAAAGTTCTGATATATAATAATATATTTCTTATGAAACAACACTGGCACCAGTTTTTAGCTACAAATAAAATTTATTTCCTAACAATACCTGTACATGAAAAATCTTTCTGTAATAAATTTTCAATCCCCAGAAATATAAGGACCATAACAGTCTAGCAAAAGACAAAAAATAAAAAATAAGAAAGATTCATTAAATGAGTACTGCCCTATTGTGGCCTAAGTGTAAAATAATCTCCCCCGCTTCCAGTTTTACTGAGATAATCACTGACACATAGCACTGTATAAGTTTAGTTTAAGGTGTATAAGCATAATTTGACTTAAATATATTGTAATTATCTTTAAATATTATAGTGTTCCATAGGCTATGATAATGTAATCCAAGCTAAATTGTAATTTTGACACACTTACTGTTTTAATAAATGTGCAGAGAACTGGATCACATTTCCATTCAATAAACTTTTCTTATATAGATGAGGAAAATGATTTCAGTAAGCACAGATTAAACAGTAACATGGACAACTTGTCCTCTCAATTACATTAATATGTGGTAAGATTTTATTAGTTGGCAATAATTTTTCCAATGGAGCACATTTCTGAAATAATAATGAAAATTACTGGGGTAAATGATTAGACAACGTTTAACTCTACCAATTATTTTTAAAGATTATTTCTAATCACTAAACTGGGGGTGAGGTATAATTAACAGAGTGAACACTAATCGAGAACGTAAGTTTCTTGACTTCTCTTGACCTCTCTTTTTCTCTCTATAAATAAAAGGTGGGTCCATATGCCTTCTGAGATATTTTCTGGCTGTTAATTTCATTTAGTTATCTACCTACAAGTCCTTCATAAATAGTTACAAGTAATAAGAAGTATAGTTCTTTCCCTTTTTTGAAGAGATTCTTTTTATCTATATTTTAAACTGCAAGAGATGCTAGTCTAAGTTTCAGATTTTGGGATGGGAGGTATAAATGGTAATGAAAAATAATAATAAAATCAATAAAAACAAAAAAGTTTCAGATTTTATGAATAAAAAAATAAAAAAGAAACAATTTAAATCTAAAGCCAATAGTGACAGAACAGGAGCCAGGAATCTCAGTTTGGTTCTTTCAAAACCAGTTGTATCCTACAGCAAGGCAGACATTGTCTAAATGACCTAAACCTACATACTCTCAACATGATGAGCAAGCACAACATGGAAAATCATGGTTACATGGATTCTGTCCTTTAAAATATTTTTTAATAGTTTCATCTTTTTCAATTAAAAAATATATACTGATAGTTAGAAAATATGAAAAGTATTAGGAACACTATATTTTTAAATTTAATTTAATTTTTTTCAAATACATTTGTCTCTGCCTCCCCCCCACCACTTTCCCTTGCCCCCTCCCAACTTCCCTCCCTCAGCTCTTCCCCTTTGGTTTTGTCCATGAGTCCTTGCTATATGTTCCTTGACTTTCCCCTTCCCTTCCTTTTCCCTGCCCCACCTCCCTCCTTCCCTCTTGTCTCTGTTGATTTCTTTAGGAGGAAGGTTTTTGAACAGGGATATGTCATGGTAGTGTAGTGTTAAGGGAAAGAGATATGGCAAGTATTTACTCAAAAAAACCAGGCAATTCAGTGAAAAAAATTTATCTTTTGTCTGTGGAAAATACAGTTATTTTTGGTTTTATTGGTTCTTAATGAGTTGCTTGAACTGTGTAAGAGGTTTTTTTTTTTCTTTTTCTTTCTTTCTTTATTTTTTAAATACATTTGTGTCTGCCTCCCCCCCACCACTTTCCCTTGCCCCCTCCCACCTTCCCTCCCTCAGCTCTTCCCCTTTGGTTTTGTCCATGAGTCCTTGCTATATGTTCCTTAACTTTACCCTTCCCTTCCCTTTCCCTGCCCACCCCCCCTTCCCTCTTGTCTCTGTTGATTTCTTTTCCTTTCAGTGTTGCTGGTCATATTTTCCTTGCATCTTTGTATTGTTGGTTAGGTTCCACTTATAGGTGAGATCATATGGTATTTGTCTTTCGCCCCCTGGCTTATTTCGCTTAGCATAATGCTCTCCAGTTCCATCCATGCTGTCGTGAAGTTTAGTAGTTCTTTTTTTCTTTCTGCTGCGTAGTATTCCATTGTGTATATGTACCATCATTTTTTGATCCAATCATCTACTGATGGGCATTTAGGTTGCTTCCAACACTTGGCTATTGTAAATTGTGCTGCTATGAACATTGGGGTGCATAGGTTCTTTTGTATTGGCGTTTTGGTGTTCTTAGGGTCTAGTCCCAGCAGGGGAATCACTGGATCAAAAGGCAGTTCCATTTTCAGCTTTCTGAGGAAATTCCACACTGCTTTCCACAGTGGCTGCACCAGTCTGCATTCCCACCAACAGTGTACTAGGGTTCCCTTTGTCCACAGCCTCGCCAGCACCTGTTGTTTGTGGATCTGTTTATGCTGGACATTCTGACCAGTGTGAGGTGGTACCTCATGGTGGTTTTGATCTGCATTTCTCTGATGGCTAGTGATGCAGAGCATCCTTTCAAATGCCTCTGGGCCCTCTGTATCTCCTCCTTGCATCTGCCCAGGTCCTTTGCCCATTTTTTGATTGGATCGTTTGTCTTCTTGGAGTGGAGTCGAGTGAGTTCTTTATTTATCTTGGAGATCAAACCTCTATCTGATGTATCATTAGCGAATATATTTTCCCATAGGGTTGGCTCCCTTTTCATTTTGCTGATGTTTTCTTTTGCCGTGCAGAAGCTTCTTATTTTGATGAGGTCCCACTTGTTTATTCTTTCCTTTATGTCCCTTGCTTTAGGAGACATATCAGTGAAAAAATTGCTGTGTGGGATATCTGAGAGTTTCCTGCCAATGTTCTCCTCGAGGACTTTGATGGTGTTGTGACTTATATTTGTCTTTTATCCATCTTGAGTTTATTTTTGTGTATGGTGTCAGCTGATGATCCAATTTCAATTTTTTGCATGTAGCCGTCCAGGTCTCCCAACACCATTTGTTGAAGAGGCTATTATGGCTCCATTTTATGCTTCTGCCCCCTTCGTGAAATATTAGATGTCCATAGAGACCTGGGCTTATTTCTGGGCTTTCTATTCTGTTCCACTGGTCTATGGGTCTGTTCTTGTGCCAGTACCAGACTGTTTTGAGTATAGTGGCTTTGTAGTAGAGTTTGATGTCTGGTATTGTGATCCCTCCTTCTTTGTGTTTCTTTCTCAAAATTGCTGCGGCTATTCGGGGTCGTTTATGGAGAAACACTATTTTTTGAAAAAAGTCCATAACTTTATCAACAGATAATTTTATAAATATTTAATAGTAATTCTATAGTCTTTGCATAACTTTTAAAAACACTGTAATCACATTGTGTAAATATGCATATAAAATGTTATACCCTTATTTCATTGAATACTATGTCAAAACCTAAAATGTATCATCTTCTAAAATATTTTTAAATGTACAATATGTAGACATACTTTTTGATGAATGTTTAACTTGATTCTAGTTTTTCATTATAAATCATACTAAAATGAACATCTTTGTTTCTTGCATATGAAGGATTATTTCATTTGCATTAACTCTCAGGTGACATGAGTATTTTCATGTCTGATACATATTGCAAAATTGCTTTCAAAAAGAATTGCACAAAATTATAATGACACTAGTAATGTCCAACGGTGCCCATGTTACCTTACCTTCTCAGTCCTGCAGTATTTTATGTACTTTGCATTTTTGTTAATTTGGTTTAGGAAAAAAAATCTCTCATTTAAAAATTTCCTTTGCTATTGGCATCAAGGTTGAATATTTTCTCATATATCCTATATTTACAAAGATTTCTTTGTGTCACTTCTTTTATCTACTAGGATCTTAAATATCATTCTTTTAAAAAATCCACTTGTACTCTTGTATGAGCTTTTTATATAGACACTACTCTTATTTTATTTAATCATTTTTAATTGTTATTCTATTACAGTTGTCCCAATTTTTCCCCCTTTGCCCTCCTCTGCCCTTCCCCTGCTCCCAGTCAATTCCCACACTGTTGTCCATGTCTGTGCATCATTCATACATGTTCTTTGTCTAGTCCCCTCCCTACTCTCTTCTGGTAACTTTTAGTCTGGTCCATGTTACCATGCCTGTGGTTTACTTGTTACAAATGCTTTCCAGTTTCTCTTCAGATTAGTTGCACAAATATAAAATAAAAATATTTTATTTATTTATAAAGATTATTTATTTATTTACTTATTTATTTCTAGAGGGGAAGGGAGGGAGAAAGAGAGGGAGAGAAACATCACTGTGTGGTTGCACACACCACCTACTGGGGCCCTGGCCCAAAACCCAGGCATATGCCCTGACTGGGAATCGAAACAGTGGTCCCTTGCTCTGCAGTCCGGCACTCAATCCACTGAGCCACACGAGCCATGGCTAAAAATATTCTTTTACATCGTCCAAGGAACAACCATGTTACAGGAAAAAGTTAAACTCTTAGCTGAGGATCCTCTTAGGTTAGGGCACCAGAGAAACATTACTATTTTCCAACAGTCACAAAAAAGGAATTCATATATATTTATATGTGTGTGTATGCATGTGTGTGTGTGTGTGTAAATACAGATATATAGATATAGATATATATTTTTTTATCACCCAAGGACATGCTTATTGATCTTAGAGAGAGGTAAGGAAGGGAAATAGAGGGAGAGAAACATCAATGTGACAGGGAAACATCTATTGGTTGTCTCTGGCGTGCACCCTGATGGAGAACCACTATCTAGGTATGAGCCCTGATTGGAAATCAAACCCATGACTTTCTGTTTCCCAGGGCAACACTCCAACAGCTGAGCCACACCAGCAGAGTCCTCTTTTCATGTTCTTGAGTTGCCCCTTCCTCTTCTTCTCCCTATTATCCCCATCCCCACTCCTTTCTGGTCACTGTCATTTTGTTCTTTATTTCCCTGACTTTGTTATACTTTGCTCACTTGTTTGTCTTGTTGATTAGGTTCCACTTATAGGTGAGGTCATATGGTATTTGTTTTTTACCACCTGGCTTATTTCACTTAGCATAATGCTCAATTTATTTTTTAAAAAAAATCCTATTCAAGTACAGTGATGATGATTAAGACAGACAATAACTCCCTCCCCCAAAAAATGAGATGTAAAGTGAAGAGAGCAGAATACAAAACTGTATATACTATATAATTAGAATTAGATAATTTTTTATAAATCCCTATACATTAAGGGAATATTAGAAGGAAAATCACTAAAATGTTAAAAATAATGAGGACTGGCTGGTGATAATATGGGTATTGCTTACCTTCTTACTATTTTCAAAACTTTCTTTAATTAATATGTATTAATTTTTATTGTAAAAAGTACTTATTTATAAATTTTATGAGTTATCAGTAAGAGGTATACACATTTTTTAATGTATTTTACAGAATAGAAAAGTTACAATGGATAAAGTGACTGTTTTAACTCAATGTCCTAAAGTTGCCAATAATTTCATCTGTTAAATATACAATCCCTCTTGAGCGAAAAGGAAGAAGGAATCGTGGACATGGACAACAGTGCAGTGATTGCTGGGAGAAGCTGGGTATAAAGATTAAATTAAAAAAAGTCAGTTGGAAAAAAATTAAAAAATACAATCCCTCTTACTACCTTCTGAGTACTTCTTTCATCTTCATCTTCAGATGGATCTGACTGATGTTTTGGACTGTCCATTTGAAGGAATGCTCTGACATCTGGACTAAAAACAAAAATTAACTTTATTATGACTTTGAAAGTATTTCTACAGCCTTTCTCTTTCTAAAAAATGAAAATAAAAATAATTATAATAGCATTTACAGTAAGAAAGACAAACAAAATCTATTAATATTCTGTATTACAGAAGAAAATGTTACTTTTTTAAAAATAGAGAAACCAACATGGGCAAAGGGAGAGTTGAGAAAATTTATCAAGATGCCTAACATCACTAATAATCCAAGAAATACTAATGAAAATAAAATGATATACCTCTTTATGTCCACTAAATTGCCAAAATTAGAAAGATAGATATTATCAAAAGTTGGTAGAAATATAGGGAAAGAAACACCCTCATGTATTACTGGTGAGAATGTAAAATGAGGAAACTTTCTGAAAAGCAATATGGCAATACTGAGTGAAACTGTATATGTATTTTTCCCTAGAAACAGAAATTCCAGTTCTAGGAATAAACCACACAAAAATGTATGTCCAGGTTCAGTGAAAGACGTAACATTCCTTAGGTAGTGAATCAGAAGCAAACAGCCATCTACCACTAGAGAATGAGTATCCACCTACAGCAGGCAGAAACAAAGAACTAGAGCACAGTACCATTTATGTGTATATATTAAATACTCATGGACACAAAGCAAGAGTCAATAAACAGATATCCAAAGACATATATCAAAGTGGGTATCAATAGTGGTAATGAAGAATAGGGAGTGAAGATCAAAGATGAAGAGAAAAAATGAACTACAATAAAACAGGGACCTTGTGTCCTGAGCAATGACTGAATCTCTGTATCATAGGTACCTCCTACCAAATTGTCCTTTCTTTCTTCTTGAGATATAATTGACATTTGTACGTATTATGAAATGATCACAGTAAGTCTAGTTAACATCTATCACCACATATAGTTACAATATTTTTCTTGTGATGAGAACCTTCAAGGTCTACCCTCTACACAAGTTTAAAATACAAGGTGGGACAAAAGTAGGTTTACAACTGTGAGCACACAAAACAGTTTATTCTCGTGTTGTTATTATTATTAATTATTATGTTGTTTTCCATACAAACAACTGTAAACCTACCTTTGCTCCACCCTGTATACAACACAGTATTGTTAACTATAGTCACCATGCTGTACATTATATCCTCATAACTTATTTATTTTATAACTGGAAGTTTGTACCTTCTGACACCTTCACCCATTTGCCCAACCCAACACCTGCCTCTGGCAACCACCAATCTGTTCTCTGTATCTATGAGCTCCAGTTTTTTGTTTTGTTTTGTTTTTTAAAGATTCAACATGTAAGTGAAATCATACAGTGTCTTTGTCTGACTGACTTCACTTAGCATAATGCCCTCAGGGTCCATCCACATCATCACAAAAGGCAAGATTTCCCAAACTGCTCATAATAATTAAATATAGATAACATACATTCACTGTAAGAAATTCAGAAAGGTGAAAAATAATATTTTAAAATTGGAGGGGCTTGTGGGAATGTAAAATGGTGCACCCACCATGGTAAACTTTGATAGTTTCTTGAAAAGTTAAACATAGAGTTACCATATGATGTAGCAACTCATCTTAGAAATAAGAACATATGCCCACACAAAAAATTCATACAAAAATGTTCACAGCAGCATTGTTCATAATAACCAAAAAGTGGAAACAACCTAAATGTCCATCAAATAATAAAGGAACAAACAAAATGTGGTATATGCATATAAGGGAATATTCTTCATTCATGAAAAGGAATGAAGTACTGGTACATGTTGTAACATGAATGAAGCTCAACAACATTATGCTAAATGAACAAAGGAAGATATAAAGATCACATATTATATGATTCCATTTACATAAAATGTCTAGAACAGGTAAATCCATAGAGATAAAAAGAGACTAGTGGTTGCCAAAAGTTGGAGAAAAGGAGAAATTTCAAAGTGCAGCTTCTTTTGGGGGTGATATTAATGTTAGATTAGCCTTGGGGTGACAGGATAAGATAGTGATGATGGCTGTATGGTTTTAGAACTACACTAAATAACACGGATTGGGCATGCTCAACACTGTTAAAATAAAGGGAATTTTATCTCAAAAAAAATTTTAAAGGTGGAGATCTTCATTCTTACGACCCAAAGGCAAGTACTATTACCACTTTACACATTTTATCACAGTCTTTTTTTCTGCACAATTAAAATCCTGTTACATTTAAAAGTATTTTATTTTACTTTTTTTCACCTACAAATTACATCATAAGCATTTTGCCATGTTGTTAAAAACTCTATATATCACTTTGACAGCTGTATAATGTTATGAATCCACTAAAAGTTATTCAATGATTTGTTCACCTTAGAATATACAGATAGCTTCCAATGTTTTACTACCCAACTTCACTACTCTAATTAATGTTCCAACTGACCATCTTTGTTCCATCTTTAAGCATAACAGTAGAACTGCATGTATGATTTTTCACTACAGATTTTTAAAAAGAAAATTATTTGGTTTGAATTATAAATCATTTCAGGCTTTATATAGTTTGTTAATGTAATTTCCAGAGAGGTTGTACCAATTTATTATCCCATCCTAGCGTTACATGAATATCCTGAAGACTCTCCAGACTATGTTAGCTTTCAATGTTACAGTTCATATTACCATCTCTGACAATTTGATAAGTGAAAAATATTATTTTAAAAAGGAACTCAATTTCATTAGCAATTAATGAAATGCGAACTAAAGCAACAATAAAACCACTACCCACTCACCAGAATGGCTAAATTTTAAAAGACTAACAACAGTAAGTATTGATAAAGTAAGCAATGTAATCTCATACATTGATGGTGGAAGTATAAATCAGTACAATCTCTTTGGAAAATTACTTTGCATTATCCACTGAGGTTAAATATATACAGGGTGGAACAAAAGGAGGTTTACAGTTGTATGTAGAACACAGAGTTTATTCTGGTATTATTATTTATTAATTATTGCATTATTTTCCATATGAACAACAGTAAACCTACGTTTGCTCTACCCTGCATATACCTTACAACACAGAATTTCTATGCCAAGATATATCAGAAAAGCTTGCTCATGTGCACCAAAAGATATGTTAATGGCAACATTATTCATTACAGCCAGAAAATGGAAACAGCTCAAATGTCCATCAGCAGTAGAATGAATAAACTGTGGTCTATTCACACAAACTAGAGCTATATGTGACAACATAGTGACTCTCACATTGTTGAAAATAAGCCAGAGAATATGTATCACGCAATTCCAATTGTACTAAGTTTAAAAAGAAAACAAACAAGGTATGTTAATCTATGCTCCTAAAAAATCAGGAGAAATAATTACTTTTGGAAGGAGGGAAAGAATAGAGATGGTAGGAGATACTGTATATGAAGGGCTTCAACGATACTAGTAACATTCTATTGCTTGGCCGCAGGAGTGGCAACTCAGATGTATTCACTTTCACATAATTTATTAAGCTGCGCAGTCAGGATCTGAGCTCTTTTCTGTATGTGCTATACTACAATAAAGCTAAAATATGGTATTTTTGCTTCCACTTGCATTTCTTAATAGGGAATAAAATGTTCAGTTATTTTGAGTAATTAATCATCCATTTGTAGCTCCTCTTTTGCAAATCAATGTGCTTTTTCTTTTGGTGTTTTAAGTGTGTCTTATCTGCTTGAGCATATTAAGTACATTTATCCATTGTTCTTTATTAAGGGAAACTTTTTCTATATTTTTAGTTTTTAATTTCACTTGTGATTTTGAGGGTTATAATGTTTCTGTTAGTCAAATTTGTCAGTTTTACTTTGTGACACATCATGCACTGCCAATATGCTCAGAAAACCCCCTTTCTATCCAGACATCAGAGAAATACTAACATATCTTATTCCAGTTTTTTAGGGATTTTAAAAATCAATTTTGATAAAATTGTTTTAAAAATAAGCTTTTATCAATTGGAGTAAAGCAATTTTTAAAGTTCATTTCCCTAACAGTAATGATAGTTGCACAGCAGGTGTTCAAGATGCACTTACTAGTTTCTCTTCTTGCTTCCTTAAATCTATACTATTTTATAAATAATTTGATGTTCAAATGAAGAATGTAAAAATTAACCCAGTTCAATTAACAACAGATCCAGAAAATATGAAATGTCACTTCTTATTAAAAAGAAAATGTCAGTTAAAATTAAGTTAAAAAAAAAACCTTTTGGCTATTTATTTTTGGGGTGATGGAAAAAGGTTCTGTACCCTAAACGGAATGATGGTAGTTACAGGGAACACATATATGTAAGAATCCATTGGGTAATATGCTTAAGAACTGTGGCCCTGGCAGGTGTGACTGAGTGGACTAAATGCTGGCATGCAACGAAAAGGTCTCCGGTTTGATTCCCAGTCAGGGCACATGCCTGGGCTGCAGGCCAGGTCCCCAGTTAGGGGCGTGCAAGAGATACAATATAGCTCTTGCACATTGATGGTTCTCTACCCCTCTTTCTCCCTCTCTCCTCCCCTCTAAAAAGTAAATAAATAAAATCTTGAAAAAGAAAAGAATTCTGTATTGTTTAAGATAGTTAAAATTAAAACAATCAAATTGCTTTCAGTTGAATTTTAATATCAAATATATCTTTATAGGACTACTCTTCTAGATCTAGTGTTAGAGGTTCTGAGTAACACTATTCAAAAATACCAAAATAATCACCACCACCACCATTTTTTTCCATACTTATTCCATATGAGGCTCCCTGTCAAAGGAGGAAACAAATTCAAGATCTCAGTGTATGAACTATATATCAGACAAGCCAGTGATAAGCCAATTCAAAGTATTCTCAAGTTCATACAGCAAAAATTAAAGGTTAGAAGGACAGCTCTAAGCTGAAGATAACACACAATTTCTCCTAGGAAAAAGACATAATGTTTAAAAAATAATTGTGCAAAGAGACAAATAGTAAAAGGCTCTTTGCTGAGGAATACACCTGATACAGGAACGCTGAGTTCAATGTTCCTCCCTAACTTTGTGCCCTTCTGTCACCTGCTGGAGATCCTGAATGAAAAGGCAGCTGCTCTTCAGTGCATTGGCTGATCCCAGGTCTACTGCAGCTACTGGACTTCCCCCAACCCTGTCCCTTGCGTCAGGGGAAATACAGAACACTGGGCACAAGAACTTGGCTGGAGGAGGTTCAGTCCTATTATTTCACTAATTTAGTAAATTACATTAAAAGGGTCAAAAAAGGAGGTCAGAGGACATGCTCAGAATGGTAGAAGCCTACTGTAAACTGTAAAGAACTATATAAATGGTAAAGACCTATATAAAAAAATCATTGTTTTTAGGACAATTGCTAAAAACATAGCCCTTCAGTGCTGACTCTGAAAAGACTGTAGAAGTATATCGTGTTTGCATCACTGTCCACAATACAAACCCTTACTTACATCTACAAAGACAGGTGGGCTATGAGAAAGCTCCCCAAATATTTTACTTTATCCTCTTTATTTCTTAGAATATAATGCTTTATACTTACAAAACAATATAAGTAACATGTATGTAAATTACAAATCACAATAAATATAATGAATACCCATGAAACAATTACCAGACTCAAATATGAAAACATATCTCAGATCATGTTTCTAGGTATTTCTGATATGACGCATCCTTTCTACCTTCATCAGCAGCATCTGACCTACAAAAGGAGTTTAAACTCATGAGCATGAGACTCACACAGGGCTGGGAAAGTACCTTCATGGTCAGTGGCCGCCTGGAATGCTCTGTTGAGAAGAGCTAGAGGCCTTCTCGGGAGAAGAGAACAAGAGTGGTAGCACATGTGCCTGACCCTTGCCAACTCCGTCAAAGGTCTTACTTATTCCTTTTCTGAAAATATACTCTGTGTTCCAGTCATACGTAAGCATCCTGCATACTTTAGGCTTTTTGTAGACCCTTCCAGGACCGCTCCCTTTGCCTGGAATGCTCTCCCTGACTTTTTTTTCTCATATGACTGTCCTTTCTTTAAGTACCAGGAAGCCTTCTTTGACCTCCCCTGTAAGTGCTGGCCATAGTTTTCTGTTATCTTCTAGCACCTCTCCCATAAAGCTTTCCTAGTGGGATATTGCTATATGCCACTAGACTGGGGAAGCCTATGCCTCTGGAACGAAGGAATGACACTCGTTCTTCTTTATGTTTCCAATGCACACAGCAAGTGCTTAATAAATGGTGTTTGAATGAATAAATCTAACAACGAACAATTAGCAAAACATTTTAACTGTGTACTATGCACATTACTTTCAAGTTTAATCTACAAAACCAATATAAGCACAAAAGGGGGAAAGAAAATAACTAGGACCTTGAGTTGATGGTCAAAAAAGTAGTAAAGAATACCAGGGGAAAATGCTTAAGGAAAATTTTACATATACACACACATAATATATAGCACAATTACATTTAACAGAACATGTAAAATCTGTATTAGTAACTTATTCAATATTCTTAGGTTTGGTTTCAATGCCTCTTCAGAATACAATGAAAATTACTTACTGGTTGTAAAGCTCTGGATGCCTAACTAAGTTCTGAATGAATTCATTCAGTCCTGCCCTTCTTTGTTTGATAAAATCTGTGAAGAGAGACATGCTATTAGGATTATTTATGTCAGACCATGTAATTATCAATACAGTTATATAAGAATAGATAAGAGTAAATTCTGATTAAGAGCTATTTTTAATTCATGTTTCTTAATATACTATAAAAATACTTAGAAATATTTATTTTAAAATCCATAAATACAATGATTATAAAACTAAAATAGATGACGTATCTTCCAAAAGAAAATTCTCCAAAAAAATGCCTACTTTAGGTTCTAAATAGACTCACTACAAACACCAGGGAGGCATTTGCTTTGTCCAACTCCTCCTGTACTAGCAGGTAAGAAAAAAGAATTAACACTATGACACTGGTGACTGAAAAAAATCATGCTAATTAAAAAAACAAAATGAAAACAAGAATCACTGGGAATCCTTGCAACTGGAGAATGAATAATTGGTTACTTGACTATTACCAAAACTCTGCTGCTAAAAAACAAAGCTACTGCCAAAACAAAAACAAAAACAAAAACAAAAACAAAACAAAACAGGAAAAAAAGACCCAACCCAAAAAACCCTTGAAAAATGCACTGGAACACTTTTCTAACAAATAATTGTTCAGCATCTTCAAAGTGTTTTGACTGGTGACAACTGAAGTTCATACAACAGCAGTTTAGCAATAAAAGTTAAGCAATAAAAGTCAAGTATCTTGTCTCTGCTACTTATGAGCTAACTGACCTTGAATCTTCCTAAGACTTAGATCCATACCTATAAAATGAGAATAATGACAATATTTATACCTCGTAATGCTGTTACAGTATTAAATATGACTGCACATAAGTGTATAGTAGAATGCCTGATAGAAAGAACACAATCTCTAGCTATTACTATTTTTGGTGTTGTATCAAAAAACTACCATCCTAAACACTAATTCTTAAGAAATACAGATGGTTCTAACTTACAATGATTTGTCTTAGGATTTTCAACTTCACAATGGAGTGAAAGCACTAAGAATTCAGTAGAAACCATAGTTTGAATTTTTATTTTTTCCTGGGCTGGCAATATGCAGTACAATATTCTGTGTGACAACAAGATGATTTTGCCCAAGAGCAAGCTAATGTAAGTGTTTGGAGTACATTTAAAGGTCTAGGCTAAGCTAAGCAATGATGTTTGGTAGGTTAGATGCATTCAATGCATTTCTGACTTATGATATTTTCAGCTTAGAATGGGTTTATCAGGATGTAATTAACATAAGTCAAGGAGCACCCATTATACTCTAAAAATGGAAGAAACAGAAGACTTGAGAGAGTATCTCAAAGTGGTGAATGTCTCCATAAAAACCTATAAACAAGATTCAACTTAACAGTGAGTTTTGGTTTAATAAAATGATTTATACTCAACAAAAGTTTTAATTATAGTGTTTGCCACCCAAATTATGGGTTGTTTCCGGTCACATAGGTTTATTTCTATTTCTTAAATGTAAGGTATGGATAGAAAAGAACAAATATAAATTAGATCTGGTCTCTTAGATCCAGGTGCACTTGGTACTCTTTTCTTGTTCAACTATGAATTTCTTCCTTCCTTCCCTCCTTCCTTCCTTCGGTTTTGGAGAGAGCACAAGGGAGGGAAAAAGAAAGGACGAGAAACATCAATGTGAGAGAGAAACATTGACTGGTTGTCTTCTGTACTTGGCCTCACCAGACTGAACCCAAAACCCAGGTATGTGCCTTGATGGGGGATGGAACTAGCAACCTTTTGCTTTGTGGGACAGTGCCCAACCAATTGAGTCAAATCAGCCAGTGCTCAAGCATGAATTTTTTTGAAAACTTTCAGGAAGGTATCTTGTAAAACTCTTCCAAGGGCATTCTTTATGTGACGGGACAGTAAAGAGTATGCGAGGTTTAGATTAAAAACTATGCTTGAAAGACAGTCAGTTTTCAGAAACTAGACTTAGTGTCACAGGAAGGAGAATTAAAATGAATGACTATATTTGAGATATTTAAAGAGTATCTAACAATTATATGGAAGCAATTTTAAAATGTTCTGTGGCTATTTACTCATGCTGCCTTTGACACTGGGAAAGGGACTGTGAAAAAAGAGTGATTTGCTTTCTTCTGTGAGCTACAGCCATGCTCCACTTGAGTGCTATTAGACTCTCCACTTCACTACGGAGTTGAAACAGTTCTGAAAGCCCTATCTAAAACAATAAATAAAAGGAGTCAGTAATGAAAAAAGAAGACCAGCAGCAGTTAGAATTTAGGGCAATTACAAGTTTAATTTTTAGATCAACATTAAGCAGGCCAAATATCTAAAAAAATTCCAGATTACACTAAAATGCATACCAGCCCCATTATAGGATAAGTTCCCAGAACATATAAGATGGACATATTATCTTTAACAATTACATTTGGAGATATACATTTTTAAAAATCTTTCCAATTAAGAATTTATGTGAATGTATCAATTGTTATTCAAAAGATGTTTCTATTAGCAATCCAAAAGAACTTAATGCTTGGATGATAAAATGAAAGATTTAGTCTCCAGAATATGTATTAAACTGACCTATAAAGATTTCTTTGTCATTGCAGTGCTTCTAGAAAAATCATTGAAGAGGAGACAATCTCCAATGCTGTGGGGCGAGGGGGAAAAATCAAACTTTGACTGAGGGAGACCTTGGATTTTTGTTGTAATGCTGCTACTGGTGGCCGGAGCAACCTGATAATATTTATAATCAAAGGATATTTAGAGCCTGCAGGGATCACAGAGACCCTTTATCCTTAACCCACACCTTTCAGATCAGGAAACAGAGTATTAAGAGTTTTATAATGTTCCAAACAATTTTAAAATAAAAGGCACATAAATGTTTGTGAATTTTGTTTTTAAAGGTATCATGTATTAATCAGACAATAGAGTATAGTCTACTATACTCTAGGGCATAATAGAAGTAAATAAACCTGGATGAGTCTAATTTTCCACATACTAACTTTGTGGCTTAGGAGAGTGGCTTAGCCTTGCTAACGTTCTAGTTCCCTGTGATGACATAGTTACAAAAGCAAATAAAAATTTGCTTTTTTTTTTTAGTGAGAATTCTTGCCAATCATGAGGTTCATGAAGTATCAAAGTATAAAGAGTCTCCAGTTGAGAGGGTAACAGGGGTTCATCTTGCGGCCTCAGGGGAAAAACTAAGTTTTAACTAAAGCAAGAATGTGAAAGAAATATGAAAATGATGCAAGGATAAAGAGAAGGTTGTTCATCGTGGACAAAATTCCTCAGAGCACAGTGAAACTGTTTGAGAAGGAAATAATGAGGGAAAAACAGTCAAGATACGTGACCTGAGAGCTATTTGGTAGAGAGAGATTTGACCAAGAAAGCAGACATGTAAAAAGTCATAGGTTTAATGGGTTATGAGGTTACTAGCAAATTAGTTGAGGAAATACGAGGTGTGGAGGGAGGGCACTCTGGCTTATCAGGATTCACCTGCTGCAGAGATGACTCTTCTGATAGGATTTTTGGTGGACAAGGAGACTTCCGTCTCTCTGGAAGTAGCCATTTGTGACCTGGATTGAGTTCTTAGATTCAAATGAAAAGTTCCAGGCTTGAGCCTTCAGACACATAGGCTCCAGATTCCTAAGATCTTTTGTTGCATTATGCTTCCCAAGGGTGACCAATAGGACATTTTCTTGGTATCCCATTCAGAGGCCTGCAGGATACTATGCACGGACTATACTTTCAATAAATGTTTCTTGGCATAACAAAGAATGTCTTCCATGGTTATAAAAGTACCCCAAATAATACTTAATGATCAATAAGTTTGTCTGAAGCCAGACTGCTTAAATTTAACTTCCAAATTTGACATTTACTAGCTGTATGTGACCCTAACTGTGCCTAAGCTTCCTTATCTATAAAATAGTGTTGATAATAACAATACCCAACTCAAAGGACTAAATGAATTACAACATGGAGTATGTTTAAAACAATGCCTGGTACACAGTAAGCATCTTCCTGAGGCATTATTTTCATAGAGCATGAGATCAATTAGCTTTATAAACGCTTGTATTACTGGACAATAAATACGTTAACTATGTCTTTAAACTTCAACGATCACTTATGGGTGGTCTATGAAATTATTGCTTACCGGGATCAAAATTATCACCAAATATTCGCTTGGCAGGAATCTTCAGGGCCATGGCAGGAAATTGTTTCTTTAACTAGAATTTTTAAAAATAACATTATATGAACCTAATTTTATAAGTCTTCTAGTTATACATGCACCAAAATAAAATACAATCTGATTTGTAAGAAAATCCGTTGTAAGACATATTTTTAAACATATAATGATCAAATGTATAATATTAAATTACACCAATAAAATACCATAGACTATCTAATCATCCTATTTTGTGCCAATAAAACACTTAGCAGCTTTGTGACCTTGAATAAGTTACTAAACATCTCTGTGCCTCAATCTTCTTGCCTGTAAGATGGGGATAATTTTAGCAATTACCTTACAAATTCGTTGTGAGGCATAAAAGAAATCATTTATGTGAAGTGCTTAGACTGGAATCTGGTGTATAAGTTTGAATACACTACTCTCCACTTATTACCTCAGGGAAAGATGTAATCTTTGTTTTCTCTTTTTTTTTTCTTTTTTTCTTTTTTTTTGTTTTGTTTTCTCTGTATGAATAGATTGACAACTGTTTTCTAAGAAAGCTGGTGAATTTTGCTTTCCACATCCTCACTTCAGCCTTTCCCCTATTGCTATTCTAATACATTTATCAGATTTGCTTATCTCGAGAGAAGAGACAACCTGGCCCTAAAGAACTTAAACTTGGGGCAGTAGAGTCATAAATACGGGCTAATACTTACTTTTAGTAGAGGCTTCAGGTAAGACCCCTCCCCCTCCCACACACAGAAACTACATATCTAACTACCAGCTGACAGGAAATAGAAAGAAGAATGTATTAATCACTCTACACCACTGACATGCTATCAGCAAAATCCAGATTGAAAAGTCTGTAGACAAATGACACTGCTTTTTCAACAAAAAGCTGTAAAGGAAAGATAAGAGAGGTGGAGGGAAAAATTTAGTTATTAAAAGACACTTAATAAACTTATCAGCCAGTCATATAAATACAGACTGATTATTTGATATTAAGATATTATTATTGACTTAGTTTTATATGTGATAATCATATCATGTATGTATGTCTAAGGACATTTATCTTTTTTAGAGATGACACTAAAATATTTACAGATGAAATGATACGATGAATGAAATTTGCTTCAAAATACAGCGGGCTGGCTAAGGCCAGAGATGAAACAAGAATGGCCATGTGATTGTTGAAGCTGGATGGTACATTATGTTATTTTCCATTTTTGTACTAGTCTACTTCTGTAGGTGTTCAACAATTTCTACAGTGAAAAATTTAAAAATGTAAACAGTCATAAAAACACATTTAAACTGGTAATTAAAATGCTTACAGATTGGAAATTATACTTTTTGTCTTTTATTCTAAAAGAAGCATAAGAATCTGTATTTTCAAACTTAGGGAAATCCAAGCCAGGTTTAACCTCATTTCTGTAGTCTGAAAGAACACAACTAATACCATTCCCCTGGGGTTTTTTTTCCTTGCCCCTTACCACTGGAGCAGAATTGGCAGGCGTTATATAAAAAGACAGAGGCAGACACAGAAAATGAGGAAACAAGAAAAAAACAAAAAACTCCAGAAATACAGGAAAAAGGAAAATGGATAATAAAAACTCATTTACATGTTAAGAAAAATTGCAAAAAGCTTAAGATGGGGGGGTTTGATGGAGAGAATGAAAGTGATCACGGTGGGGGAAATGCCCAAAGCAAACATTCCTACCTTACCTTTGCACCTAAAGATATTCAAATGTTAGCCCTGGCTGGTGTGGCTCAGGGGATTGAGTGCTGGCCTGCAAACCAAAGGGCTGCTGGTTCAGTTCCCAGTCCGCGCACATGCCTAGATTGCAGGCCACGTCCCCAGTAGGGGGCATGCAAGAGTCAACCACACACTGATGTTTTTTCCCGTCTCTTTCTCCCTCCCTTCTCCTCTAAAAATAAATAAATAACATCTTAAAAAAAAAAGATACTCAAATATTAACACTCCACTTATATAATCACCAGCTATTTAAACTGAAACCATCACAAGGATGATATGGTTTTCACCACTCATGCAGACCTCCACACTGCTCAGTTTTTAGATGGCATCCCTACACCCCTCCCTCTTATAAACAGTTCTACAAAAGGAAATATGTTTAGAAGGTGAATATAGCCTATATAATCTTTTAAGTAAAATACATAAAGAAATCTCAAATTTTCAATTATTAGTTCACTGAACAAAATCTGATCTCATCTCTCTAAAAAGTTCATATAAACCCTCTGTGTGACTATGTACGTGTATTATGTTACTATCATGTTATTTTTACCTGATTATAAACCAGGTATCATGATAGGTACAGTCAGATTTGTACAATTTGTAAAATGCTAATCACATATATATAATGGTATCCAAGAATTTCAAATTAAGCTAGCCATTCAACCCTCACTCAGCCTCCAATATAAACCATTTTTTCGAAAAATTACAGAAGATATTTTCATGTACAAATTCTTACTATTATTTTGTTTCAAAGGTGTGACTTCCCTTACAGTAAAAAAAATTATCTTAATATCTTAAATATTGGTTAAGCCATAGTTAAAGCTATGTACAATAAGTTTCAGTTGCATATGCATTAAAGAAAAACTAAATAACAGAAGGAAACACAACAGAACTAAGAGCTGGGCATTTAACCAGAAATAACATGGTGATTAACAATTTTTAGAGCATTAGATATAAAGGATTTATTTCCAATATTCTACAATGTTAAAATATATTTTAAGCAGTACATCTAGTTTTCATACCTTCAATATTTATTTGGAACTTCTTTACAGTCCCCTCTCCACCTTTTTTTGTAAGAATTCCAAAATCAGAATACTTTGGAATACACCCTTTTCTATCGGTCTATTATACGAGGTCTGTCCAGAAGGTACCCAGCCGTGTTATATGAAAAATAGAGACATTTATTGAAGAAGATACAAGAAACAAGAAACATTGTACACAGGACAATGACACCTCAGTCCCCTTCAAAGTGGCAGTTTGGAATCTCACATAGTTCTCCAAATCGTCATCAGCTGTCCCATTGTATTTTCCTATCATTTATGGTCTGAAATCTCTTCCCTTTCAAAGATGATTTTACTTTTGGGAAAAGCCAGAAGTTGCAGGGCACTAAATCTGGACTGTAGTGGGGCTGAGTCACCTGGGTGATTGGATGTTTTGCCAAAAAAACTTTGCAAGAGTTCTGATGCATGAGCAGGCATGCTGTCATGACAAAGATGCCAATCACGAGTTGCCCATAGCTGTGGCCTTCTGAATTATCTGAATAGTTTCCACTGAGGAATGTTCAAGCTAATGCAAAATCTGACGCAGATCTGTTGCTCTACTTGCTCAGTCATTTTCAATGTGATGGTCAGGCAGTACACGTGCTCACTCAATGGCGTCTACTGCCCCCACTGACTAGTTCAGTGAAGTCGTCATTGTTCACGCACGCACATTCCAGTCCACTCTCCTTGGCTGCCAGGTTACACAGATGTCATGCAAACCATTCTCATTATATTAACAATGGCTGGACTTTTTCCAGACAGACCTCATATTATAGCTGATTATTTCAGAAAATTAACAAAGCTATGGCAAAAATAAATTAAACCAATACCATCAACAGTTACTAGAAGAAAAGAAATGATGCTGCATTAGCTTGTTTTGAATTAAATGTTTGAGATTATATCTGCATGAAGAAACACAACACCACAATGATGAGTATTATTTAACCACTCAAATAAAATCTCTTATTTTTGAGCTTTCTCAGGTGTTTGTTGGAAGTAAAAATCTTGCAAACTGTTACTTACAGTATTGTAAAGCTTATCAAATTCTGCATATCTCCTGAAGACAAACCATTCACTCCTGCCCACTGAGACCAGAACTTTATAAACCTATGAAAACAAAATAATAAAAATAACAATAAAATTTGATTGCAAAAAATGCATTAGCTGTTTAAATGTGAATAATCTTGCTTTCATACCCATGAAACTGATATTAGACAATAATGTTTATATATGTTTCACCAAGATACACAGTGTACCAACTGAAACACTTATTTTATCTTCTTGAAAGGTGATATTTTATTTTTAAAATGTTATGAAATATTTCTGTAATTTTCAGAGAATAATATAGTAAACACCTGTGTAGTCATTATTTAGATAACTCTAACATTTTGCCACTCTTGTTTCCTACTTTTTCCCCAAGAATAAAATATTATAGAGTTAATTGATGCCATTCTCCTCTATTCTTCCCCCACAATACCATTACCCAGATATTATATTTTCAAAAGTGATGCCTGGCACTCAATTATTAGTTCTTCCAGGTCATCTTTTACACAATATATTTCAAACTAAGAATTTATCCTCAAATTTCCCACTAGTAACTTACATGTGTTTAGTATTTTCACATACACATAACTGCATATAACTGTAGTCAACAACCCTATAAGGTAAGCAGAACAAACATTACACCCCTTCCACACTATACTAATGAGGAAATGATGACCCAAAAAAGTTAAGTAACTTGCTCAAGTACACAAACTTGTGAGACTAAGGTCTAAATCTGGTAACCCTCCATGCACCAGAACCAGCATCAAGTTATGGTACAGAATCGACTCTCACAATTCATTCCACAGATACTCTCAGATTATAATTTAACATAACAATGTAGAGAAAACCGTTTGGGACCCCAAAAATTTTGTATCATTTCTAAAGAAAAAATAGCAAGAATCCAGATTTACAAGCAAAGGCTCACTGATGTATAACCTGGGTTATCAATCTTATCATTTTACAGTATAAGATTAGGGGAAAGAGATAGGACTTGTTCTGGGTTTACAATACAACTGTCCACAATCTGTTAAACAAGTAAACCAGGTTAATTTTGGAAGATGGGCATATAAACATATATAAACTATCCTTTCCCATGAAGACTGGTCAGCTACGCTCACAAGTTCATAGTCAGATAACACTACGAGGAAAGAACCTCCCTGATACGTATGTGATTATATTGTATTGTATGAATTGTGTACTGTCATTAAGATATGATCACATTACCAGGCCAACAGTGAGAGGATTTAAGGTTTCACCTGGAAGGTGAAGCAAAGTCACTGGTATTAGACACCTGAGAGAAAAGAGCATTCTACCCGAGTTATAGGGTGAGGACATGGCTCTTTTGGTCCTAACCAAGACAGTATCAAGTTGTCTCAGAGGAAGCTATTGGATGTAAGATGTCAGAATTGATTGTTCACATGGAGGATGCAGAAGCAGAGGGTCAAGAACCTGCCAGTGAAGGTGGGTCATACTTCTAAGACTAGACTACAGATTTATGTCATTCATCACTCACGACTGGATGGACCTGAGAAGGACTGTTACAAAAGGATAGGAAACTTGGGTTTATCTTATTGCAAGCTTCTTGAATTACTTGTGCTAATTCCTGGTGTGGTAGGGTGGCTTCACATCATTACCCAAGTACAGTCAAGACCAGAACCCAAGCCTAGGTTCAGGCTGAAGTAGCTTGGCTGCATATATATTTACAGTAGCTAAGGTAAAGCTCTGTGAATAATTAATTAGTAGTGGGATTTATTAACAAGGGCTTATTAAGTTCTAATAAAAAACATCGACAGGCAAAAACAAAAACTGCAAATTAAAAAAAATACTTTTATTTGCAACAAAATCACCAGATTTCGCAGAAAGCAGTATAATATTTATTACAATATGAAATCATCTTACTGAGTTTTTAAAAATTCCCTTATTGTCTGCCTTGCCCACCAGAATATAAGTTCCTTGAGAGCAAGGGAAGTGTCATTCTTACTACCTACTGTATCCCCAGGGCCAGGAACAGTGTCCGGCACAACAAAGAAACTCAATGACAATTTGTTGTGTAGATAAATTAAAGTGCAATTTAGACTTGGTTTAAGTCAAGATGTCCTAGGATGCAAAACAATTCTGTTAGAAGCTTCATAGTATAGAGCTATATATAAAACATACAGGAACTACCTCTGCTATGGAAAATAGAGGATACCTTAGATAACTCACTGCTGATATTTGCTACATATGAACTTCAAACTTGGCAGGAGGTTATGCCCTTGAAGGAGAGAAGGGCCCAAAGGTAAAAATGAGCACAGGGAAGGAAGGAAACCTTTCACATGCTCCACTATTTTATCCAAGGTACGCTGACCTCCTGTTTATCATAAAGTAATGTTTCTAAAATTTGCTTATATGAATGTAGAATGAATGCACAATGCTACGTTGTAGATATTACGACAACACAGAGACCTAGGGGAAGCAAATCGCCAGACATTACAATGTCTCTGCTCTGAGCTTTGGTGCAGGGTACTGGGGTATTAAGGAGGGAAGAAGAGAGGATAGAAGGGCTGTATCCAGCTCCTTGTCTGGGACTTTAGGGGAAAACGACCGTTAAGAAGGCAGAGTGGAGTAATCAGACAAACAATTTAACTCCTCAGCTTTCTTCAACTCCCATGTGAAATAGCCTCTGAGTTGAAAGTCACTTGTCATGGGGCTCCACTGGCAGGGGCCAGGCGGCCCCCTGGTCCGAGGCTGCAGCAGATCACTTGATTCAGGAGCATGTAAAGAGTGGGTTCTACAGCCTTAGAGAGCCAAGGTGAAGCAGTGAGCTGCCACCACCCTGAACAACCCAACCAAAGAACAGATAACAATTCAGTTCATCAACTGCAGGTGCCAACAGTGGATGCCAGCCAAATGCCCAGGGTTGGGTCAGGTCAAGCATAGCTGGATGTTTACCAAACCAGTCACTCTCTACCTGGAATGGCAAAGATCCAGAGGGATGACAAGAATGCAAGAGTCTCCACCAGGCTGCTGGTACCATGAGGTCAGTCAAACACTATGAAAGGGGACCGCGCTCCTCCCATAAACCATAATGCCAAGTGGGGGTGTGTGTTCATTAAGAGAAAGAGAAGAATGGAGACAGCTTGGGCGTTTTTACTTTAAAAAACTGCTTAAATTTTAGCTCAAACTGATTTTGTTTAACTTAAACAGAATTGGGTTAAATGGATTCCTTCATACCAGTTAGTGGGTGGAGGTTTATGAGGAAGACCAGGTCAATTCAGACAAGATAAATGACATTTTTTCAGTGCGAGGAGGGCAGAAGAACTCTGTATATACTAACAGAACTAATGGGACTAAATACAGTATCGTATGTTTCATTATATTAGAAAAGTGACTGTTCTCCAATAGTCACTGATACACTGATTTAGCAAATATTGTGTTCATTCTTTATAAAGCCCTATAATAGATCCTCTGGTGATAAAAAGTAAAATTAGAAATAGGCTTTGCCTTTAAGGTGGAAAAAGAGGTAAAAGCTGGATTATATATTTTAAAGTTGAGATAGAATATTAATAAACATCGTAAGAAAGATACTACATAAATTTCAATAAAGATACCATGGCAATTTCAAGATAGTGGTTCTTAACATGTGATCAGTAGCTTCTGGGTCCATTCACCCCCTGACAGTGCACATAAAATTATGGGCATGTGTCACAGATCCATGCATATGCACATTTTCTGTTGAGAGGCTCTTTCAGATAGATCATAAACTTCTCTAAGTGCAAAAATCTGCACCAAAAAAGAAACTGATTGCCATTATAACACATAGGGAGAGGGCATCTTAGGTTAAGGATGAACAAAAGCAGAAATGGAAATATTCTCTATATTCCATTTTTCCCCATATGCTTTATGCTGCATACTTACAGTGAACCTCTTCTTTTTCTCTCTGTGTTCATCAGAGCTGGGAATGCTTACACTTGGGCAGCTTTCCTTGTAGTCCATGGTATAATCCCTTAGGGTATACGGCCTCGAAAGGACACCAAAAAATGAGCCCGCAGAAACGGTCAGCAGAGGACAAACACAATTGGCTAATCCAAAACATAAAACTTCTTGAGGTAATGTTCAAGTTCCATCATGCAACCTTAACCAATGGAGGGGAAAAAAAAAAAGATTAGCAAAGCAATTTTAAAATACCATGATCGGTGATTCTTTGTTCACAGGACCAATTTTATGCTTATTCTGGCAGGAATTTACTTTTGGTGATAAGTCTCAGGGGATGTTAGGTCCTGTTGGTACTGAATTATGTACAAGTTTGAATGTTTGTTGGTGCCTTACTATGTACGGCCCACAGGAGCACAACTACAGGAGAACATCATGTCTCAGGGCTCCCCTTTGGAAGGAACAAGATACAACATTACATGGCACCACAAACAGAGAAGGAAAGAGCTGCGGGGCCAGGATAAGGCGTTTCATAGAAGGTGCCCAGAGGACATCCAGGCATGCATGTACAACAGCAGGCAGTTAGGTGTCAAGTCCAGGCCTCAAATCTGTTTGCAAACTGTGCTAGACACCTTCCATTTGCCCTTCTCTATCCAGTACTGCTCTTTCTCCACATGCTGCCACATGCCAGAAGGCTGACCTCAATGGACCTCACCCACCTACCACCTTGCCCTGGTTTGGTGCAACAAATGCAAGACACTAGCAGGTGATGGAAGGGAAGGAAAAATTAGATACTAAGGTATTTATTCCCCCTCTCCCTTTCTAACAGGCAATGGCTTCTCTATCTAAGGCTACAGTTCCTACCAGGTGGGCCCCCCCCCCGCCGTTTGCAGCTACCGTGGAAGTCCTGGGAGCAGTAACGGCTTCCAAACATTATTACTAGAGGGGGTTGCTTCCCCATGCCCTGCTGGTTCCTACCCTTGTCCACAACGGCTCAGTAAAGTCCCTTTGTAGATTTCCTTCCATTACTTTTGAGTATTATGTGACTGATGCAGTAATTACAACCAAGAATGACCCCAGGAAACAGACTCTCAAAAATGGGATGCATGTTTGATGAATGCGCTGACTGCCCTCCTGTGGAGGGAGGGATGAGGAACTGGTGACCTGGAACATAGCAATACCATGATCACTCAAATTCCCTCCCATGGTGTCGCAGGACAGAGTAGAGGTGGTAGGCAAGACGCTGGAAGGCCAAGTGGATGATGAAAGCACTGATTTCAAAGACTGTGACCTGGGCTGGGGCTGCTTCTTTCTGGTTGTCTCTGAGAATGTGCACAAAGATGACAAATTGAAAGTAGTGAATTCCTAAGAAGATGGGTGAAAAACCTATGGCTGTTAGATTTTTTTTTTTCTTTTATAGCTGCTAAGCTGATAGGACTAAGGATCAAGTTCAGAGTTTGATGGTAAGGGTTGCAGAGCCAATTAAACATGCAGCCCTGAAAAGTCTCTAATGCTAACACAAGGGCATTGGCTGCAAAGGAAAATGACCCTGAATTGTAGATGCAGGCACTTCGGCAAACACAACGAGGCTAAGAATGTTGGATTCCATATTTAGCTGAACATCCCTGCTGAAAGGAGCAACTTATACCCGTGAGTAGTCATCAGCCTCCCAAACCCTGCCCCTCATAAAGCCTTTCAAGTTGTTTCACAAGATGCCAACTCTGCTCACTACCCACTCCCATCACCCCTCACTGCCCTGTAAGAGTAGTTAGAGATCCCAAAAAAACTCAGAAGTTCAGAGCCTATTCTGGAAGGAGAATGCCTTTATATTAAAAAAAAATTTGCAGAATCTCAACAATTTTTACAAACAGGAGTCTGAGAAGCACATATCAAAGTACATTCAAAGGATGTTAGACTACATGTAAGATTACTGCGACCCTATATACGATCACAGTGCATCCCATCAACCTTCCTCCAGACCTCCCCAGAGAGGGGCCTGCAGCCACTCACAAGCATGACCATCCGCAGGGGAATGTATACCCTCCCAAGGGTTACTGGACACTAGCTCTGAACTAGCACTAACTCCTGGAGACCCAAAATATGGTCCACCAGTCAGCAAAATGTAGAGGCATAAAATCATTTGCCTAAGCCAGGATCCAGCTAATCGATGATGGAACTAGGATTCAAATTCTAATCTGTCTGACTCCAAAACGTACATGGGCTTGTTTGCTATGCCACACTCTCTCCCCTTTAAGTAAGTTTTTCTTTCCTTCAAGCTAAATCGAACTGGCAACCTAGTAATAGTTAATACTTTGTGGCTAAGCTTATTATAAGCCAGACTGTGCTCTATGTGTGTTAATCTGGTTGTTGCTCACAATAGCCCTATCTAAGAAGAAGAAACCGCGGAGAAAATGAAGCATAAAAATGTAGAGTCAGGATGAACCCAAGTGGTCTGTCTTTGGACCTTTACCCATTGTGTTGCACTGCCTCTACTATATATATATATATATATGTTCTAAAGAGTCCTCTGGGAAACAATGAAGAAGGTTCATAAACTTATTTTTAAGTAGTTACAACTAAAGTTATGAAAAAGCAACCCCGCTATTATTGTTAATTTAATCTATGGCTATTCTATAAAACTGAAGCAATTTAAATTCTGCAAAATCATCTTATGGCCAGGCAGCCAAATAAAACAGAATGAAAACAGGGCTGATATATGAATCCCACAACTACAAAAAAACCCCCAGGAAGCTGTGTTGTTCACACGTAAATAAAAGTTGGTGCTTTTAGGGGAGGGTTCATAGGTAGGTTAGGCTTTTCAAAGGAGAATCACAAAAAGAATCTGCCTTCACTCTGCTGGGGAATCATTAGTTAATCTTGTAGGTTGGCTCCCAGGGGCAGCTGGCTTGCCTAGGAGGAGGTCCCTAGGAGACTAAGTTCAGCTGCCAATCCAGATGCAAGAACTAATTTTATCATTCGGCTAATGAATCAACTCAGACAAGCCCAAAAAGACAAAAAGAAGCCCTGGCCAGGTAGCTCAGTTGGTTAGATCATTGTCCCAATATGCCAAGGTTGAGGGTTCAATCTCTAGTCAGAGCACATACAAGAATCAATCAATGAATGCATAAATAAGCAGAACAACAGATCTATGTCTCTCTCTCTTTCTCCTTCCCTCTCTCTAAAAATCAATAAAAAAATTTTTTTTTAAAGAAGAAGACAAAAAGAAGTGGGTCAGATGGGAAGAGAACTTTCAAAGCCCAGCCATATCTTATAAGGGGTAGTGATTTGCAAGGGCAATATAATAGCCAGTAAATATTATACTTTACTTATAGGAATTCTAATCAGGGGGTTGAGACAATTTTGGTTGTCACAACTTGAAGCACTGCTATTGGCTACATGCCACATCGGATGATAAACATCCTAAAGCACAGGACAACCCTTACAACACAAAATTATCTGGCCCAAAATGTCAATAGTGTCGCAGCTGAGAAACTAACATTTATTGAGCACTAATGCCTGGCATTGTTCTAAGAGCTTACATCTAACACATCTCTTAATCTTCACAGCAACTCATGAAGTATCATTATCCTGGTTTTACCAATGAAGAAACCTAAGTTATGAGGAGTACGTTCACATGGTCACACAGCTTTGGGTGGCAGCACTGTGACGTGAACAGAGCTTTGACCTGAGCACCTGGCTTGCACACACTGTCCCTCAATTTCTTACAATACTGCTGCATCCAGTCCTTCTTCTAAATCAACTGTGGAGATACAGAGTTGAAGAAAAGGGAGCATCAAGTGTGTATTAGCAATTGGGTTACAGAAAGAAAACCGTACACAAGAAAAGCAGCGTTCCAATTCTGCTACCAGGGGGTGGGGACAGATTTGTGCAGCTCTCTGTCAGCAGTGGCCCACCTTCCTCTCTCAACGTAAGTCAACATCTAACCAAGAGCTTGGCACAGAGTGGTCTCTGAGTCGGTTCCATCACAAGGACAGCCAAGGGCTACATTATGAAATAAAGAGGACACAAGAAAGGATGCTATATCAGGATATGGCCTTTTTAAAAGGAGGGGAAGCTAGTCTTTTTTAAAAAAGCATTCACAGGTTTAAAATCTTTTACTGGGGGTGGGGGGGGCTATAAAAAGTAGAAATATAGGTGAAGCTCCAAGAGAGAAAACTTTCCAAAGTCATGTTGAATTTTTATTGATAAATAATGTTTAAAATAGATGGACATTAGTTAAGGTTTTTTTCCTAAAGCACTTTTTTCTTCATCATTGTGCCCATCTTTTTGTCGATTATATGCAATTATTATCCTGAATCTTATCCATCTTTCTTTCAAAAAGCCAAAAAAAAAGAGAGAAAAACATGATCAAGAGATTCTGCTGGTTTTACTTCTAAAAAATAAGCAGAGAGGTTCTGAATTCCATTTGCCTCACCCATCACAAAGACTGTCTGGCACTGACTAGTGGACACTACCCAAATTACAAAGCAGATAAATTCATTAGTATCAGTATGTACTCTGAACTCCCATAGCAGAGAGAGGTATTCAGTGACTCACACTAATGCATAAAGGAAAATTAAAAACAAGCCTTCTCTAAAAGGAAGGAAATAGGCTTGGAAGAGCTGTAAGTTTTCTTCAGCAGGGGAACAGGACTGGGTGCTGGTTTTAGGAACAAGAACCCCAAAGGAGAGAGATGACAGGGCCAGTCAAGGAAGAGACAAAAGAAAATCCATGTACAGACCCTGGCATGTCAAGAAGACTGGTGTAGGTGCATGTTTGGGAACTGGGAACTGATCCAGAGAATAATAAAAGAAACTGGGGGCAGGGATGGGATAAGGATTATTCCTGAGGAGAGAACAGGCCAAGTGGGTGGGTTTCATTTTACATTAAGTTAAAAGTACCTTCCCAGGAAATTCTGACCCCAAACTGGTTATTTTATTAAAAGCCTACTATTATAGTAAATAATCTGTATCTGTTTATTTCTGCCTCTCAGAATACTAGCTCCAAACACATCCAAAATGTTTCAGGAGAAACAAAGCACATCTTTGTTATATCTGTAAATTAAGTCCATTGCAGAAGAGATTAAAAATCTAACAGGATCTGCCAATGGAAGATACATAGTAACCTTCTCCTCCCACATACATCACATGATGAATCAGTTACAACTTTTCCTGTTTTCCTTTCTTACTAATATATCCTTCC